TCCATCTCCGTCTTCCTACCCATGCGATAATCGCATTGGTCGCAACGATACTTCAGGATATGCACTTCCCGCTTGTGTCTTTGCAAAGAGTCTTTCTTCTCATAACTTTTGGTACAGGAGTCACATTGAAAGAAATGGGTAGTCGTACGTCGGGCATCAACGTCCTTGTCTCCCTGCTTGTCGGGTGGCATGTTTCTGCTTGCACTGGTTTCAATGGGCATCGTCTGGTTGCACATTTCTGTGCCCACTTCTTCCAGCGCTGACAATGAGGCAATGGCAGTGCCTGCCTTTGTGATCCCCTGTTCCCTTGTTGAATTAAACACCCTGACAGGCAACACATCTTCATCTGCCTTCACGACAGATCTGGCAACGATGGGTCCCTTTTTCCATAACTCGGTTGGGTTCACAGGAGATTCTACCAGTCCTTCACACAGTGCTATCTTTTCACCCGTTACTCTGTCTGCTAGCACCATTCCGTGTCCTGGAGGAATTAAGTATTCCTCCCCCGCTACTATCCTTTTGCAGAATGATTCTCCTTCACTATCTAGGCATGGAATTATGCCCCATTCGGTCCTCAATTCCATCTTCTGGCAGTCAAGTACGGCATTAATTTGAACTAGGAAATCTAGCCCAAGAATGCCTTCGTTCTTGAGGCTGGCCACAGTAACCATTTTAGTGACAAGTGAATCTCCGATCTGCACTTCCAGCCTTGATTTACCTCTGGTCCTCAACGGGGTCCCATCTGCTTGTAGTACCACGCTGGTCACTGGTAATAACTCAGATCTTCTATGTTCCTCTATCCGGTCAAACACCTTATCTGAAATCAAAGTGTTGGTGGCTCCGGTGTCGATCAGTAATTTCAAGGACTGTCCATTGATTTTCCCTTCCAGGAAAAGTCCTTTCCTGTTAGGATCCTGAGACGAACCAACTCTGGTCTGCTCCTCTTCATCTGTCATCCCATTTGCAGTTGCCCCCTGCAAGTTTGTATTTGCTTTCTCTGCTGCTGGTGGTGCTGTTCCTCCCCTAACTTTCCTTGGATAAGGACATTGGTTCCTCCAGTGTCCCAATTCATTACAGTTGAAACACCGGTTATCCCTCCGTTCCGAGACTTTAGTTGGCATGGTTTGTTCCGGTCTCCTATCTGGTACATATGGTTTAATCGTATTCCTCCCATTTCTCATGTCTAAGGCATCTAATACCTTCTTTACTATCTCATCGATAGTAGGATTCCTTGGTTGCTGTTCTCGGATGGCTGAAACCTCACACTCTTCCAGTGCTCGACTGTACGTGGTTGAACGCTTCACTTCGTTTCTCTGACCCTCCATCCTCAGGAAGGCCTCAGTATTTAAAGCTGCTTCCACGGCATCATTAAGCGTGCGAGGTTGAGCACGGAACAATCCTTCTCTTATTTCTGGTGTTACTACGGCATCCAGAAAATGCCCACGGGCTAGTCGGTCTTGTCCTTTTTCATCGAACTCGGGGTAGGACAATGCACACAGCTCCCGTATCGTTTGTCCTAATTCCTGGAGACTTTCCTTTGGTTGCCGACGACGCTGTCTCAACTCTGCTAGGTATACCTCAGCTTTACCTCCAAGACCAAACCGGTTCATGAGTCTGTATACCAACTCGTCGTATGTCAAATCCACTCCAGGCTGTTGGGTTAACAACTTCACAGCAGATCCTCTCAAACTTGCAGCAAGAAACTGCACTGCTTCTACTTTGGTCCATTTGTTTACTCCAGCACATGCCTCAAAATGGTGCAAGTAATCCTCGACAGGACTGCGACCGTCAAATCTGTCAGGTACCATATGGGGTCGTCTGCCGATTAATGCATCATTTGCCCTCCCCACATCATGCATAGGTGGAGAGAAAAGCGGTGGTGTAATATGAACTCCAGTTCCTGCACTGGGCAGCCGTCTACTTTGTTCTCGGGGCGTTGAACTAAATCTAACCCGCTGTGCCGCTGGCATCTGTGAATCTGCAGTTGGTCCTGATGCAGTTTGTCCACTCAGAGTTGGGGGAAATGCTTCCTGGCGGCCTGGTTCTGGGTCTGCAACTGGTACCTGACTCATCGAAGCACGTAGTTGCTCCATCATTTGATCAACTTCTGTCATACTCCTTTCTAATTGCTTCATCATTTCTCCTGGCGTTGGTCGATTCTGCCTATTTCTTCCTTGTGCCATTGTCACTGGATCCCACTGCTGCCACCACATGTAACGAAACCGGTTCCTGTCGATGTTCTTCCCAGCAGTTTATCTTGTCAGGATGCCTCCTGCTGGCAGGTTTTCCTAGTCCGGTATAAATTTCGCCGTGGATCCGTTTGGCAGAGATATACTGCCCCGTTGACGTTGACACCACCTCTCGACCACCGTCCAGTCGACACTACCAGACCGTCACAGGTCTGTACTTCACCACCGTCTACTACCAACCGTTGTACCGTCGTGTACCACCAGCCGACTAAACCATTCCGCTTCTGCACCTGTCAAACGTCTATACCAGTCTGCTTGTGCATGCAACTCCAATTGGCCGCACCAGTTTGCTTCATGCACCTTTTAGACGTCTATACCAGTCTGCTTGTGCATGCAACTTCCATTGGCCGCACCAGTTTGCTTCATGCATGCACCTTCAAACAACCAGACCGTCTGTCTTTGTACAGTCAGCTTACTCGACCATGCCACCGGCTCTGCTACGCAGTAGTCCCTACCATCCGTCTACTACCAGACCACTACCAGACCACTACCAGACCACGGTCACTGGACCACCGAAAGAGCAACCCCTGGTATTGTCTAATGCTAGAACGCAAAAGACCCAACAAACACAACCTAGATTCTAACCATGGTCGTCACCTAAGATCAGAAATCAACCTTAGGCTTCCTCATGGAAAGACATGCAAACGATCATCTCAATCATTTCGTTGCACGCAATACTTTATTGGGCAAATATCCAAACATAGCCTAATTGCCTTACAGAGTAAGTGTGCCCAGTGGGCGACGGCAATTATGTAGATTATGACAGGAAACTCATCTACACCTCAGACACTTGATTTATATACACATTTCTTAGACATTTGTTATTCTCGTTAGGTTTCCAAGAATTACATAAACATTGATATAACTTCACTTTCAAATATCAGATTGAAACAAACCATATATCAAATGAAAGCACTAGTTTTAATCTATAAAACTAAACAGAAGAGAACAAGTAATTATTCATGGTAGAAAAGTAATTAGACTAAAACTGTCGAAAACATGCACGATCAAACATTTTATAAATTGACACGTGACTATAGCATCGTATATGTAACTTGAATTACGCCATTTACGCCGAAATAGCTATCTACGAAATGAAACCAATTTCGTGACATTATTTTATCCACCGTCTTTCGTTCATATATTATGTATTCATATCTACCGAAGATGAGAGGATGGCCAAAACATGATGTTTATCGTAATATAGTGCAATATTCAAGAGTGTTTGTCTCAGTGCTCTTGAGAAGAGGAAATTAACCCCCTTGTGTGGGATGTGAAAGATTTAATCATTATCCTACACGTACCTTTCTTAATTGAAGGCCGTCGCATATTCAGTCAAGTGTTTCAACCATTCGAGTCTTCAGACAACTCTACAATAAAGCTAAACAAACTGCTCGAAAGCACGGTACTCTCTTTAAAAAAAAAGAGTGAATTGTCACTCTATTTTCACTTTCTTGGGAGTGACGTCCGTGATCACTTGTTGAGGAGTGAAAATCGATTGATTTTAGAGTGCTCTCTAAGAAGAAAAGAGTGAATGTTCACTCTATTTTCACTACATATTCACTCTCCAGAGGAGTGACGTCCGTGATCACTCGATTTTTTTTTAGAGAGTAGCATATTCTAAATGTTGTTTGTTTGTTTGTTATGTTTTTGACCCTGATGAGACTATAGAGAGATAGAGATGGAGGGAGAGGGAGGGAGAGAGAGGGAGAGAGAGAGGGAGAGAGAGCGAGAGAGAGAGAGAGAGAGAGAGAGAGAGAGAGTGATATGATGATTGTAGGGACAAAGGGAGAGGGAGGTGGGAGATATATGGTAGAGAAAGGTGGGGGAGAGAGAGAGAGAGAGAGAGAGAGATAGTAGAGGGAGAGAGAGATAGAGAGAGAGAGAGAGAGAGAGAGAGAGAGAGAGAGGGAGATAGTTACACAGAGATGGGGAAGTAGAGATGATTATACACAGATATAAAATAAATAGAAAGAGATTGAGTGAGGGTGTGCGGGAGTATATATGTGTTTGAGAAAGAAAGAGAGCAAAACCAGAGAAAATCTTATAACGAGAAATGCAAAGAGACTGAAACAATTAACTTGTGTTGATGGCGTATGGCTTCATAGGAGTTCGATGTAAACTATATAAATGTACGTCTCGATGGCGCCATTTTCAGTTCACCAAAATTGCAGCTAATTACTTTCGACCCCCGAAGGATTGGCTTAACGGTCACTGATCGACTCCAATAGGATACGTTACCATACCTTAATAACCATGGTGGCATTGACCTCATAAATCATTTACTTAGACGATTGTTAAAGCATGATTTGTTTTGGGTTTTACAATCTAGCGTTGAGTCGAAGACTTGATAGACTCTCAAGGTTTAATCAGCAGGAGGAAGAAGTACAGAGTACTTTCAAGGAATATTAGTTGTGTGAAGATGCTTTCCTGGTAACCGAATGTGTTTTACATGTGCCTGCTATTTCATTAATTGGTTGGAGTTTGAATGTCTATCTAATCGTGTACGAACAGACAACAGCTGCTTTTCAGACAAGGCGGTATACATTCTCAAATACCCCGGTGACATTAAAGCGAACTATATAGTCATCATGTTTATGTAAATATTATTTAATCATACCCAATATCATAATACGAGCAATTTTTTTTTTTAAACCAATGAATGATTTATTGTTATTTTGAGCTTAGACAATCTTCCTGGAGTAATGGTAAATCATTACTATTGTTTCTACATTTTTGTATTTCAGATGGAAAACTTTACATCAATCGTAATGGATGGGACAAATGAAGAAAACACCGATGGGGATGCGTGGCCTGGTTATGCCCACCTGTTGGCCGGCTCTTTTCTGACCCTGGTTTTCATCATATCCATAATCGGTAACAGTGTCGTACTCTTTCTTTTCGCCTGGGATCGCCACTTACGAACTCCTACCAACATGTTCCTTCTCTCACTTACCATCAGTGATTGGCTCGTAACAGTCGTGGGGATTCCTTTTGTGACGGCATCCATATATGCACACCGTTGGCTCTTCGCCCACGTTGGTTGTATATCGTGAGTATATGTTACCATTCTTATTTCCACAATATAAATGGCAATGGCGTGGGTTTATAATCACAAGAGTTTGGGCCTGACTGGCAGGGGATCTCATTCGTTAATTCACCAAGTTGACTTTACCCCCCCCCCCCCCCCCCCATCCATTTTAGCTACGTATGTTAACCACCATGTAAATTATAATAAATTGTAATAAATAAAACTATAAATCTAAAATCCGATTCAAAAGATTGACATGAGCATACTTTCTATTAGCTACATGAACGTTCAGTTTTTCATGGGTGCAAATATATAAACTTACATTTTAGTGTCGGCTTATTAATAAACAGAGTTGTTATGGCAGTTAATAATGCATGAGAGGTAGTATCTAAATAGGACCCTTCAAAGGAAATATAAGAATGTATAATCATGTATATATCAAGGAAAACAATTAATGATCTTTCCACGACTTTCGTGTTTTCCATCATACCAACTTTAATGCAAATGTTTCACTCTGAAATAGAAGCTTTATCAAAAAGGTGACGTACTTTACAGACAAAGTACAAACTCCTTTTGAGTCAATTACGAATGTGAAATGTAAATGGTTACCAAAGGGAATTGAGGCTAGTATATAAAGATTTTGAGAGAAAAAATACTTCGTTTCCTTTGAAAAGAACGAGAAACTTTGCTGATACAGTCAAATTAATTCTTGTGCATAAAATTGAGAACGAGTCAAGAATAAAGATCGAAACATTTTGCATGAATGCCGTATTAAGCATGAAATTTCAGTTACTAAGCAATTGAAAGTATAGAAGCATCACCAGTACTCCTACATTAAAGGTAGCAATCACCCAAAACAAAATTGTCCACAGTTAGTATGTGGGAGGTAATATCCACAACACTTGACCTTCTCACGGAGTGAATCCAAAGCCGACTTGATTTCCTTGTTCAAGTGTTTTCTTATCCTTATTTTTACTTTTAGTCCTATACGTATGCACCCGTAGAATGCCGGGTGATGTTTATGGAGTGGACTTTATATGCAGACCGGTTGCAACAACCTTTTTTAAAGTGTAATCCAATTTCGTCATCTTACTCCATCCAAGGATAGCTCACTCGTCCTAGGCAAGGTCTTGTGTTACACATGAAGTGAAATGTAACGGTTGCTAGGCAACGAACTTTTTCTGTAGTCGGGATTGAAAGATTTAGGTGACTTAATCTAATCATTGTTAAGCGAAACGTGCTTTAATGTTGTTTCACTCTCGGATTCTCTTTTTATTAGTGGCATGATGCGTTAGCATTCGATATGATGAATGCTGAATCAGTTTAGATTGTTTGATTGTTTGTTTGTAATATACAAACTAAGTACATGTAGGCCTATATTATTAACATAAGTCAAAGAACATTTATAATCATATTATTATATAAAGCAATTAAATCAATCATACCTTTCAACAACAAAACGTAGTTGACAATCATTCCAAAATATATAAAATGCAAAAGAAAGCCATTTTAAGCTAGAGCTTGAACGTGATGGCGGCCTCCGGAAAGGACCTAGATGAGCGATCAAACTTATAATATTCATGCATATAGTCGGAAAGAAATTAATTATAACAGCCAAATAGGGAAGGAAATCATGTTTAAGGCATCAAATGAAAGGTGTTAAGCTTAAACGTGTAGTATATAAGGATACGTCTTTGCGAAACGTATTATTTATATTCATAAATATGTGCAAGGAGCAGTTGCATACGCAAGTGTGTGTGCGAGTGCTCGCATTTGGAGCGCTTATTAAATTATGATTTGAATGCTGACAATAATTTACGCTTCATGGTAGCCTTCAGAAAATATATCGTAGTCCATGATTTAACCGTAATTAAAGAGAAGGTTGGGTTCTGGGAAGAGGTGAAAATTAATTTGTGAAAAGACTTATCTTAAATCTATCTAAAAATGTTTCCCTTACTTTATAAAGTATCATATAATGAAAACAATAATGAACATCGGAAATGTCACTTCGGTCTCTGCTTGGTCAAATTCGAACGGGCTGTTGATTTGGCTCACTCCTCGTACTAAAATATTTGATGTAATGGTAACGTAGATATGAGACAAAATCAATTGGCCTTTAACATTAGCAAACACGTACGTTGCCATGGTTTCGCTCTTATTTCCACAAATTGATACTTCACATGAAAGTGTATCTTTTGTTTGTATTGATGATATTAATGTTATATTCCATATCGAAAGAAACAACATGCTATGCTGAACCCGGTCACTTGTAGTAACACTCCCATGACATTCAAAATCAATTTTTCAATTTCTATTATCAGCGGAATCGCTTTAATGGAGTCCAATATGTAAGTGCAACACAGGGTCAAATGTATGCATTGATGTTCAAACGACATCAGCAAAACCAATCTTATAATTCCAACGCATAGTAGTACCACTCCCATGACATTCAAATATTTCAATTTTCATTATCAGAGGAATCGCTTTAATTAGGTCCAATATGTAAGTGCAACACAGGGTCAAATGTCTGCAGCGATGTTCAAACGACATGTCACCATGAAAACAGAGGATTTAAGAATGGAATTAAGTTTCTTCCCCCCCCCCCATTTCAAAATCAGGCTGTACTGAGATTGGGAAAATGATGTCCAAACTTCCTGATTTTGTTTGTCTCTGTCTCTGTGTCTCTCTCCCTTTCTCTCTCTCTCTCTCTCTCTTTCTCTCTCTCTCTCATCACGACCCGGAACACCCGTACAGCTTCCACACCCACCAACTTATTATTATTATTTGTCTCTCACTCCCTTCCTCTCGCTCTCTTTCTTTCCTTTGATACAATTTCTGTTATTTATGCATTTTTATCTCTCTCTCTCTCTCTCTCTCTCTCTATCAATCTGGCTGTCTGTCTCTGTCTCTCTCTCTCTCTGTCTCTCCCTGTCTCTGCCCTACTGTATGTCTGTCTGTCTGTCTCTCTCTCTCTCTCTATCCGTCTGGCTGTCTCTGTCTCTCTCTCTCTCTGTCTCTCCCTGTCTCTGCCCGACTGTATGTCTGTCTGTCTCTCTCTCTCTCTCTCTGTCTGTCTCTCTCTGTCTGTCTCTCTGTCTCTCTCTTTCTCTCTCTCTCTAGTGCTCTATCCCCCCTCTCTCTCTATCTCTCTATCTCCTTCTTTCCTTTAATACAATTTCTGTTATTTATGCATGTTTGTATGCATGTTTGGATTCGTTGTTTTTGCAGCCATCCGGTAGACGTCACAATGAATGATGCAATTTATCTCACTGTAAGTCATGAATTGACTTGTCTAGCCATAAGTGTTTTACATGAAATGGATGCACTTTATCATCAGCTACAAGTGCAATGATACCGAGTGTTTTCTGCTGTTTTCAAGTTTATTTCTACCTCGTGTATTCCCCTTCCTTCTCTCTACCGACTACCTTCATCTGGACACAAAGCACTAGCTATAAACAAAAATCATAGCTAATTGTTTTTTTTTTTTTTTTTTTGTTTTTTTTTTTTTGTCATGGGTTTTTATGGAAACGTATGGAATTTGTTAGGATCTAGAGAATTTAAATTTCAAACGACCTGAAACAAGAATAGACAATTCAAAGTCAAAAAAGACTTTTTGAAATAAGAAATCAACCTCACTCTGTTTTAAGTCTGGTCATTGAAGATTGAAAACTCTCATTGTTATAATAAAAGTTACAATTGATATCAACTCTTTGTAAGACGGGGCCCAGAAGTGAAATGAGGCTCCTAGCTTATACGTCTCATATTGACGAGTATAGAAGGCAATAAAACACCTCTAATGTAATTATTCACTCGGAAAATGTTCAATATTTTACTGGTATTATCGAAATAGGAGGGTGCCCTCTTTACATAGTTTTATGACCAACCTAACGTAGTTAAAAGGCCCTAAAATATATGTTTCATAATTTATATCCAATCAACTTTCTGCTAGTGTTCCTGTGTTGTTTTGAAATCATATTAGGATTCTGATGATCTTGTAGACTGCAGTAAATGAAGACCCCCAAAACGGGTTTTAATGTCGAAAGTGGTTGAAGTCAGCATGTTTTCCCTTTTAGAATTTGATATTCATTTTCTTTGATCTGTTCCACCAAAGAAATCGTTTTGTTTTCTTCCCCAATGTAAAAAGACATAAAAAAGCGGTTACTTGCTGCCCGAAGCTTATAAACTAGAATATGTGCTTGGATTTTATATCTGAATCTATTTTAGGAGAGACTCTAGAATCAAATTTGAAAGGTAAAAAAATGAGTAGTTACATTATTTCTACGAAAATGAAAAATATTTCTCACAACATATTAAATCACCAACAGTTCTCATTGCATTCGTCATTAGACGATCAAGGATAATTCACGCGTCATAGATTTGATGTTTATCAAGCATATTTAGGTTTCAGTCAATGAATAGTTGATTGAGAATTGAATTTGTGTTGATTTCCGGGAAAATTCTGTTCATGCTCGTAAAGGTAAACAGCCAAGACAAACCCTTAGGGATGGAGTCATTTTGTTCACTATTTTGTCTGCGTCCCAGTTTCAGAATAACAGTTGAAACATGGAAAAAGACTGACGCCATAATAGATACATGTTGTAAATAACATTATATTTTTCTCGGAATTTCATCTAAAGTTCCTTTTTTTTCTATTATGGCATCAGTCTTTTTCCATGTTTCAACTGTTATTAATTATTAGATTGACATTTAATGCCTACAGACCCCCCCCCCCCCTCTCACTCCCAAATGTCAAAATACATGTTTTAGATTCATAATGGTCATTGTCATTGGATTACATTATATCCAAATTGTGTATGTTTTATCCATATTTGATACGTCTTTTATTCGATTTGATATTTTGAGAAAGTTGCCTATAAAAGGCCTTAAACGTACTGTACTTGCACTTCGCCAATAACAAAGGCCAAGATAAATCTTTATCTCACCCACTGGGCAAGTATCAGAATCACAGAAACGTAGAGCATGTAGCAGAAGTGAGAGCAAGACGCCCTCACACACAGCCTGGCGGAAAACATCGGAATCGATGGCTAGCGCCGATAAACCCAACAACAACAGTTACGACTGAATTGTTCAATTATAAATGTATAAATGATAGATTCCCTATGTTGAAGAATGATGATTATGGTGTAGGTGGTAGTATTGACTATGGTGATGATGATGATAATAGTGGTGGTGGTGGTAATGACGGCGAAGATCATTCTGAATATACACTCTTTTTATTTCTTAATTGCGCCTTTCGTTATTTGTCATCAAAACATAGTACAGCAAAAACAAAAAGGAATAAAGTTAATGGAATGCGGATGTCTTTAAATGCTTTGAATATATTCTTTAATTTGCATTGTATTGTATTTATTTTCCGTCAATTAAAAACAAAATATAGACATTTACAATTATAATATAAAGACAAACTAAAACGAGGAAGACGGAGGGAAGGCCTACTCAGAGTTGTTAGCATAAAACGCTGTTTTACAGAGGGTTCCCTATATAGACATAAAAGACATTTAAATATATGGTACAGGAATAAGGACAACTTATCCCTCCCCCCTCCCCCCCCCAAAAAAAAAAGAACTTTAATAATGACAAAGCGAATCGGAGTAAAACAAGAAAAAGGAGAGAAATATTTACAATATATTCAAGAGAAAAAGCTAAACAAGTAAATATAAAAAGATTATTAAAAAAATTAGCTTACATAATAATAGAGTATCTAAACAGGTACAAGAAGTCAGGAATAATATTGTTTAAAGGCCCACTGCACTACTGGTAGCTACTTGCGCCCTCTATATAACAAACAATGCCTAATCGGTGACTATTGGTCCCCTATGATCCTCTTTTTGTTATGTTAACTGAGAGCTGAGTTGATGAGATAACCACCTGTCCAGTGACCTTGCAGAGCGGTCTAATCCCTCCTGTAAACTACGGCAGATAAGCTTTAAATTCTTTCTGAATGTGTTATTGATGGTTGGAAAGTATGCTATGCCTTAGAAAACAGACTGAGGGGCTTTAGGTTCCTCTCTCACCTATCCCGTGTGCCTCACACGCATGCATTCAAGCCGATATATCCAATTCTGTGGCATAATGACCTATAGCTCTAATGTACGATGAAAGTAATTATAAACAAGCTTACCTTGAATTATTCCAGGGAGAATAATGTTGTCAGAAAGATGAATATTTATTTGAGACTGTATTATGATGTGTTAAAAACGTATTCCCTTGCCCAATCAAGGATGGGTACATACATACGTAAGCGGTGATGAGTCTTGCAACCAAGAAACACTTCATTCGTAACGCAGTAGAAGAAGGGGGCCACTTGTTAGAAAAATGGGATAAGGGTGGGTAGGGATTTAGCAGATAACATGGTATTGTTAACATACACATTAATGTGACGCCAGATAAATGTAGCTTCATATTGAGGTTATATTTTAGCATTGCAGGTCATTCTTTATCGAGATTAAGTAATATCACAAGATATTTTGTTCATATTTCCGTCTTCAGAGGTAGCTTGTTAATTAATTATACAATGCGGAAACATTAACAACATTAAAAGTATTTAGCAAATGAATATTAACACATTGAACAACAATAATAACGTCAAAGCCCCTATAAAGTGTTGGGAGCCCAACAAAATTGATGGCAAAATTTCTCATAATGGGAAAGAATACAAAATTCAGGTTTCCTGCGGACAACAGAAATCCTAAATTATGTATTCTTTTATCAAAGTTTTTTTGGGGGAAATCTTTGCAGAATTGTGTCTTAAAAGACATCCTCTTTCATATTATGATACAATTTAAGTGAAATTTTGCCACCAGTTTTGGGCGAATTATGGGCTCCCAGCACTTTAAAGGGCCTTAAAAAGGATTTGAACACGTAATTCATAAACATTGATTTTACATTTTCAAAAAGAAAGAGGTGTAGTAATCAGTTAAAATGTTGAAGAGCATTTGATAATATGATTTTATTCAACTGCATTTCGTTTTTAAAAACATGCCATATCGAAAAAGTATATTACTTTTTCCCTTGAAAGTAGTTTACCATAATTATATACATTTTATATGTTGCTTATTGTGCTTATCCAATGACTATATTTATATCTTTTGTATTTGGACAATAAGAATCTATATTAAGAATCAAGTGCTCTTCAATTAATAGTAATGGTGGTTTGAAGTTACAGTGATTAAATCCATCAATGCAGTAACAAAACAATATTACCTTCAGGGCATTTTTGAGGATGCAAAACGATAGAATCGTTTGTTCACGTTTTGTTAGAATGGCCTATTATAGGTTTTATTATCACAAGATAAACTGATCAGTTTACATTTTGTAACGCTCCTTCTTTTTTTTCTTTGGCAGATATGCATTCATCATGACGTTCCTTGGTCTCAACTCGTTAATGTCCCATGCTGTGATCGCTGTCGATCGATATCTTGTCATCACAAAACCACATTTCGGTAAATTCAAAAATCAATGTTCAAATGAATGTGATAAAATTAGTGAGGACTGAACTTAAATACCAAAAACGTTTTAATGAAATACTTTCTGCGTTATTTATGTGCTAAATAGTAATCTAATGTTATGGCTGTAGAATGTAAAAACTTTTATTTCACTGTTAAACACTGAACAATACCTCAATTTCAAAAGATCTCGGAGAGCTTATCACGGGGATGAAACGCTGTAATTATATGTTTATACTCGATATATCCCTGTGTATTATTATGCGTACATCGGTTTAAATATTCCTCTCTCTCTCTCTCTCTCTCTCTCTCTCTCTCTCTCTCTCTCTCTCTCTCTCTCTCTCTCTCTCTCTCTCTCTCTCTCTCTCTCTCTCTCTCTCTCTATGTGCAGGCATCGTGGTGACGTACCCCAAGGCCTTCTTGATGATATCCATACCGTGGGTGTTCTCATTCGCCTGGGCCGTGTTTCCACTAGCCGGTTGGGGTGAATTCACCTATGAAGGAACAGGTGCTTGGTGTAGTGTGAGATGGGATAGTGATCAACCTCAGATCATGTCTTACGTACTCGCGATGATGTTCTTAACGTTCATATCCAGCATCGTGATCATGATGTATTGCTACATCTGTATCTTTCTCACGACGAGGAGAATGCCACGATGGGCTACGTCCAACAGCATCAAGACACATGAGAGGAATAGAAGAAGAAGGTGAACTCTTTAATATTATGACATGCCATTCGAAATGCTGCACAGATCTAGGTGCGTGGGACGAGGTGCAGGCACGTAGTCACGGGGGGAGGGGGGGGGGCACGTGCCCCCTAAAATTTCCAAGATCGGTTGAACTTTTTTAGACCCCTTTTTTTTTTTACCTCGATCGATTACATGTATGTGCCCCCCCCCCCCAAAAAAAAAAACAAGAAAAAAAAAACATCGAAATCTGGCTACGCGCCTGACGAGGTGCACTCGCTAAAGCGAAATAGACTCTGTCGAGAAAGTTTCTCAAGGTCATTAGGACAAAGCCCAGCGCATCTTACACTATCGGGTGCTCCGAACTGCACATTGTTTTATCAAAGGGCTAGATATTCTATAATAACAAGTGTGAACACAATTTTATTCCAATGTGGTGATAGTGAGAACCTTTCTTTCAAGGTGAGAAATGTCTAAATGGATACTTCTCATGACCCAACACAACTCATCTTGCTTATTTATTTCAAATAGAAACCATTGCATAAAATGTATGTCAGAAGGAAAAAGGAAAGAAACGTGTTACAATCACATTTACGCAGTGAAGTATGATTGATAACCTTGCTCTATTTCGTCATAAACAATATAAATACTTGTATATTAGCTAATAATACTCTACCTTGATCAAAAATAGATATTTCGTGAATGTAAGGCTATAATGACACAGCCTCGATTTACTCAGACCAATGGTTGGTTTGAAACACGAGATGGCGCCCTCATTTCGAACCCGATGCGCTTTTAAAGAGTGCGGATGGTTTTTTCAACCCCACGAATCGATAAGTTATGACACCAAATTGCACTCTCTGTGTTAGTGCCATAAACTTCTGTATTACACATGGATGAATTGTTTCTTCTTTTTTTTTCCACTCAGCTTCCCGCCCCCCCCCCCAAAAAAAAACAAACAACACACACAACAACAACAAAAGGAACAACAACGGCAGCAACAAGAACAACATCAAATGATCCCCATTATTGTTTTTTACGATTTCATTGAAAAATGTCAGGCATTTACCCATTTCTGTTTGGACCATCGTGGCATAAAATGGACCTGCTTTGAAATCGTATAATAAAGAAAAATAAGTTATGGTGGGTCCTGAAATCGTATTTCAGAGAAATATTATCAGAATATGTTTCTTTCTGCCCTTCAAACTACCCCCGCTTTTCGCTAAAATGGTGTTAACCTGCATTTTAATCACAGATAAATTAGATAATTGTTTCCTGTCGCAATTACTTGACCGATTTTGTTATAATGGGTTTCTACTGTCATTTATCATCACAGAGAACAGAAGTTATTGAAGACCCTTATCGCCATCGCCATTGCTTTCCTGGTGGCCTGGTCACCGTATGCCATTACGTCAATGATTGTTGTCTTTGGTGGATCTGAACTGCTCTCGCTGACGGCCACTACTCTACCTTCTCTCTTCGCTAAGAGTAGTGTCATGATAAACCCAATCATCTATGCCGTCACCAGCAGAGTGTTCAGGAAGAGCCTCAAGAAGGTAACGATCAGAATGTTTAAAGCCCCACTGCACTACTTGCGCCCTTTATATAGCAATCAATGCCTAATCGGTGCATGTTGGTCCCCCATGCATGATCCCCTTTCCCTTATGTTAATTGGAGCTGATTTGAACTTTGGACTCAGTGAACTTGCAGGGAGGTCTAATCCCTCCTGGCCGAACTAGTGCAGATGGGCTTTAAAGTGTTTCAACACTACGGTCTGTATTCTTTTCCACTCGTAACCCTGCCCCCTAAGCTACGCCGCCGAATCTTGACAAGTTTACAAGATGAAAACAGCCACCATAACAACAGCCTTTGATTGATTTATTATCCGATTTAGTGACTTAATATCAATATTGTATTCAAGGCTGTTATAAAAAATAGAAACAATTAAAAGTTTATTACCGTGACAGCAAAGTAAAGGGTACCAGCGTATCTTTGGACAATTTGTCTAAAATGAAATAATAATGAACCTTGCAGTTATTTTGAATAACACTCTGAATATTAACCCAGACTGTCTTCTGATGAGAACTTGCATAGTATTAAAATATGAAAGGATTAAAGATTTGTTTCATACAGGGGTTGTATAACAATATATATGCAATAGGGCCTACATATATTTGGGGTGCATGTATGATTTCACTTTTCGTTAGGGAACATTTTTGAATATATTTTAGTACAAAGCAAATGGGAGGGAAGCTCGCAAGATATGTGACAGAGTTGCCAATTTTTGTTTGATAGATCGCAAATTTAAAAAATCATAACTTAAGTATTTTTAATCGGATTTTGCTCAACTTTTCACTGACATGTTGCTCTCATTTTTCTGCTTCTATCGAAAGTAAATTAATATCAGGGTGAACTTCCCTTTAAGATGGGACCAGTAGGATTTTACAAATGAATCAACTCAAACATTTAATTTATGAAATCCACATGAATGTCACATTTAAGGGTTTCGTCTAGAACAACATTTGGATGAAACAGATGAAAATACACCATGAATCATGACTAATTTACGAAGAAAACAAGAAAATACAATATCAATTCTTGTACTTAAAGTTCGTAAGCTCTTCACTTTGAGGGCCGACATGCGTTTACAAAAGGTCACGTGACTTCGTAACTGGACGCCTGATTTTCAACTCGATGCTCCAATGGCGTAAACAAAGTTGAATTTAAAAGACATGGTAGCAAGAAGTACAAAAGCTCTTGGGTATATGTCAATATTCAGGAACAAAAAGAGTCCAAAAGAAGAACATGAAGAAGAAAAGAACAACAAGAACAACAACGACAATAACACCAATGGCGCATACTGAAATTGGCATGGAAAAGGACCCATATATGGCTGGGGGGGGGGACACTGTTGGTATAGGAAGCGTAATCTTTACAAGACGGTTGTATCAATGTTTTGATCGAGGGGGAGGGGGGGGGGGCAGGGGCGTAAGCCAGATTTGTCCTGCAATGGGTAGTGACAATGTCTAACATGTATGTCATTTAGAGACATACGCCTAGATGCTTCGGTGGGAAGCACTTTATAAGCACCGCTTTATTATTATTATTATATTATTATTATGTTTTGTTTATCGTTTCAGATGCTGACTTCATTCTTCCCTGGGTGTATGACTTACATAATGACTGACAAAAGTCCTCCTAGTAGCTCCAGACCGATACAATTAGGCCTATGTAAGTATCATTTCTTATATTAAAGTGACTCGGTAACATTGTTGAAGGTTGATGAGAAAACTGCGTAATTGTTGGATAAAATGTTACTTATTATATTCCTTCTATCGTACTAACCCTGTAATATACAAAAAATCCTGAACAAATTCTCAAACCACAAAGATATTAATTGTTTTCTTTGAAGGCGTCACTGTGCGAAATCCTCTAACCGTTAATTCTTCCAACCATTTCCCCATGAAAATAAGACATAAGACAGGCTTTAAAAAAACTTTCAACATGTCTGGAATGTTTTATAGAGCCAATTTATTGCGTTGTGACAATTTACTTTCACCTAAAACGTAATTAAATTGCAATAATATAGTTGGGAGAATGAATGAATCGATCAGATCAGATTTCCCCAACTTTTATCAATAATAATGGTCTGTTTTCACTCAAACTTTCAGATTATCTTCAATTGTACATCAAGCATTGAAATCATTACCATCGCACCATTTTCTCTCATCTAAACAATGTTACCAAGTCCCTTTAAGCCGACCACAAACTATACGATCTCCCTGTGATCCGATTATCAAAAGCATGTGACACATGACAGTGTCCGTGCTCTTCATGCGATCGCACGGAAGCGAGTAGAGTCGCTTGAACAAAAACGGAATCTGTTTAGAAATCGAGCATTGATTTTATTCCGGTTTTGGGTCACATGACTCTCCTCGCTTCCTAGCTAAAGCACTACTGACCGGAAAAAGTCAGAATAGCAAAACACCGATGGATTTTTTAAATATGTTTTTCCACTAATGTAAAAGGCAGAAGAAGAAAAAAATCATTGCTTTTTCAAAATGGTGTTTTAAGCTGTGTAAATGACCTTTATACAGAGCTCATTCAATACGCGCAGGACCTTTGTTACGCGTAAGTTGCCATTATTTTGTTTGCGGCGGTTGACCGCGTCGGGACCGCGTCGGGACCGCGTCATTTCCGAACGAGCCTTTACAAACACTCATCAAATAAAGTGTTTGTGTATACTTGGTATATAGTTGTCTTGAGGTCGCAGCACCGTACATGTCTCTTAGTAGGTTACATGCCTCTCTTGTGATGTAAGGCGAAATGACAATCTCCTTTTGGTAATGGTTATGATATCTTCATTTTTCTTTCTTCTTGTTGAATCACAGCAAGTGACAGCAAGCTGAAGAAAGACGACCAGACGAGTTCATGTCTTGTACCAGGTAACTACGAGATATGTGCGGCGGCCGTTCCGGTGCCACCATCTGCTGTCTTGCCCAAAGTCAACGTCGAACCGAGCGGTAACAGATTATCAGCAGCTATCGAAATGGAACGGTTAAACAAGCTGTTGCCAGGGAAACACGGGAAAGGACGCCCACCTTATTTCGGTAGACGCGCATCCGATATTGGCATACCCGAGACTGGATACAAGACAGTCGTGAAGGAGGTAACGCAACTTGACGAGGAGAGTCAGAACTGCGTGACAGCAGAGGGCGCTGTGGAGGTAATAGGGGATCGCGCAAAGCAGAATTCAGTCTCGACGGATAACTGTTCCTTAGAATTGAACCATATTATCGATGGAATCCACGGCAAGTATGCTGGAATAAAACAAGACGTGGATGATGAAGAAGAGGATACAAGTTGTGACCAAATTAAAGAAATTCCCGTGAAAGAACCAAAGAAATTGAGCAAGTTGGACAAGACTAGTTGCTCTGTTGTTTCTGCCGGAGGTAAAGAAGACAAAAGAAAGACAGCGATAGCGATAGACTATTACAGCTCTCAGAGCAGTGTTAATGCGGACAGTGGTGTTTTTGAAACGAGCCCAAATTGCAACACGGCAAAGAAATCACAAATTAGCGTGCAAAGGCAAATAGAAAATGAAATATAGCTGCTAGTGTAGCATTAAAAAGCCGATCAATTTACCAGAGTAAGGTGAACTGAAAATATATAAAAAATGACCTATATGTTATATTTATACTATTTAATTATAAGTTAATGAAGAGCATTTGCATAAATAAGTTTCAGCAGGAGAGACGGCCCCCTAAAATCTCTTTTGTGGCATGCATAATTGTTTTGCACCCGTTTGATAAGATGCCTTTTATTTCTGTGTCTCTTCTCAAACATTGAGCAGTGTCTAGCCTACAGGAAAGCTTGCCTGATCTTTGATTTAAATAACAATATGTCCTGGGGGCGTTTCACAAAACTTGTCATCAGTGACAAGTGATCGTTTTTGTTATAAGCTACTGAAATCCTTGCTTCTGATTGGTTATCAGCCGATTTGTCACTGATTTTTGCATTTGTCATTGAAAAAAAGCTTTGTGAAACGAGTCCCTGGACACTGATACTTATAGAGTTGTAATTCTATACCATAAAGGTTCAAGGAACCTCACAATGGGTTGTGGGATGCAAAAACGATATGACAGTTTTTAAACCGTTTATTAACAAAAATTCTATTATAAACCGCTTCATGAAGATTCTAGGCTTCGATCTGATAGAAGTCGAAGCTGCATGCCTAAAGCGCGCTACTTCTCTCTCTCTCCCTCCCTCTTTCGCTCTACTCTCTCTCTCTCTCTCTCTCTCTCTCTCCCCCTCCCCCCCTCTCCCTCTCTCTCTCTCCCCCTCCCCCTCTCTCTCTCTCTCTTTTCTTCTGTTATTCTATTTCTTTTGCGACAACGGGGGCGGTCGTTCCCACTGCTACTGTTTTCAAATCACCTCTCCTAGAATGTTCGCAAAATTAATGCTTGTCACTATCTAAATAGGTTCATACAAATATTGACTGCTTTGAATGTTCGGGTTTCGGTTAAAGGTAAAGACCAGTTATGGTCATGCGATTGCATTGTGAAAGAAGCGTTGTGGAATCGATCAGAAAAGGTTGATCATCTAGCATCTAGCATCTGCAAGGTTCTGGAATCATCAAAATGATAAGAAATTTGGCCCATTCTTCGTAAAGTTACAAGCACTATACACAGAAAGATGTATATGGGACTACCCTATATCTCTCACAGACCATGAGAGAAACAAATTTACCAAATATATGAATTAATAGGCGGTTTCCCAGCAAATTTGTTATCATCATGTATTAGTCAAAACATATTCCTTCACATGATTGGTAATGAGAGCTTCCATTTCATTTTTTGAAATTGGGGCGTTTCCAATACTGGTCTTTACCTTTTATAAAACAGCTATAGCCCAATGTGATCTAGAAATTGCACTGTTTTAACCGTAACCCGAAAATACAGCAATCAACATGTCTTTTTATATACCGCATCCTGCTTGCTGCTCGTCATTTATTTTTATATCCCGTTCAAAATGTAATTTACGAATTTAAAAGAAATGCGCGTATCCACTGGCGCATCTATATTGCTTCCTTAAGTGTACTCGCTAGAAGACCTCTGCCCAGTCGCGTATTTTTTATTTACACGCTAGCGAGGGGAATTTCTCGATTAATTCCAATGAAACCGCTCGCGAAGAGTCTAGACTAGTGCTATATAGTGTGAATTTACATCGAGGACAAAGTTTGCTTAAGTTTATCTTGAATCACTTGAATGGTTATGGAACCTGTTCGTGTTTCTAATCTTCAAATATTAATATTATTCTGCATGAAATATAAAATATATAATATTTCTACTGTGGTATGTAAAGGCATGAACTTACGTTAATACATGTACAGTTCATACAAAATATATCTTTTTTAAACCAAGAAGGTGCACCATGGTAATACATTTTAACAAACACATCAACATATTACCTAGACATCTCATCACAATAGCCATTGTAAAACCATATATTAATGATGTAAAATATAGATTGAAGCAATTCTAGTCCATTGGCTGTATCCTGAGTGTGATTTATATAATGGATTTTGAGTAATATTTGCATCTACTTGTATATGAAGAATAGATATAGTGCATAAACTAGAATATATGGAGATGTGTAGAAATCAAGTTGGAGCTCAATTGGAAGGAAGTAACGAGAAATATTAAAGCAGGAGAAACTGAGAGATGAGGAAAGCAGGAAGTTATTGAAATTGAGAGATTACTCACGAGAGAGCCTTGCATTAATGAATCCTTTATATAATGTTGTCTTGAGAGGAAGTAGACGATTTTTTTTTTTAATCGGAGATTAGTGTAAGTATTAGAAAAACAGAAATAGAATTAATGAGGAACTTTAAAAAAAAATCTTAAATCGAGATCAATACTTGTAATTAGACAGGGAATCTACAACTGGCATTTATGTGCGATGTCACACCAACGCGTAAGGCATGTCACACACAAAAAAAGGAGAAGAAAAGAGACAATAATGTAAAAGAGAAGAAGATAGAGGATAGAGGAAAAGGAGAGAGACAGAGAGAGAGAGAGGGAGAGAGAGAAAGAAAGAAAGTAAAAAAAAAGGAAGAACAAGAGAATTAAATTTACACTTAGGCCTACATATTACATTTCCAACTGAGTTGGCTTGACATAATATGTGCCTAAGAAGCGGCGGACGAAAGTACAACAATACGAAAACAGAAGTTATATAAAATTGTCTTTAAGAGAGAAAGAGAAGTTATTTCTAGAATGAAATGAATGGGGCTATGTGACTTTCAAGGGGGAAATTATAATTTATATCGCTCGTAACGACTATTTTGAATTTCCGATTTTTTTTTATTCAAGAACTTCCTGGGGCTTCTCCCCAAGACTCCCGGCAAAGTCAAATTATTTATTTCTTGCTGTCTGCTGCCTCGAGCAGTGGCGGATCCAGGAGGGGGGGGGGGCCCGGGGGGCCCGGGCCCCCCCCCCCCCTTGAGAAAAAAATCATGTAAAATCACGTGATTTTTACCTTTTTGGGGGTTTGGGCCCCCCCCCCCCTGGCGCTCAAGGGGGGGGGGGTGCAAATTGAATTTTTTTTGAGGATCAAAAAAAAAAATGTGCTCACTACCCCCCCCCCCCCCCCCCCCAAACTCAAACTCAATGGCCCGAATTCACAAAGGAGGTTTGTCGACAAACCTTGGTTTTCGTGCGTCATAATTATGACGCGTTTCGACGCGTTTTTACAAACCAGGTTTGTAAAGGCTTTGTGAATTCGGGCCAATGTGGGCATCATCCCATTATCATTAGGGGCTTTTATATTTGCGTGGGCTGATACGTGTGACGTCCATTCAAGGCAGTGCATTAAAAAGGACGCCGATCGTAGCAATCCCCATTGTCTTTGTGCGAATCTAAAAGTCTCTAATATCAGTACAGTACGTACATAAAGGTTTAAAATACAGTCTAGGCTCTCCGCGAGCGGTTTCATTGGAATTAATCGAGAAATTCACCCTCACTAGCGTTTAAATAAAAAAAATACGCGCCCGGTCAATAGTTTTAGCTATGCTGCCCAGCAGTCAGTAGTGAATTTCATGCCTGCCATTTTTGACCGATAAGAAGCCTAGAATCGTGTGGTATATATATATATATATAGATTGTGATATATAATCATGATCGACTGTGATAGCGGTTTTATACTGAGTGTACAGAATTTGAAAAACGATATGAAATCCTCTTGACATATTTTTGGTTATTTGGGAAGAAACTTGTGTTGTTTCTTGAGATATTTTGTTAATAACATTATGTACAGTGTCAAATAAATTTTATTTTCTAACAAAATAATACATAGCATAATATCATGCACTGACTGTATTTGACGTCATCTACACTTTGAACATTTGAACTATACATGCAAATATTATTATAATGAAAAGAAATGAAATAAAATTATGTGTAACTCGAGTTTTACAAAATTGAAAATCAAATATCGGTGACCCTCGGGTCTCTCCTTCCGGTGTAATTGATTAGAATGTACAGGTAAGCCTACTGTATACCTACATCACCATGCAAGCCGATTCATAGTTGTTTGTGTTAGTTATCAAGATGCATCATTACACACAATGGGCCTGGAGTCTACTGAATTAGTTGCCTCACCATGGTTATAAAGGGGAAACTTAGACTTTGGTCTACCTACCTTTATCTGAATTACGTGTACACCCCAATATTTATTTTAATCCTACGCTGGTTTGAAGGGTAATTCAATTCAATTGACGTCATTGGTATGGTAGCAAAAAATAAGAGATATAGAATGACGAGAGTTTGAAATAAATCAGGTCAATAATAAGGGAAGTATGAATGTTTTGAAATATATAAGATCACTAAATCCATGCGAATCTCAAATTGGTAATTTGGTCAATGGATTGAGACGTAGTAACGGGATATTTCTCCCGTTTGTCCGGCCGGCATACACACCCGGTGGGGTCACTCCCCTGCAGAGAGTGACACGTATGACCGTTACCACAAATGCAGATAACCCCCTTTTGCGGTCAATTTCGAGGACATTTTGTGAGATTTAACCCCCTTTTTTACGTCAAAACAAGGACAAAATCGTACTTTGGAATACCCCTATTTATAAGATTGTAAGGACACTTTCGCAAACTTACCCCTATTTTACCATATTTCAAGGACAAGACTCGGCTCCGAGAATTTTTCTTCCCGGTTTTCTCTTTTCTCTTCCCGGTTTTCTCTTTTCCCTTTTCCTTAGCCCTATTTATCAATTTCGAGGACACCTGTGCACCCCTATTTTCTTTATTTCGAGGAATATTTTGTCCGCGGACATTACTTGAAATTGACCCCTTTTTCCGCGATTTTGGTAACGGTCATGCGGTCCGGAAGTCAAATTGAGTGACCCCACCGGGCATACACAATTATCATTATTTTCTCTTGTCTCCTCAGTTCCTTCTCACTTGGGGCACGAATCAAACTATATTATGGGCAGCAATAGCATAATAGTATAGGTCCTCTAAAAAGAAAAGACCTTCCTGAATCATACATTTTGAAAAAAATTACACTTTAATCATTTTTTGTTTTGAAACGATTAAGAAAGTAGTCCGGCATTTCGTCATAGTGACATTGCCGATTCAGTCAACTTGGCTCGAAGTGCCCATATATAGTGATTACAACTTTCAAAACATGATGTCATTACTTTCTTACCTTTTCTCTGATTCGATTCAAACTTTCACCAATTTGCTTTTATGATTTTTCCTGCTTTCTTTTTGAGCAGTTGTATGCTAAAGTTGGATTTCCCTGTTAGTTTTATGAAGATTTGCTTATCCATGCGATACCCGATGTATAATTATTGTTTCCCTTGGTAATTTGTTTTAAATCACCATCAAGTAGTGTTGATAGCCTTGTGTGCCGTCTATTGACATTTCGAAAATGTGACTAAAATTATTGCGTAAGCGAACATGATTTCTATAGCGTTTGTGTAACTGAAATTGCCTTTAAGTTGAAGTCTTACAAAGTCTTTGTAATCTTGATTTTTTTTAACCCACGAACGTAATCAAAATGTGTGTTTGTTTAAGTTTTCTTGCCGACATTAAGTGCCTGTCTAATTTTTGTTACAAATAAATAATATAAAGATATAGTACCGTCTACATTCTTCATGTAGAAAATCGTTTTTGATGACAGAACAGAACCACCACCAAGGTATAGACAATTCTATTGAATATTATAGACGCTTTCATTATAGGCGAATCTAATAGTCCTGAGAAAATCTCGAAATAATCTGGAGGTGTTGAATGGTTACCCGGTAGGTAGGATGTGAAAGCTAACAATATGAACATGACTGACAAAGAAAGCGGACAAAATATACAGTTCCTCAGGTAGACAAAGGAACATCCCTTCACTGCTATTATGTAGAAATGTGCAGAACAGGTGTCACATGCATATTCACCTTTTTACATAATAGCAGTGAAGGGATGTTCTTTTGTCTACCTGAGGAACTGTATATTTTGTCCGCTTTCTTTGTCAGTCATGTTCATAGTGTAATGCTTAGATTAGCAAGTGTGCGCTTGTAAAAATGGCGCCTGGTTGGAATGCTCCCCAGGGAGTGGAGAATGTGCATATATTGTGTGCGGGTAAGCCTGAATCTGATGACCGGGATAATGATATACCGTATATCTGTAAAGCGCTTTGAGAGGGCCTGTAGTCCTTAAAAGCGTTATATAAGTACTAGCTATTATTATTATTAAAACCAATTGCAACCCTAATTCAGTAGCCCTATATCTTTGTCGAAATCATTAGAGTCCGAAAAATACTTCGCGTCACTAAATACTCGTGCTATTTACAATGAACGATGCAACCTTTCATGTTGAATTAATATCAATATCTGTCAAGGATATGAGAATTGTGCACTATGCGAATAAATGCAATCAATGTTTATTAATGTTATTATATCAAATGTTTTTATGACGGTGTTTGGAATATCATATACATGTACTGGATCATTAAAAAATAATAAAATACTATACTGTATACGAAGGTTTCACAAAGTTATTGCCTTATTCTTTTATATTCTTATATGTTATGTCTTAGTTTGCCTAGTTAGTATTTAATTCCTTTATTATTTTTGCAATAGCAAAATATATCAAATAATTCATTTTAAAAGAAATTAATTTTTGCTTCTTTCTGATGGTTTTTGCGGTGACCGCCCATCTGTCCACCCCGATTAGATATCCATGTATGAAGCTGAAGGTGGTTAGTCTCTATATTCAGGCCTGTTTCTTCCAACCCCGTCGTGAGGGCTTTAGTCAAAACAAAATATATTAAACAATTTTTGTAAAAGAAATTAATTTTTTGCTTTTTTCTGATGGCTTTTGCGTTGACCTACTATCAGTCCATCTCGATTAGATATCCATGTATGAAGCTGAAGGTGGTTAGTCTCTATATTCAGGCCTGTTTCTTCCAACCCCGTCGTGAGGGCTTTAGTCTCTATAGGCTTCTCCCTCCCCATTTTCCTTTTCTCTCACCATGGACCTACTAGGTCGTGTTCTCTCTTTCTCTCTCTCTGTCTCTTTCTCTCTCTCTCTCTCTCTCTCTCTCTCTCTCTATTTCTGTTTGCAAGAATTGCGACTCAATAATCAATAAAGGACTTCCCTCAAACTACATCTATTGCAGGCCACGAGCCTTTCCTTCATCAACATTGACACATTTTTTATACGACGAAGATAATTGTACGATGTCGTTTTCTAGTCTATACGCTCTTCGCATGATATTTCTCTAATAGTTTGGTAAAGGCGAGGCTTTGCTGAATAAGTGTCAAAAGGTCATATTTACACTCCGTTTGCGCAGACATGCGTGCTACCGTGGACCTTCTGGTTATATGGATGGTGCAACTTCGGTAGGCAGCTATAACAACTGACCTCTCTGGCTGTACCAAAACGTTCCAGTCGTAATCCTCTATGCTTGCGAACCTGTGTGAGAAACGCGGGGAGAAACGGTGGAAAAACTACGACAAGGTGAGGGTGCTTCTATTTTCGGGAATAGTCGACGAGATAACTATAATCAAGGTAAGACCATAGAATCATTCAGTGACAATAAAATAATCATCTACGATTTGAGAGGAGGAAAATAATTGGAGTATATTGGTACATGTATATGGTAGGCAGGGAGAGTGGGCGTGGCCCCATGTACTACACTAGTCTAGTGCCTGTATTGTAGAGCGCACATGTATTTCGTACTTCTTTCAGAAACCAGTTCCGCATAAATTATAACTTGTAATTAGAAGGTATTCAGGGGTGGGTGGGAATGGGGGAGAGGGATATTTCCCTGCGATGTTTGTATACATATTATGTAATTAGAAGGTATTCAGGGGTGGGTGGGAATGGGGGAGAGGGATATTTCCCTGCGATGACATCGCAGGGAAATATCCCTCTCCCCCATTCCCACCCACCCCTGAATACCTTCTAATTACAAGTTATAATTTATATATATATATATATATATATATATATTGTGTGTGTATGTGTGGGTATATGGGAGGGGCTATCGAAGCCAAAGCGTCGCTATCCAAAACTAGAGCGACTAAATGGGTTTCGATCTCGGAGTATACTATAGGAAGACAAATGAGGCGACCACAGGACCAGCTGACATCTCTCTATTAAACTTTAGTCCTCTTAGACTACATCTTACATAACAAGCTTCATAGGTTACAGACATAAGAAAATCCTTTTGACTGATATAACCGACCACCTGCCAATCTTTGTCACGATTTTTTGGAATGAACCTGTACACGAGTCACGGGAATCTTTTTACCGTAGGAAGATATCTGAACTTGGTATAAAAATGTTCAGTGCAAATTTTCATGCAATAGATTTTAATGACTTTTATGATGAACCTAATATTAATGTAAAATACGATATGTTTCTACAATCCTTCATGAAACTGTATAATGAATGCTTTCCTCTGAAGAAAGTCTATGTAAAAAGGAGTAGTTGCATTAGACCTTGGTTAACTAATGATTTGAGAAAGAGGTGTAAAAAGAAAAACAGGTTATATAAGAAATTCATTCTGAATCCATCTCCTTACCGTGAGAGCAATCATAAACACTTTAGAAATTCTTTGAACAACGACATTAGGCATGCAAAGCAAGAATATTTTTATAAGAAATTCCATACTATAAAAAATGATATAAAAAGACTTGGAAATACTTGAATGAAATCATAAAGCAAAAAAAGCAAAACAATAGTCCTGACTATATTATTAAAGATAACATAAAGAATTAAAGATAACCTAATAAACTTGAAATGTCAAAGGAATTTAATGAATATTTCAGTACAATCGGCAGTTCTATTGGGAATCAGTCGATACCTTTGCTGAGCACAAATTTTAAACATTATCTCACAGGCAATTATGTTAATTCTTTATTTCTTAAACCTGTAACTGAATCAGAAATAATTAATTGTGCTAAAGAATTGAAAGTGGGTAAAAGTGCGGGATACGATAATATAGATCCAACATTTGTTAAAAAGACCATATTTTTGTATACAAAGCATTTGTGCTGTCTTTTTAACGAATCATTTATCTCTGGAACAATACCGGATCAAGTAAAGATTGCCAAAGTAGTTCCTATAAATAAAAGTAAGGGTAAAGAGTGTTAAGACAACTATCGACCAATATTTATCTTGCCAGTATTTTCCAAAATTTTAGAAAAACTTGTCTACAGAAGACTCGTTGACTATATTGATAAAAATAATATTTTTTTCTCAAAACAATTTGGATTCAGGCAGAAATATTCAACCTCAATGGCTTTAATAGAATTCATGAATTATGTATCCCGTGCCATAGAAAGCAAACTGGTTTCAATTGGTATCTTTCTTGATCTTTCTAAGGCTTTCGATAGTGTCAATCATTCATATTTGTTACAAAAACTTTCATTTTATGGTATTAGAGGTATTTCCTTGAATTGGTTTGAAAATTATTTGAATAATCGTAAACAATTTGTTATTATTGATCAACAGTCTTCTGATTTATGTACCGTTGTGACTGCGCCATGTCTGCTGGAGCTGGAGGCGATCGCGCAAGGGCAGAAACATGGTCATGGCCTGGAGAAGTTTTTCGTTGTCAGCAAATAATGAACCTCGACCAGTAAATCAATATTAGGGACTTTTAGATTTGCACGATGAGAACGTGGACTGCAACGTGTGACCTCCTTTTAAGGCACTGCCAGTGCTTAAAAGGACGTCACATGTGACTGCCAGTGCCTTAAAAGGACGTAACACGTCCACGTCCACGCAAATCTAAAAGTCCCTTTTGAGGAGAAGAGGAAGACCAAAATGTCGTGGAATGATATGGTAACATGGGCAGATCTACGGGGGGTTAGGGGGTTTAACCCCCTCCTCCCACCCCCCCCCCCCAGCCCCCTTGGGCTGCCAAGTGAAAATGTGATATTAAATTAAAGCGGGGGGAGGGGGATGCTGGAGAGGAGGACTACTAATCTATTTTATTTTTTTCAGGGGGCGAAGCGCCGTTTTAGCATGACTTTCTTTTTAACTCTTCACCTATCTCAGATAACCCTAAGTTTTTGGTTGCTGCTTTATATGTAGTTGATAATGCATGATTAAAATAGAGAGAGAGAGAGAGGGAGAGAGAGAACCACCATCATTTTGCAATGGTTCAGGGTTCGTGTTATGTACATTTGAAACCATTTCTTAGCGTCTCAACCCTAAAAAAATAGCAAAACTATTTTTGAGGAAAAGCATTATACTGAATTAAATGGGGGGAGGGGGAGAGCCCCCGTAGACAAACAATTAATTTGAGCCCTGGCAGCTAGGTAGTTTCAAAGCACCCGTTTCAAATGACGGATAGAAATCAAAAGTCCGCACTCTGTGGCAAGAATCCTAACTATATCTTTATACAAGAGTCCCATTTCGAAACATAGTTTAATCACAGTATTTCGTTCTCGTTGTGGTTCATCCATTCTCGGCTATGTAACGTATGAAGACAGTTTGTCATACTCACTCAATGTACAGGGCCTCCGAACCCTCGTGATAAGTCGTGGCCACGAGATACTAAGTCGTGGCCTCGAGATACTAAGTCGTGGCCACGAGATACTAAGTCGTGGCCTCGAGATACTAAGTCGTGGCCACGAGATACTAAGTCGTGGCCACGAGATACTAAGTCGTGGCCACGAGATACTAAGTCGTGGCCTCGAGATACTAAGTCGTGGCCTCGAGATACTAAGTCGTGGCCTCGAGATACTAAGTCGTGGCCTCGAGATACTAAGTCGTGGCCACGAGATACTAAGTCGTGGCCACGAGATAAAAAATAATTTCTCACATCGTTTTATGTCCCCTTAGGGGCTCCGTACTTTAGCAACTCGATCACAGCACTTTTTTTTTATAATCACTGCGCCTATAGCTTCCATAATTTTGGACTCTGGACTCCCGGATGTAACCAAGGCAACCAGGAAACCCTGAATATAAAATAGTCTTTTTCCACAGACCGTTACTTCGCTTTCGGGTCATGAAGTTCCGGTTTATTTGACTATCGAACTCCATACACATGCAGAGTTCTAGAATAGTGATGTTTGAAATTAAGCTGAATTACAGGACAATCCAACCGTTGCAACAAAATGGGTACCTGGCAGGAATTAATTCCTTGAAATGCTGGAGCGCTGTATAAACGTCAGCTAGGCTAAAGCCGGGGTAATAATAAATTCGCCTCGGAATAGAATTATCTAGATAGACGGAGCTATAGAAATACCTATTATTATAATTATTATTATCTAAATATTATGGTCAAGCTATATGGTCAAGCTAAATGGTAAAATTGTGTATCGCAACATTTCTAATCAAGTTCCTCCGACCGTGAATTCACTGATTTCGGCTTTCTGTTCACTCATGCGATTTACTACGATAAGTGTAAGTCGAGAAGCTTTAGCATGTCTGTTTTCTGTGCTATTTTGTAGTACCAATCGTCTCTTTATTCAACTCTCTCATCATTAATCCGATTTATTTCAACTTTTATCATTCTATTTATCTGTTTTCATACCAATGAGTTTATTACAAGGATTGATTGTCACCCGACAATGTATACTCTAAAAAATGTTGGGCAAAAAATTCCCAAATTTGTACCTAACATGAGGGCAGTGATGTCCAAACAACTATTGGGAAAATTAAGATTTTGCATGATTTACCCAGTATTGAATGAAGTGAAAATGCCCAATTTTTAACCAACAAAAATTCACCCAATTCTCACCATAAGGTGAAGGATATTAGACACTAGTTGGGCAAATAAGTTGGATAAAATATTATATATATTATATATAAAAGGACATTAGTGCCACGGCGGGGATTAGAACCGCGAAAGTTGTGATCCACAATCCTGTGACATATCCACTCGACAAGAATATAACCCTATTGTTGTATAATTGTTGCCCGACCTACGTTTGCCCAGTAATATCTGCCCAACTTATTTTTAATATTTAATTGGGTAAAAACAGTCATGTAGTAAATGGTTGGGAGAAAATAACCCAAAGTTTGGTCCAAAATGGCCCAACTTTGAATTGCCCAATAAAATCACAAAATTATTTCATCGGTTACTACATGGCAGTGGCGGATCCAGGGAGGGGGGCGGGAATAACACAATTGCTTGGCGACGTTTGCCCAACATCGATCTAACTGCTAAGTAACACCTACCCAACCTATATTTTACCCTTCATGAGGTAACTTCATGCAATAAATGGTTGGGAGAAAATCATCCAATTATTGGACAAAATTTGGCCAACTTTGATTTGCTCAGTAACGTCTGCCCAACTTTTTTTACAGTAATTAATTGCATCGCATTACACGTACTAGCTAGCTATTATACAGCTTTAGCTAAGCTCAGCATTGAGTGGTTAGTCGAATCAAATAAGCAATTTACCCAAAACAAGTTGCAAAAAAACAACTTAGGAATAATCCTAAACAACATACTAAAAGTTTAAACAAATCTAAGAGGTGAAAAGCAGTTGAATTTGCACAATATGCAACTTAGATATTGTCTCTATTAGACAATACCATGTTGCTATTCAGCGTACTAAATTTAAATGGTTTTCGTTCTTGATGTTTATAAGGTCATCAAACACAACGACAACATTTTCAGATTGGCAAATTAACATCAACCATGAAAAGGAAATTCATATATGTTTCGTACCCGACTGATATAACTCGAATGCCCCTCATTATGTTCGTAATTGATGTTCTTTGCTCCAGCTGATATATGTGTTGTAGAACCGAAAGGGCCAGTCGCGCACGTCTCAGTATATGCTCCATCAAAATGAAGCTACAGTATAACCAACTGCCAACAACCATGGGGTATCACTTATCGATCGCTTGTTTGCCCCGTCCTAACAGACTAGACGGGACTTAGACAGGCTTACAACTGTTTAGTTAAACAGGAGTTAGACACGACTTCAGAATACGGGCCAATGAGTTTTATTTGTCTCCTTTCCTTAACCATACAGACATGCTTTCTTATACATACATGTTCAGTGGTTTATCCAGCCCTTTACATCAGAAGGGGTAAAACTTCTGAGCTTTTTGAGAAGAATATGTTGTACTTAAAATGATTATATAAACACGTAAAATATGGCTATATTTAAATAAGATGTTCATGGTCGCGAGTGTGTCAGTGTGAGTGAATTGCCCCCCCCCCCGCCCGCCCCTCTTTCCCTACCCCCTCCTTTAAATACATAATACGCTAGTATGCCTGTTCATAACGTCAATGTTTAGTTAACACAAAATTAATGTCTTCCCACATTTCGCACTAGTTCTATGTTTTCGAATTGCCCCCGTCTAGAGTGTTTGTACTTTGTACCATTTACTTGCATGTAGTTGGCAAAAGTTCGCGTAACCGCATCATAATTATTAACATTTAATCCAATTATATTCTGATAATGATAAACAGATAACCTTTTGGCAAGTCATTGTTACATTAGTTTAAAGAGGTCCTTAAACATGGTGTTTTGATAAGTTTTGATAATGGGGTCGGTTTGCCCTGAGGATTTTATCGTTTGCATTACCAAGCACATGAACTTTTTCACATTTTGATATCAGGACCCCGTTGTACAACTAGTTACGATTGATTCAAACTTTCCAAAGCGTTCTCAAATTGACTTAACTCTCAGTTTGCGATTATTTGGAGGACTTGTAATTAATCAATCTCAACTCTTTTATTAGGTCCCATTAGGTCCTAGATATTGCCTCTGTCATGGCATATTATACACGTTCGAGCCCATCATCTTGTGTCACGTAGGTGCTGTAACATAATGCTCCGGACCATTGGCGTAGTGAGTGTGTGTGTGTGGGGGGGGTGTGTTTTGGTTGAAAAAAGAAACAATTTAGTGCTTACCCCCCCCCGCGCTTATTCGTCGGCTTGCTGATTCGCCACTAAATATTTTCTCACGAATTGGGCAAAAAAAAATTTAAAATAACGCCCCTTACCCCCCCCCCCCCTCCCCCTCCCCCTCCCCCTCCCCCTCCCCTCCCCTCCCCCTCCCCGCTTATTCAACCGCTGGCTGATTCGCCGCTAAATATTTTCTCACGAATTGGGCCAAAAAACACCTCCCCTTAAAAATCCTGGATACGCCCTTGTTCCGGACTTTATTTCGTCAAAGATAATAGGATAAGGTTTAGGGTAAGATTAGGCCACGGCCGATGTGCAGTTAGAAATTCGGATATTCAAGGAGATTGTCGGCGGAGCAACTGCCGCCAGATAAGATATATGTGTTGTACAACCCAGGCGCGGATCCACGGGGGGGGGGGGGCACCCCATGGCCTAAAAATATTATTAAATTATTTATTGGCCCCAATAAAAGTTTGTTTAAAAGATGATAACCACAAATGTACCTTTTTCCTTTTGCTCAACGGGTGGTGTTGAGTTTTTTTTTAATTTTTTTTTTTTTTTTTAAACCCCACTGAGCGAAATATCGTCGGCGTGATTTTCATTTCAGCCACCCCCCCCCCCCCCCCCCGTTGGAAAATCCTGGATCCACCACTGGTACATCCCCTATCTTACCATTATTCTTTCTTTCTTCTTTTCTGATCACAGGATGTCGGATACAAAACCCTTCCGGGTCATCATGTGGTGCGTACCACGTTCGATATCGACTGCAATCGCCAAGTGTTTCAGTTTTGTCGATAATACAGAGGTCAGTATATTGTGGTATTCATACTCTAGAGGACGACAATAACTCCAGTTATTTTAAAGAAAGGGTGATGGAATCAATCCCATCGTAATGAGATGGATACAGTGTTGTCTAAATGTTATACTAGGATGTATTGCTCATTAATCATAAGCAACCCTTCAACAATTCTACTTTTGGAATTTCACCATTGAGCTGGCGTGCCGAAAATGAAAGGTCCATGTGAGAAACTGAATATCGTGGAAGAGGGTGGTATAATCTTTTTGGTATGTTACGTTTCCGGCTTCCTTTTTTTCTCTTTCTCTCCTTTTTTTCCTCTCGTCATTCCATGCATAGGAGGGGAGTGCACACCCTGCTTCTCGTGGCTGGCTACGCCACTGAAATTCAAACAAGTCAAACTAATAATTAAACATAACAATTCTTTGATTACAGGTATGGTTCGAGCCTTACTGTCTAGCCTTCTTTCAAGACTTTATGCTGAAAAATATGGGTGTACCTCTTCCAAGGAGTTATGATGACTTCAAACTAGAAGCATTCTTCACTCAAATGGGTGCCATGTTGAAAGGTACTCCCATGGAACATCTCTTCACGCCAGAAAAGATTGATGGGTCACTTTTTATGTAAGTCGATAACTGTACATTTACTCATTTAATAATAATAATAATATGGATATTTATATAGCGCCGGTATCCGCCAGGCTCTGACGCTCATGGCGCTGTACATCAGGCGCGGATCCAGGGGGGGGGCCGAGCGGGCCTTGGCCCCCCCCCCCCGCAAAAAAAAAAAAAAAAAAGAGAAAGAAAAAAGGAAAAGAAGGGAAAGGGAAAGGGGAGAGAAAGGGAAAGAAAGAAGAGGAAGAAGAAAAGAAAAGGGAAGAAGTAGATCGGGGGGCCGAAAGGGCCTTGCCTCCAAAGCTGTTGACCCCCCCCCCCCCCGCAATCAAAAAAATAAGAGAGAAGGAAGGAAAGGGAAAGAAAAAAGGAAAAGAGGAGATACTGGCGTACTGATACTGATTGCTCATCTGACCGTGATTAAATGCCTAAAACCCCAAAGCTTTCGGGGACTCTGCCCCCTGGATTCCACCTAGGGCCCTACGGCGGGCCCTTAGATGCTCATCTGACGGTAATTTAATGCCTAACACCCCTCTTTTGGAGGGCTCCGCCCCCTGGACCCTACGCCAAATAGTGACCTTCCAGTGTCACAAAATAATAGGTATTTATAGACCTTAATTAAACGCCTAAAACCCCTGAGTTTCCGGGGCCGGCTCCGCCGCCTCGACCCCACCAGGGGCCCTAAGGCGGGCCCCTGAATGCGTATCTGACCGCGGTCCCCCCAAATCGGAAGAGGACGTAGGAAGAAAAAGTAGCAGACAAAGAACATCTTTGAAATTCAGACAAGGATTAAGAGTATAGAGAACGGTACAGCGAATCGTCTTCTTTCTCTCATAATCTTATGAAACGTCAAAGCTTCCGCGCTTTGCGCGGGAGGGGGAACCTGAATTCAGACGAGGATTCAGAGGCGAGAACGGTAATACGAATTAATGATTTAATGAAACGTAAAAGCTTCCGCGCTTCGCGCGGGATGGGGGGGAAACTAAATTCCGACGAGGATTATTTTCGAGAACGGTACAACGAATCGTCTTCTTTCTCTAATGATTTAATGAAAATTAAAAGCTTCCGCGCTTCGCGCGGGAGGGGGGGAACCTGAATTCAGACGAGGATTTAGAGTCGAGAACTGTACAGCCAATCGTCTTCTTTCTCTCATAATCTTATGAAATTTAAAAACTTCCGCGCTTCGCGCGGGAGGGGGGGGGGGGAGACCTGAATTCAGACGAGGATTAAGAGTCGAGAACTGTACAGCCAATCGACTCTCTCATAATCTTATGAAACTAAAAAGCTTCCGCGCTTTGCGTGGGAGCGGGGGGGGGGGACCTGAATTCAGACGAGGATTAAGAGTCGAGAACTGCACAGCCAATCGTCTTCTTTCTCTCACAATCTTATGAAACTTAAAAGCTTCCGCGCTTCGCACGGGAGGAGAGGGGGGGACCTGAATTCAGACAAGGATTAAGAGTCTAGAACTCTACAACGAATCGTCTTCTTTCTCTAATAATTTAATAAATCGTAACATTTTCCGCGCTTCGCGCGGGAGGGGAAAAACTAAATTCAGACGAAGATTAATAGTCGAGAACGGTACAACGAATCGTCTTCTTTCTTTAATAGTTTAATGAAACGTCAAAGCTTCCGCGCTTTGCGCAGGAGGGGGAGGGGGGCTGAAATTTAGACAAGGATTAAGAGTCAAGAACTTTACAACGAATCGTCTCTCTCTAATAATTTAATAAATCGTAAAAATTTTCGCGCTTCGCGCGGGAGGGGAAAAATTAAATTCAGACGAAGATTAAGAGTCGAGAACGGTACAACGAGTCGTCTTCTTTCTCGAATAATTTAATAAAACGTCAAAGCTTCCGCGTTTCGCGTTGCACCGACCCCCCCCCCCCCCCGCATTACGTCACTGTTGGTCACCATTACGTACCAATATTTGGCTCGCATAATATGAAATTTGGGCCCCCCCCCCCTAAGAAATCCTGGATCCGCGCCTGCTGTACATACATGTATTACTATCACAAAAATATAATTCATTCATCATTTTGTATTCAATTAGGGTGGTCTGGTCATTGGCTAAAACGTAATTTTACAAGAAGACTCTGGATATCAAAATATCTTAAAGGGGTGTAAACTGACGAAACTATGTGTCTTTCCCATGGCCTGGGATCAATCGGGTATAATACGGACGTGATCGCAGCTGCGATCACGGGCGTGCAACATACTCAAAACCGAAGCGTCCATCGTCAGGAGAAGTTATTCGGTCTGTCTCTCGAAACGATGACCATTTAGTCGCTGACTACCGTTAATCAAGTCCACTCGTTTACGTGCATTTGTCCAAAAGGAGACGCTCCCCTGTATTCGTCAGTTTGCACCTCCTTTAAAGGTACGATGTTCCATTTGCAGGCCCCCAAAAATGAAAAGGTTAAATTTCAACGGCACTAATTTAGAACTTCCCTTAAAAAAGGAGGGCTTGAAAATGTCTTTAAGTGGGAAAATAACGACTATTAGTTGTTGAATCGACTTAAGAGCTATAGAGCCAGTAAGTAATAGTCTTGATTTTCACACCATTGAACCGAATGGTCGTACGTTTTATGCTGCGCAAATATTCAATCAGTTTAATCTTGGCCATCACAAGAAGTGGGTTATTGATGTAGACAAATGCTCATGTACCCTTTACAGCTCATTTTATGTATGTTATTACTAAAAAAGAAAAAAGGCCAGTTAGTCACTCAATAGTGTCTGTACTGTCTGACAGTGAAGTCAAGCAAGTAAACGGGTTTCCTTGCATAATTTGAATATTAGGACACTGCTAACGTTTAAATTTAATTTCACAGATAGGGCATAAAGGACGTATTCATAATTCCTGCAAAGTTCTACAGAATTTGATGTTGGCTGCAAAAGGGACATAGTATCTTTAACATCCACAATGGAATTGATGTTTATTTATTTCTCCATTAACAACCGCTCACCTTTACCCGGAATGAAACTATCAGTCAAATGTATAAGCCTGTAACAAACAACTCTACCTGAAGGTGAACAGTGGCACATGACCTGGAATGTCAACGGCGCTACCAATGCGCTAGTGTCTATTTCCTGCTGCCCCATTGATCCGATCACCGAGTCCCTCGGATATGACGTAAGAGCATTTGGGTCCCCTGAATGAAATATCTCCAAGCATCTTCTTCTTCTTCTTCTTCTTCTTCGTCTTCTTCTTCTTCTTCTTCGTCTTCTTCTTCTTCTTCTTCTGCTTTTCTTTGGATCTTTTTAACAGGCAAACATTATACAACTTCTATAATTAAGGCAATACCTGGATATGAATGCATGTAATAGTAATGTTAACATTTCCTGAAGATTTCTCGTAATGTTTTCTCTTAATTTGTAGACGCGATGGCGTAACGCGACAGCTTGATGATCCATCTGAAAAACCCATCTTCATCAAGGACATGGCGTATGGCATCACGGGTTACCTGGATCTCCTACCTAAGAAGGAGACCGGTTTCAAACACACGTTCCTGCTCCGCGATCCTGAACGGATGTTCCCATCATGGAGGAACCTGCTCATGGCTCAGATGGCTCAGATGCCAACCCCTGGACAGAAGCCTATCGATCCTGATACCTTTGACATGACCACCGATGTCCCCTTCATGATGCCTGGCTACACCTACAAGTGCCAGTATGACCTCTGGAAACACGTCAAGGAGAACTTGGATCCTAACCCTGTGGTCATAGATGTGGACGAACTCTTGTCCAATCCTGCAGAGATGCTTCCCAAGTACTTTGAAGCATGCGGAATGCCTTGGGACGCCAAGTATCTCCAGTGGGAAGGTGCTCCAGACATCGTTAAGAAATGGCGGTGTCTATTCCCTATGTCTGGGACCAAAGCCGATGATATTGTAGGTGTCACCCACAAGAATGCCTTGGAGAGTTCCGCATTCCGAGCATCCAAACCCAAGATTCCTCGATCAGAGATGACACCTGATACAATCAAAGCAATAGATGCCACAGTAGACTACTATAAAGAAATGGCAGAGACAAGGATCAAATTATAATTGATAGTGCATGATGAAACGAATACGTATTTCTGATCTGTATGTAATTATGATAGGTAAGGTCATTAAGGTTGTAATTTGGAAGCCATATTTAATAACATGTATAAGTTAGGAACACACTGACTAGACTGTTTTGTTAAGATGTTTAAACAATGACACAATAAGTACATTTGACTGTAATATCCTCTCTTCTAATATGCAACATACGTACATGTAAAATGGTAGCATCCCATCCCCGCATGTGGAGGGGGCACTGGCACTCTATAGGCCTCTGTAGATCAATTTAATTTGATGGTTTGGGGCATGAAGAATCTTGGATGTAATAAACAATATCATCATTTTTTTTGCTAGCCCCCTTTCTCTCTCTTTTGCTCTCTGCCCTTTCTCCCTCCATCTCACCCCTCCCCCCCTCTCTCTCTCTCTCTCTCTTTCACCTCTCTCTCTATTTGCCCTTTGTTTGCCAAAGACTGTATGAGGAGAAGGGTCACACTCCCGACATACCACCCAACTAACGCCACTGGCGGTAATGCTTCTCAAACAATACAACAGACACGTCTGACATATTTATGAGCTGAGACAGTTGTTTTGTCCAAGTCAGCATGACAAGGAAATTTGAAATGCTACATTCATATTGGCATTGATCGAGTCTCTTAAAAGGTTTATGAATATATTTCCCATACTTAAGTCAATAAAATATCATGAATTTGATTTTATCATGGAGCAGTTTAGTTAGTTTTAAATTTTATTTTATTTTCAGATCTCACTGCATTTTAGATAGGTGCTTTAACAAAGTTGTTGTATAACTCGTTATTGATATATCTTTCATTCGAAAAATGAAGGCTTTTGCTCCAAATAATGAAATGATACCACTCACCTCACACATAGAATTGCTAATGATATTTATATATGTTTATGTATGTGTTTATTGTTTGATTTTTTTTAAAATAATTGTATTCTAATATTTTAATTTTAAGTAGGGGATGATCCCCGATAAACCTCTGTGGTTTTTTATCACCGCCTATGCAGGCTAATCTGTTGTTTTAATGCTTTTATATTTGATCGTAAATTATATTGTCTTTTATGAATCTGTGGAAATAAATGAAATTGAAAATTGAAATTGAAATTGAAGTATGCCATATTTCGTACAATTATCATTAGGAAATCAAAATCGCATTGCTAATACAAACAGTATAACAAATATATATTAATGATAATAGTATGTCACTTCAAGAAAGTGATATTTATTTTACTGTATGCTTTTTGCAATTGAGTTGCTTTTTGGTGTCTAGGCATTGACAAAAGGGTATGAACTACGTTAGATATAATTATGGAAAAAGTCGCTTCTTATAAATTATTTCCAAAATGAACGTAAAAATGAAATAAATCACAGCAATGACTTGATTACAATGGAATGTGTATATTTTGTGGTTTGTGATTTTCTGTCCATGAATTGCTCTCGATTTCTAAAAATATCAATGTTATTTCTACTTCTGATCAACACACATTAGATTTATCAAAGAATATATAGTTATAGTTATTTGTGTATGAAAACTCTTATTCAGCACTACGTCTTGAAATCGGAGAGTTTGACACAGGAGCCAAGTCAAATACATATTTCTGACGTCATGTGGTCTAGACATATGGTTATATCCAGGGGCGGATCCAGCCGGCGGCAAGAGGGGGGGGGGGGGGGGGCCCAAATCTTGAGAAAATATTAGTGGCGAATCAGCCAGCCGGCGAACGGTGAATGAGCGGGGGGTGGGGGGGGGGGGTGGATAAGAGTTCATATATTTGTTTAGGGGTCCAGTTTTTTGGGAACATGTTTGCGCCGACTCAGCCTGCCAGTGAATATTAAAGCGGGGGGAGGGGGGTGGGTGGGGAGGTGAAGCGCCGTTTTAGCATGACTTTCTTTTTAACTCTCACTTTCACCTATCCCAGATAACCCAAAGTTTTTTGTTGCTGCTTTATATGTAGTTGATAATGCATGATTAAAATAAATAGCGAGAGAGAGAGAGAGAGAGAGAGAACCACCATCATTATGCAATGGTTCAGGGTTTGTGTAATGTAACTTTGAAACCATTTCTTAGCGTCTGAACCCTAAAAAAATAGCGAAACTATTTTTGAGGAAAAGCATTATACTAAACTGAATAAAGAACAATAACTTTATATTGGCTCGTACTAATACTGATACGGGCTAAAGACAATGTGGTATCGGCACATTTAGATCGGGTATTTGTATAGAGGTATTCCAAAATGACATTCTGATAATCAACATTTTGTTCTGTTATCATAATTATGTATATACGCATAATACAACTGATCTTTATGATTTCTTAACGTGACATAGTTTCTTCTCCCCCTGCAAATAAAAAATAGTGGCTGTCCATAATTTTAAAGTCCAACTTAGTGTTAAGTTCTACTTAGGATCTTTGTGAAACACCCCCCAGGTCTAGCTGATCTCTTTTTGAGTTATAATTAATTTAATGTAATGATCTGGGCCCCGTCTCATCAAAAGTTGCGATTGATCCGAAACAATCTCGAGTCCCTCAATCTGTCGCAAGTTTACAGTCTTCCATCTCTTAAGTACGTAGTTGCGATTGATAACAATCGTACATAAGTTGCGGTTAATCGCAACCGTTGCTAAGACAGGACCCAGATTGGCTAAATTCTAGATATTCTGGTCGATAATTTTTGGGGCAAAATTAACAGTTTTACTAACATAATTCAAATGCTTTGCCGACTTTTTAAACAAAGTTTGTTCTTGAAAACATTAAAGCTCACCCGAGGCTTGCCCGACATAGCAATACACATTTTATGCAGACTGGATTCCAAGTGTTGTAGTTCAATCATTAATGATAGGGTAATGGAGTAACTCGTCACTATGGGTTCCCGGGAAAGAAACTTCCTTAAATTTGAATATATTAGTAAACCGATTTATTTGGCTTGGACTATTTCCATTTATTGAATTGAACTTTATTTGATTCCAATCACAGTAAAAATGACATTATACATTGTTGTAAAACATAGGCAAAGAAAAATACATTGAAATATATATGTTGTAAAACATAGGCAAAGAAAAATACATTGAAATATATATGTTGTAAAACATAGCCAAAGAAAAATACATTGAAATATATATATATATATATATATATAAACATTGGAAAAAAGAAAAGAAAAAGAAGACATGATTAAATCTACTAAAAGTATAGGATGGAAAAAGGTGCATCCGTAAAAGCCACAGTGGCTTGATAAATGGGCACACCCTGAGCCCGTCACAATATAATTGACAATAAAAAGCTCAGTCAGCTGGAGAAGAGTAAAGGGATAAACAACGTTTACACAGTGGCGGATCCAGGGGTGGGCCGAAACGGCCGCGGCCCCCCCTATTGGCGGCGCAAAAAAATTGAGAAGGAAAAAAGAGGGGGAAAAAATGGGGGGAAAAAAGAAGAAGATAAAAGAAAAGAGAGAGAGTTCAAAAAAGAGGAAAGAAAAAGAAGAGAGGAACCGGGGAGAAAGAAAGACAACGAAATGGCACTAAAAATTAGTGACAGTAACGACGAATAAGGGAAAGACAAGGGGAAGGGGGGGGGGGGTGCGTAAAGGCGGATGCATTGAGGGGAGGGGGAGGGGTGACTGGCCGTATTCTTATTTTTAGGTTATGCGAAACTGAGTCTAAATTATGCTTCTTTTCAAAAAAATCTTAGCCCAGTGCTTGTTTATGTTAAGCCGGAGTGCATGAAAAGGTTAGTGTAGAAACACTTCTGAAAAGGCCGCGCCCGGCCCCTCCAAAGAACGGCAGAATGGTAATCCATAAATAATGGATTATTATGGGGTCATTCTTGATGGCTTGGGAGTCGTTAAAAGGAGGGGGCCGGCCCTACTAAAATGGTAGTGACGGTAACGATGGATAAGGGAATAAGGAGGAAGGGATGCACATGCAGGCGCGTACGCAGGGGGGGGGGGTCGAACCCCCCTCAAATTTTTGTCAAGTTGTCAAGTTGGTCCTGATGTGTATAATGCGTAGACCAGGGGTTCTCAAACTTTTTCTTTGACGGTCCAGAAGCGATTTCTATGAAAGCTGTAAGGTCCGAAATGACACTTGTATACTGAAGATAATGAGGCTTGTTTTTGGTCTATATCTGATCCAAGGAGAATTGTTACAGTTTAAAAAAAAAAACAGAACCGCCAGTGCTTCCACTCGTTTTAATAGAGTTTCCTGAAAAATAACATCCAATATCCTGGAATTTGAAGGAATTTTCTTAAAACTTTCAAAATGCCTCTTACGTGGATTTCTTATTTGGATGAATCGCTATGGCGTTTTAATATATATTAATTATTGAGTGGGCTTATTTTGCTTTCTAATGGATCCATACAACATGGCAGAGCTTGAGGGGCCTGGCAGAGCCTTTTCAAGAGAGAAATTGTCTTTAGGAGAAAAAAGAGGTTATTTCTAAAATGAAATGAAAGGGTTATTGACTTTCAAGAGAGAAAATTGTCTATAAGAGAGGAAGAGAGGTTATTTCTAAAATGAAATGAAAGGGCTCTTGTCAAATAGCCCTTTCATTTCATTTTTTCTCTCGAAATAAACTCTCTTTCTCTCTTATAGACAATTTTATGAGATGGAATCTTCAATCTGAAGCCTTTTTGTGCTCTTTGAAAATGGCACACTGAATGGGGCAGTGCAATTTAAATTCCAAGGGATGGATTAGAGTTTTTATCGCTCTTGAAAGTCAAATAGCCCTTTCATTTCAGAAATAAGGCTCTCTTTCTCTCTTATAGACAATTTTATACGATGGAATCTTCAATCTGAAGCCTTTTTGTGCTCTTTGAAAATAGCACACTGAAAGGGGGCAGTGCAATTTAAATTTCAAGGGATGGATTAGAGTTTTTATTGCTCTTGAAAGTCAAATATCCCTTTCATTTCATTTTAGAAATAAATTCTAATACATTCCTTGATATTTAAATTGCGCTGCCCCTATTGTGTCCTCTTTTTAAAGAGCACAACAGAGCCCTCAGATTAGGCAGCAAGTAGCAAAACAAACCCGTAACACTGGACACAACATTCAATGGGATGATGCCCATATCATTGAGTTTGAAACGCACTTTTGGTCAAGAATGGTAGAAGAAGCATCTGCATAAAAAAGATGAATCCTTCACTGAATAGGGATTCTTGCTATACACTTTTACCTTTGTGTAAATAATAAAAGGTCCACGGGCGTGGTTGTTAGAAGCTTAAACTACATAAAACTCTCTCCAATTTTGCAGGGGGAGAGTCTTTGTCGGGAGTCTTTAATAATAAAAGGGATAAATCCTTCACTGAATAGGGATTCTTGCTATATGTTACCTTTCTTCGCTCCAGTGATCTCGAGGCAGCAGACAGCAAGAAATTGTGTAAATAATTTGCTGTTGCCGGGAGTCTTGCATGGGGCGGAGCCCCAGGAAGTTCTTGAACTTTAAAAAAAATTAGGAAATTCCAAATAGTCGTCATGAGCGATAGAAATTGTAATTTCCTCCTTGAGGGTCACATAACCCCTTTCATTTCATTTTAGAATTTAACCTCTCTTTCTCTCTTAAAGACAATTTCATATAACTTCTGTTTTCGTATTGTTGTACTTTTGTCCGCAGACTACTTAAGCACATGTCGATCCAACTCAGTCGGAAATGTAATATGTAGGCCTAAGTGTAAAGTAAAGTTTCAAGTTCTTCCTTTTTTCTTTCTTTCTTTCTTTCTCTCCCTCTCTCTGTCTCTCTCCTTTTCCTCTATCTTCTTTTTTAAAAACATTATTCTTTCTTTTCTTCTCATTTTTCTGTGTGTGACATGCGTTACGCGTACGTCTGTCAATGTCTTAATATGGTAGATTTACATTTTGATGTTTCCCTTTGTAGGTGCATCTTATTCCAGAAAGTGCCCTATTTTGATGGTGCCCCCCCCCCCCCATGTATTGATCTTGATAAAAAATAACTTTCTCATTAATTCTATTTCCAATATATCTAATACTTGCACTAATCTCCAATATTAAAAAAAATCGTCTACTTTCTCTCAAGACGACATTATATAAAGGATTCATTAATGCAAGGCTATCTCGCGAGTAATCTCTCAATTTCTAACTTCCTGCATTCCTCATCTCCCAGTCTCCCTTGCTTTAATATTCCTCGTTACTTCCTTCCAATTGAACTCCAACTTAATTGATGTTATACACTGTATCTATTCTTTAACTACAGGTAGATGCAAATGTTACTCAAAATCCATTATATAAATCACACTCAGGATACAGCCAACTGACGAGAATTGCTTCAATCTATATTTTACATGTATCATTATGGTTTTGGCTATGGTTATGGCTATGGTGATGAGTTGTCTAGGTAACATGTTGATGTGTTTGTTAAAATGTATTACCATGGTGCACCTTCTTGGTTGGGTATGTATTAACGTAAGTTCGTGCCTTTACATATCACAGTAGAAATAAATGTTTTATATTTGATGAAGAATAATATTAATATTTGGAGATTAGAAACACAAACAGTTTCCATAACCGTTCAAGTGTTTCAAGAAAAAGTTAAGCAAACTTTCTCCTGGATGTAAATTCACACTAGCGTATAGCACTAGCGAGCTCTCCGATCTAGGCTAGACTCTTCGCGAGCGGTTTCATTGGAATTTTAAGCGGTTTCATTGGAATTAATCGAGAAATTCCCCTCGCTAGCGTGTAAATAAAAAATACGCCGGCCGGCCATACGTAAATGGCAGTGACGGTAACGACGGATTAAGAGGAAGGGGTGCATACGTGAACTACAAGCGTATTGGGATGATCATACTATCATTTTAGAGTGTGCAATCTGGGTCGGAATCCAGCACAATATATTTATAAAAAAGAAGTTCACATAAAAGCACTCATGATAAAGCCGCGCCCGGCCCCTACAACATCATTTTGGATTTTCAGATGATGGGTCGGGTGGCAGGGGTAGGGGGCAAAGTTCGCCCCACTCTTTAAGTACCCCCCCCCCCCCCAAAGGGCCACTTTTACTTTGTAAAGAAGTGCCCCTTCCCCTTTTTAACTCGGATAAGCGCACATTTCATCAACACATGTGCCCCCTTTCCTATCTGATAAGGGCTATTTAGAAAAATGAGGCCCTTCATAAATAAAAAGTGTCCCTTTTCATCGCTGGTAAATGACCATTTTCATATATGAGAAGTTAATTCTTTTTACTTCAGTGCGCTCTTCACCTCCGATAATTGCCCCTATTCAAATATGAGAGATGCTCGTTTTACTTTGAAAAGTACCCCTTCCCCTCCTGATAAGTACTCTTTTCATCTATGATGGGTGCCCATTTTCACCTTTGCTAACTGCCCTTTTATTTTGAATCGTGCCCCTTTTCCTTTCTAATAAGGGACCTATCCCCTTTTCATAAATGCCCCTTTTCACCTCTGATAAATCAATTTCTGATGGATGCCCCTTTTCCGTCAACAAATGCCCATTTCCCATACTCATAAGTGCCCTATCTCATTTCTGGTGAGTGCCTCCTTTCAGGTGTAAGAAGTGCCCCGTTTGAACCTTTGATAATTACTCTTTGTACCTTGACACATGCTCCTTTTCTTTTCTAATAAGTGTCTTTATCCCTTTCGCACGTAGGCACGGGGGGGGGGGGCACGTGCCCCTAACCTGCTCATCATTAGTCTTGCACCTAATATAAAGCGACAAAGAGTAATTTCCCCTAAAAAGGTCGCTCGCTCGCTCGCATTTATAGATGATACAATATGTCACTTTAAAACAAATGTTTTTTCAGTCTTCCGTGATGCTTATAACCCCCATCATGATTTGTTTTTTCCTCTTTATAAGATGTAATTTTTCACTCTGCGACCTCACAGATCTTACATTTTTTCTCGCTCGCAAATGAATATTCAGACAATCACACCCAGCCGAAAGTGTGATGCTTAAGCAATATCTTGTATGATATATAAAGAAAAACAAATATTGAAATCGTCCCTGATAATGGCATCACAATGAAAGGGTATATACCAATGTCTAAAAAAATGTATATTTTCGCTTTGAGATTTCGCTTTGTAGGTGCCCTTTTTTGTTGGTGCTTTCCACTTTGGAAATAGCTCCGCCGCCCCTGCTTACGCATTAGCGCCAGCGTTAATTTCACGCTTGCGTGCACAGGGGGTGTCTGTGTGTGTGTGTGTGTGCGTGTGTGTGTGTGTGTGTGTGTGTGTGTGTGGGGGGGGGTTCCTCTCTAGCTCTGAAGCTGATTTTTTTTACCTGGATTCGTGCGATTCGGTTAATACTTTTAGAGGGAGTCTGAGGGGTGATGTGCCCCCCTCTGAAGCTGACATTTTTTGGATTTTTGAAACAGGATTCGTGCGTTTTGGTTAATACTTTTTTGGGGAGTCTGATTTGATTTCAAAACACCTGCAGTTAATGCGGGATTGGGTTGCAGCCTCTCTTTCCCCGAAAATTTAAAAATTACCAATATGCATTTGTTATATCTTATCTCGTATATTTTGGTGACAATTAACACTTTTCACAACATACATAAGCTCAAATTTCCGCTCACTCGCCAAATTATTAAACCAGGAAATAGATATTGGGGGAAGAGGCTTCAGCCCCCACTGATGGAAATGTCAAAAAAATTGCGCGCGAGCATAACTTGAAAACGGGGAATGTTGATATCGGACAAGAGATGTGACGTGAGCATGTTCCCTTTCCAAAATAATTGTGCCCGCTTGTAGGTACCAGTACACTATTAAAGTACAGTGCTTCTAATATGACCTTGTCAGTATTGGTAAGTTTAAATAACGGTCTGCGCGAATTTCGAATTTCCGGCCCCCCCCCCCCCCCCCCCCCCCTATTGGAAAATCCTGGATCCGCGCCTGGTTTACAATATATCATTTAAGAAGTATACTATGCTAGTTCTAAACGACTTTGCGCTAAATAATGGTGTGGTGATCACACCAGCGCCAAACACTGGATAAGCCTAGCTGCTCCATGCAGATCGTTGCTTAAATAATTTCGCAGTGAACCTCATAAGCATTCTCTGTTGTTTAGAACCAGTAACCTGGACGACGAGCACGAGCACTTCGGTGCTATGTAGACCAGGGGTGTTTCACAAAGACTAAGATCGACTTTAGGTGGGATTTAACTAGGGCAGGCCATTCATGCCACTGGCTGCTCTCATCATTGGTCTCTCAATTATGATCTTTAGATAGTATTTTTACCTTCACTAATGAAATATCAAGAAATATAAATTCTGTAGATTTTGTGACCATGATTTGTACTTTCCTTTAGAGATCAATGCCAGGAAACGGTGATAGTAAATGATGGCATGAATGGCCTGCCATAGTTAAGTCCAACTTAAGTCGATCTTAGTCTTTGTGAAACACCCCCAGGAGTACTACTCCATGCCTAGATTTTCAATTTGGTCAGTAATGTTTCATGAATACGAGTCCCAGACTCACACGCACGTACACTGTGAATCACCTTAAAATAACACCCTAAGAAGATGAGCAAACTCTCTTCTCGCACAACTATTATGCTCACATAATAGCATGAATACGTGTGCATTGATGCAAAGAATTCGTCTTGTCATCGAACGTCTTAAGACGTTTAAAGTATCCCCGTCATACAGTAGCCTACCATCGAATCGAGCATCCCTATTCTTGCTGCTAATACTTCGATCATAGGCTTTTTTACCGTGCTATATACGTAGTTCTACATAAGTGAGTACAACTGAAATATAATCATGATTCATTGTAGGGTAATAATGATATCAATGGTACAGGGTAAAGGCTGGCATGGATTTTGAAAATAAAAATTGTTGTTTTCCATGACATATATCTTACAGTTTAGTTCTGCATAGCGTTATGCGGTGGTCACATCCCGCCGTACTTGCAAGTGCGTGCTGTCTACGTGCAAAAACGTGGGCAAAATTTGGGTATCGGTACGTGGTGAGTACCGACTCCGTACGGATTTTGGAGCACGCAGACACACCGTAGGACTTTTAGTGTACGAGGAACTTTCGCTGCGTTCGGGCTGCGTTCGGGCTACCGATTAACCCCAGTGCGTGTGACGTGCGAGCCCGGTACTCCCTCCCTGCCTTTGCCACTCCCTCCCTACGTTTTCAGAAAAACGTGGCGGCCGTGGCCTCCCCAAAAACCGTACGGACTAAAAACACGCACGGCCGGTTGTGACCAACGCTTTACATATCATTCTTGTGTTATTGGCATATGTATTATGATTAATGCCCTGTCTCTTTTAATTGCGCCTATTAATGAAACAATGCTGGGAATCTCTCCCTTTATACTTCTTTGCATCATTTTTAAAAATCTAACCTCGAGTTTTGGTTGCAATAAAGAAATAATAAATCATCTTAGCCTCTGAATCTCTTTTGGTGAATTTACTTTTTTCGTATAATCATCTTATTCTTATATAATCTCATTAATGATATTCTGTTGTATGCAGGGTGTCGGAATGTCTACCGACAGCAACCCCCAGAAGCCCTTCCGGGTCATCATGTGGTGTGTCCCACGGTCTATTTCAACTGCGATAACAAAATGTTTCAGCTTCATAGACAATACAAAGGTATGAGAAGAAAAAAAATCACAATTCGAATGAATTAGCTATCATCTATTTGAAACTCTATGAAAGTTTTCTGTTTTATTATCGTGGTAAATAAATAAATAACCCTTATAACCCTGCATTAATAATTAGTCACCTTTATCTTAATCAGGATTCTCTTTTCGAAAAGATGGTCTTTATTTCAGTTTACAATTACATGTATTCTGAAACAAGTCAGGAATACTGTAACAATCATAGATTGAGCTGGAGAATTTCGAAGCATTAAAGGTGATACAAAGTTTGGGTATGGGGTTATGAATTTGGTTCAAATGAACATATTGGAAGCATATGCAATGTTATTATTTTCAATGATCGCGGTTGTCGCGGTTGAAAACGAGTCTAAAGTGATGAAAATTGAAAATAATTAACTCTTTATGTAGTTTAGCTCCCTCTCAAGACTGATATTACTTTAGCTTTAATTAAAACAATGCTTCTTGACTAAAATCGACCGATTGGCATATTCTGAGATTGTCAAGGTCGCCACCATGGAATGGCCTTAGGCGCTATTTTAAATATTTGAAATTTACCGGGAGCACCAATTTCTCGAAAGCAGCAGTGTTTTAGAGAGAGAGAGAGAGAGAGAGTGAGAGAGAGAGAGAGAGAGAGAGAGGGGGGGAGGGGGGGGGGAGGGATGCTTCAACTCTAAAGTTGTTGCAATCAATTTTTACCATGTTTACCTTACATTTTACAAAATACATTATACAAATACATTCTGTTTCCACTGCCATTGTGTTCTTTCCTATCGTATTTGTTTTTCAGATTTGGTTCGAGCCTTACTGTCTAGCCTTCTTTCAAGACTACGCCATGAAATACATGGGTTTGACGTTGCCGAGGAGTGTGACTAATTTTGATGCTGATGATTACATCGCTAGGGTAAAAGCTGCTGTGAAAGGAACACCTCTAGAACACCAACTGAAGCCAGAAATGATGGATCTCTCAATATTATTGTAAGTTAGTTTTAAGCCTCTATGTTGTATTTAGTTTGGTGACTCATTTTCATAATTGTTCTCATTATTTCTAATAATTACAAAATAATTATAGAGTCGTTAGGGCCCCGTTGCACAAAACTTACCATTGATGGTAAGTTTGCCATATCAATAGTAACTACTATGGAAACCTTGATTTTGATTGGCTGTTGAGCCCTGTTACCATGGTAGTTGCCATTGATGGTAAAGTTACCATCAATGGTAAGTGTTATACAACGGGGGCCCTAATAATGAAAGTATCACCAACCAAAAAATGTTGGAAAATATGCTAAGAGTTGTTAAAGATTCCTGAAAGTGTATGTCTCTCTCGTTTACTCTTCCTCGTACCGTGCCGTATCCGGAAAATTGATCTGCTGGATATGAGGGGAATCTCCTCTACAAATAATCTATAGAAATGATTTGCCATCTGAATTACATTCTATTACAAACTAAAATATAAGAAGCTCCTTTAATTGTGTGTTTTATAAGCATGGGTGCATAATGGGGAGGATTGCTCTGGGTTGCTCTGGTTGGGATATGATTATGAAAGGCGAAAGCTCCTCTATCCTATTCTGGAAACCATACAAAATGTGCGCTCTCCAAAATGGTGAAAATTTCATTCTGTTACAAGTGAAAATACAAAGCAATTTCTCACACTCACTCAGTGTCATGCTTTCTCTCCTTCTCTTTCCTTTCATTTCATCGATATGGTTCCTATAATCACTACCCTGCTCGCGATTCATCAACCTGTCTCTACAGACGAGACGGCGTCCGGGAGCAGCTGAATTCCTTACCTGAAGATCGATCTATATTCTTGAAAGACATGGCATACGGCGTCACCAACTTCCTGGATCTACTCCCAAGCAAAGAATCCGGCTTCAAACACACCTTCTTGATCCGTGATCCTGAGAGGATGTTCCCGTCATGGAGGAACCTACTCATGGCTCAGATGAAGGCACATCCGCTGCCGGGTCAGAAACCTATCGACGAGTCCACCTTTGACCTCACTACAGACCCGGGATTCATGATGCCGGGATACACCTACAAGTGCCAGTACGATCTATGGCTGCACGTCAAGGAACACTTTGACCCGGAACCAGTAGTGATTGATATTGACGAGCTCGTATCCAACCCCAGAGAGCTCTTACCGAAGTATTTCGCAGCTTGCGGAATGCCTTGGGATGAGAGGCTACTATCCTGGGATGCTAGTCCGGCGATAGGGGGTGAGTGGAAGACCTTGTACCCGATGGGTAGTGGGGGTGTGACACACCAAAGAGCGTTAGCGTCGTCGTCTTTCCAACCATCGCGACCAAAACTTCAAAGGTCAGACATGACACCTGATGCAATCAAAGCAATCGACGAAACCATGGACTATTACAAGAAAATGGCGGCAACTCGAATCACTTTGGACTAAAACTAGGGCTTTTTGCAGCATACTCCATCTACAAGAATTTACACGTTGACCTGCCAAAACCAAGTTGAAGGGGAAAAGGTATATTTTTGTACACGGCAAATGGGAGAATCATCCACGTCCTACGTCACAATCTACTGACCAAACTGACCAATGAACACTATGAAATAAAGCCATTTATTATCGACTGGAATAATCACGTGGTTACATACTGTAAGCCTATACCGTATATAATTATATACGGACCAAATATCTATCGGAATAATGAACCTATATGTCAACTGATTTGTTTTTCTTCTATTTTTTTCTGTTCGTTTTCTTTTTCTAAATAAGGGCTTGTTTGGATTTCTCGCCTTCTTACTTATTTTTTATATATATGTGTATGTTTTTTTAAAACTTTGTATGTAAATCATGTTAGTCTATAATGTATGTTTCTTTGTATAATTATTGTGATTGCTTTTTGTTTGCACGGCCATGCTTAAGAACAGCCATTGGCTGAAGTATGCCACCGTGATAAAATAAAAATAATAAAAATAATATATATATTTTTTTTAAACTTAGAGTAATCTTTCTTAACGACTTTATTTTTTGATTGAATAACCCCTTTAAACGATAAAGCTAAGTACATAAATAGTACATACATAACATAATAATGTAGATTTTTTTTTAATAGCCCTCAACCTGTAATACCTCAGTCACACCGCCAAACCGACTCCAAACCTGGCGACCGATTCTTGGGCGTTTGGTCCCCATGAAAGACCAGCGGCATCATAACGATACCGCTGAATATGGGCTATCCAGCCGTTTTTTTAATCTTGTAATTTATAATTTTATTCGTTATTGATTTACTGTGAATGCATGATGTATCTTTTATACAGAAATAAAACAAACAAACGAACAAACAAACAAATGTAATGTTATGTTTAGTCTGTTGTCGGTCTGGAGTTTGTCTCGTTGGTTTGACTAAGGTATGATACCTAAAGTGAATTCAGATTGTTGTTTGAATGCATTCGAATAAAGGCAATCATTGTTTAATCCTTCGTTTTTTGCATTCAGAGAGTGTTAGATGTGTTTCTTAACTCTTGAATGAGACGTTCAAAACTTGTAGGCCCGAATTCACAAAGCAAGGTTTGAGCTCAAACCTCCTTTTGTTTCGCCAAACCTCCTTTTGTTCTTTACAAACCAGGTTTGTAAAAAAACGCGTAAAACGCGTCATAATTATGACGTACGAAAACCAAGGTTTGTCGACAAACCTCCTTTGTGAATTCGGGCCGTATTGTTTATAAATAAAAGTTGTTTTAGTTGGAATGATCCAGCAGCTCCAGCTACAGCGTGTTATGTCTATTTCTTTCCCCCGTTTGTATCTGTCTACCTATCTTTCTTCATTGTCCACTAGTTACCCCCCACTCTTCTTCCCCTTCCATTCTCTTCCCTCGCATTACACCCCCCCCCCTCTCTCTCTCTCTCTATCTCTTTCTTGTCCGTTTTCTTTCTTTTCTCTTTCTCTCTTTTTGTCACCATTGATTGCGGGACAATGTGTCAATCGTACCCCTTAGCTATAGTATATACCCCAATGATATACATTATGTAGAAAAATGTACATGATTACCTCTGTATTGTCAATTAAACTAAAACTCTTAGTGATAGCTGTTGAGATGGATCGAGTGACACACTACATCATGACCCGGAAGAGCTTCTCATCAACATCTGACATCCTGTCTTTAAATAAACAATGAAAATGCAGCAATTTTTATACAAACTAAAAGGTCGGAGCTTTTCTGTCTTTTTTCCCATACACTGTCATGCGCAGTCATGGGCTTAAATTGAGGTTGAGGGGGTGCGCTATAGTGCTGCATTTCTTCAGCTACCGCCCCCATAACTTGTATACTACTAGTATTCGAACAACCGTCAACTGTTGTGCCTTTTTACCCATACACATTATGCACAATCATGGACATTTGGCCGCCACCTCTGGTCGGATATTGAAGTGGTCCCTGGGGGGTGTTTCACAAAGATTCTAAGTCGAACTTAACTCTAAGTTGGACTTAAATATTATGGAGGGCCATTTGTAGCCTTATAATGAAATATATTCAAAATCAAAAATTCAAGTATTTTAGACTTTTCATAAATTCCACATCAAGAACATGAAATCTCCCATGATAATAGAAAATATGAATGATTTGAATGTACATTTTATGCCTTTTAAAATAACTTTTACAAAATATTTTCAAGGATGCCAACGGCTTTCCATAACTGTTAAGTCTAACTTAGAGATAAGTTCAACTTAGGATCTTTGTGAAACACCCCCCAAGTTTGTTAGAATACATTTATTGTTGAGGTTGCATGGGTTGACCTTAACTGTGTATGTCATGCATAAAGTTTGCACCGATAACGGGTCAAGGTGTACGCCATTGTTCAGAAATATACAGTCAACAACTGAACTATTCATACCCTCACCAAGGTTAGTAATTTCATTTTTCATGCGAATAATTGATTTGTCCTGATTTATATTTCTTGTGAACGTGACATATTAAAGTTTACATCAAAAATATTGAACAGAGGCCCTAATGCAACCAGTCTAACTTTCATTTTTGAGGGGTAGGGATCAAATTTACAATGGGTATGAATAATTCAGTTGCTAACTGTATATGGGGATACTGGACATGGATTTATAAGGAAACGAGCTTAAGATCAGTCATTGTTTCTCAAGAATTGTGCATCGGTTTATTAAAAGAACAATTGGCTTGCTCTCTTTTGCCATCAAATTAATTCAGACTAAAATGTGCATTAGAATTTCAACGAGCGCAAATTCGATAGAAAATGAGTTAAGAATATTTAAGCTAATTTCTTTACTGACTTCGAAGTGATATTGACGAAGCTATGAGGGAGTGCCTGCAGAACGTGCCCCAGTGCCGTATATATGGCACTGACATGCCACTCCCCATCGACCCCCACCCCCCCCCCCCCCCCCCCCCCCCCCCATCAAAAACCCATCGAATTGGATAATGGATTGAAAAGAAGAGAAAGGGGGGAAAGAAGGGATAAAGAAAGCAAGGGTGGAAAAAGATAATTATAAGAAAAATGACGATCCACACAGTCATAATATTACCCAGTCCAAATCGGTGGCGCGGCAATATGCCAATTCACATTTCTCAGTAAGAGGTTTGCCCCCCCCCCCCCCCACAAAAAAAATGGACCCAAGTTACATGACTGAATCAGGATCTGTCTTACAATTAAAATTAGGGACTTTTAGATTTGCACGACGAGAACGTCCTGTGATATTCCTGTAGCTCTCCTCTCCTTATAGAAATGAACTTGTTATTCTCGATGAAACCAAGGACATTAGTTAAAGGCGAGGCAAAGAAATATTCTATGCTCCAAAGTACAACCGAGTGGCGCTGCGCTTTCTTTGACTTTCATGTTTATACTTCTGTCTATCCAAGTGATATTTGCAGTTTAGGTCCAAAGGCTCACACCACACCGCACCATAATTCCATATCATACCACACGCGACATCATGAAATCTCACATCTTTGTATATCTATCTCTCTCTCTCTCTCTCCTCTCTTCTTTTCTCTACGATTTCCAATGTATTTACCCATGTATCCATCTCTATTGATATTTCTCTCTCTCTCTCTCTTCCCCCTCTCTCTCCCCCTCTCCCCCTCTCTCTCTCTCTCTCTCTCCCCCCTCACACTCACACTCACATAATACTATCAATTTTCTGAGAAAGACAAATTGTTGTTGACATAATGATTCGTTTGGGGAGGTGCTATTTATTATCACTATGAGGCTCCACATCACCAAAATGCCTTTTCAGTTGACAAGAAGATTTCACGAAAGAGCTACTATACAGATTACACGCAAAATAAGACGTATATGACTTTACATTACCTTGAATCTGGAAATGAAAATACGGGGACAATGTTAGGGTTTTATCGTTGAAGATAAATATTCAAAATGATCTCAACAAAATGACGAACAGTGACAACAAATAAACAACCAAATTAAATCACCTATTTGGAAGCAATCAATTAATATGACAATATTTTTTGTTGTTGCTCGCGGTCAATCAAAATCGTCTGTTCTTTGAACTTCATTCACATAACATGATAGACGAAGTAATGCGATTGTTCAGTTTTAAAAAAAAAGAATGTAACAAAGTAATAACAGGTCAAAACTTTATCATTATCCACATCCATCAGTCGCTTATTCTTTTTCTACATTAGAACTTTCAAGTATTTCTTTTATGAATAATCCATAAAGATCAATCATAATTGCTATATGAAAACTGGCAATGGATAAGAAGCGGGAAGTGAATAACAAAAGAAAATAGAAAAGAACATAGTATTAGAGAGTAAGAAAATGATATTAAATTGTAGGAAGAGGGAGAGGGTGTCATAGAGAGAGTCATAAAGAAAGGATGGGGAGCAAGAAAGAGAAATAGAGAAAGATGCAAAGAGGAAAAAGAGCAAGAGATCGGTGAAGATAGAGAGATAAATAAAGACGAGAGAAAGAGAGAGAGAGAGAGAGAGAGAGAGATGGGGAGGGACAGAGAGAGAGAAAGGGAGAGAGAATAGGGGCATCTAACTGTAATTTGTAGTATCTGTACTTTTTTAAAATAAGTTTTCATGGCCACGAAGGTTGTTAATTTTCTGCGCATTCAGTTTTCAACGTACTAATATATGTTGAAGTAAGGGAAAATCATTGTCGATAGCTGCAAGACAATAGGGACTTTTAGATTTACACGACGAGAACATGGACCGCCATGTGTGACATCCTTTTAAGGTAATGTGACGTCCTTTTAAGGCACTGCCGGGCACGGCCCAGTGCCACACGCGGCAGTCCACGCTCTCGTCGTGTAAATCTAAAAGTCCCTAACATCAGAAATACATATACGTAGTACTGTGATCACACTATGGGAAATCCCATTGTATACACCCCATGGTATAGGGTTATGTTATCTTTGGTTGGTGTGGTGACTACAAAGTACCGTCATATGAGGAAGAAAAATCATTTACTGCTGGTTGCACAAAGACGCTTGACAAATCTATGTCTTTATAGGGAACGATGCGCACTTGACCGGCATTAAACATCGGAACAAAGACCTCCTTTACACCGTCTCCATCCACGTCCGCATAAGTCAGATCGCCTATTGTGTTGCCCTCTGCTTCGAACAGCACGTCAGCCTTGTACGACCAATCAGATGGGTCGGCGTCGTTCAGAGGTTTGACGACGTACACCCTGCCATCATCGTCTCCAGTCATCAGTATAAACGGCTTCATCCTGCCAATGCCAAGTGAAAAAAGATATAATTATCGACCATGACGGTCCTGAAACAGGAGGATGTTGAGAGAATAGTGGCTGGAGATGGAAGGGTTTTAGGATGTGACATCCACCTCATTATTATTTTCAAGTTCAAGTTTTATTTCAATTCAAATCCATAAAAAACATATAAGATACAGATTATATACAATATAGAAAACACAGAACACACATAAAATGGAAACATGTCTAAAAATATACCGGAATTATACAAAGTTAATCAGCAATAGAAATTAATTGGGGAAACTGCAAATAAAACCATAAGGTTCTGTCGAGGCAGTCCCTGTTATTAAAAGATACATACAAGTTCCAACAATTGGCTATAAAAAATATAACAATAACAAAACAGTGTACAAAACATAGGAGACGTATTAACACGCACAAATTATTATAGATTACAAATTTTAAGATTTTCGGTCAGCAAATTTGGAAACTTTCTGCGGATATGGCCAGACCTTTAACATTTCATTTGCTCGATTTCTTCATAATGGTTCTTTTGGGTATCGAGAAGCATAGGAATAATTATATCCGAGCCCCCTTCCATCCTGGCTACGCCACTGATGGGGCACACATACCTTGATTGATTAATGTCAGGGAAGAAAACCTGTGCTCTTCCTGGGGAACCTCTTCCTGGTCGAGGGTTAGGTTCCGGTGGTTTGAAGCCTTCAGCTAACACGTGTTGGGTCCATTCACCGTTCTCCCAATCATCGGGGATCTCGAATGCTACCAGTTTCCCGTTTGTCGTGCTGAAAAATTAAAAACACTTTCTCCGTAACGGTTCTAGCATCACTGCCTTCAAATAATTTTCTCGATTATCAATAAATTTAAGCAAGGCACATGTATAGAAAGAAGGAAGTTGATGCAAAATCCCCCAAGCTTCCCCCTTCCCCCCTCCCCCCTTCATCGAGGATGGTAGAAACGATAGACCAACATATTAAATTCATTGAAAGGGTAACGTTTCGATACTTCATCTTGCAAAATCTTCACGCTCAAGGCCAGTTCAACTGAACGTTTTCTAAACTAAATACAAGCTTAAATGTATTTTTGAAAGCAAAACTTCAACAAAAAAATCAATTCGCTGTGTTTTGTTTTGTTTGAACAGATGTTTATTTTGTTTCTCCGTAGGGTTAGACGGGAGGTGGGAGGGAAGGCTTCTATACCCTACCCACATTATTCTAACCTTCGATTCATCGTCTTGCCATAATGTTTTTGTTTAGGATTTTACGTTCTTGTCATTCGTTGAACAATAATTATCCTTACCTTTTGTTTATTTGCATAAGACAAAATTGGTTCTAGGACAATTACCTCCTGAGGAAAATTTCCACCGAAAATAATCTTCTTTTATTATAACCAACTTATTATCAGGGTGGACTTCCCCTTTAAGGAACAGGAGGGTAATTTTCCGGGAGGGGGTTAATAATTGTCCTAGGGGGATATTTTCAGGGGTGGGGTAATTGTCATTGGGGTAGTTTTACGGGGGGTAATTTTCCGGGGGTGATTTCCAGGGGCTAATAATTGTCCTGATACGGACAAAATTTGTTAAAATATTCTCTCGCAGCTTGAGAACCATGAACACCATGGCTCATGTAAAGTTGGGTATCAGTCTTTTTATTATATAACTCGACATCAGAACAATCACACCGCTAAATCTACTCCACACCGACTCTAAACCGACCGATTTCAATTCGGGCTAATGTCATTTTGTGTTCGGTTTGTGTTCGGTTTGTCATCGGTCTGTCGTCGGTCTATCGTCGGTCTTGTTAGTGTGACCGGATTAGTCAGTTTTATACCTGCTGATCGTAGCTACGATATCCAGTCTTCCATCCCCATTGATATCATCGATCTATCGAGGAGAAAAAAATGATGAAATAATTTTTTTTGCCCATTTCGTCTATCATCCATATGGTCTAATAATCATTTGATGTATATCATTATTATGATTATATGATTATTATACCATATGGGTAGTAGACGAAATGGGCATTATACAAAGTGGAATTTAGACGAACTTGAAATTAGACTAAATGAGCAATAGACCAAATGGGTAGTAGACTTATTGAATATTAAACCAAAGGGAAATTAAACCAAATGACTACTAGCCTAGATGGTAATTAGACCAAATGACAAGTACACGAAATGATTTTTAAACAATGTGGATATTAGACGGGCTGGGTGTAGACCAAATGGGAATAGGCCAATTGGGTAGTAGACGAACTGGTCATAGACCAAACGGCAATAAACCTTGTCGCCCCGAAGAAGAAGAAGGTGCTACTAAGTTCAATTCAGTGGAATGATGCAACAATAAATGGGACAGGTGCAATGTGTAATGCTTTTAATAAATACTTTGTAAATATAGGCCATACACTGTCTTCTTCTTTCGTAAATTCTGGGGACTGTATGCAATATGTAACAAAAAGTAATTCATCTGCATTATCAATTTATCTTTAAATGCTGGTATTGTCCCAGATAAACTTAAAATTGCAAAATGATTCCCATTTATAAAAATGGATCAAAAGATAATTTATCAAATTATAGGCCCATATCTATTCTTCCTATTTTTTAAAAGATTTTAGAGAAATGTTTATATAGTCAAATTCAAATTCAAAGTGAATTGAATGATTGGCCTGTTTTTAGATCTTAACAAGGCCTTTGAATCTCTTGATCACTCAATTTTGTTCAAAAAGTTGGAATGTTATGGTTTTAGAGGAATTGTACTGGAATGGTTTAAAAGTTATTTAAGTAATCGCAAACAATATGTTGTATTAGAAAAGTTTGAATCACAGACAATGGCCATTATTATTTCTTTTATATGTAAATGATATTTGCAATGTTTCAAAAGTGCTAGAACTAATATTATTTGCAGATGACACTAGTGTGTTCATGTCCAATCAAGATATTGTAGCTCTTCAAAATAGGTTTAATGCAGAATTTGCTAAACTGGTTGATTGGTTATATACAAATAAACTTGTAACCAATATTTAAAAAAACACATCGATGTTACTCAAATAAACGTCGAAGTGAAGGAATCTGTTATTAAACAGGTCACACATTTAACATTTTTAGGAGTCACAATTGATGATAAATTAAATTGGGAGGAACACAATGGCTGGTGTCGTCTGCAATAGATTGGCTAAATATGTTGGTGTATTTTATAAATTGAAATATGTTCCTAAAGAAATATTGATGATTTTATATAATACATTAATATTACCCCACTTAAATTATTGTATTCTTGTATGGGCATGCTCTAGTATACAAAATACAAATAGGCTTTTAATTAACTACAGAAGAAAATTATAAGAATTATATCGCACAGCCAATACCTTGCCCATACTATTCCTCTTTTTTACAACCTAAACATTTTAAGAGTAGACGATATTTATGTGTATTAATGTGCAATTTTTATGTATTTATGCTTTAAAAAACTTTTACCAAATTCTATTTTGCGTTATTTTCAACTTAATAAAAATATTCATGGCCACCAACCCAGGTGTTCAAAAAAAAAATCATATTCCAGGGGTAAGGACACTAGTTTCCCAAAATACAATTTTCTTTAGGGGTCCCAACATTTGGAATGACAAACCAATAGATATTAGACTGAGCCCATCACTGAATAGTTTTAAAAGAAAATTTAAACTGTACTTATTAAGACAATACTCAATAGTGCAATAACCTATATTTTAATATGCATCAGACAGAAAAGTGTGTGTTGGTGTGTATGAGAAAGAATGTATGTGTAAATGCAAATTATTTCCCTTTTTTCTTCCTTTTGTAAAAATAAATAATTTAAATAATGTACTTCGTTTTTTATACAATTACTGGAGACAGACTTTTACACAAGGCCCGGCCATCCTGTCTAGTCTCCAAATACTTTCATTAATGTACATATTTAAAATGTTTTCCCCTTGTTCCTCATGTCTTATGTGTTATTTTCATGTTATAATTTGATACATGTATTATATTGTAACTTTTATATGTTTGTATTCCTTTGTATATTTTTAATGAAAGTATTGAATAAAGTGAACTTGAACTTGAACTTGAAGATGATGTGATCCCCGAATGACTAAGCCCTGCGAAAAAAAATCTTAGGCTGGGCGTACGAGTTCGTTGATAACGCCATCTTCGGCAGCTTGCAGCAAGTGTAGGGAATATTATAGAGATATGAAAATAAGAACCGGTCAGATTGTCGACTACTAACCGAATTCCTAATTGCAACCTTTGATCCACACTTTACCTAACCTTAACCCTAACCACAACCCTTACCTGAACCACAATTTCAACCCAAATCCTATAAAATCCCTGACAGGAGCAGCATTAATGTCAGTAATGTGTGCATCATCTCCATTCCCTCAGAAGTATTCTTTAATGAGACAGTATAGTCACCATGGGAAGGGGGAGGCATATGAAATCTAATAGCTTTCGTCATTATGTCAATTCCTCTCCTGGGTATGAAATGACATGTTTACCAAACGGATATTGGCGCTGTGCTAACGTTCAAACCAAAGGCCTTCACATAATACATACAATAAATGTTTCTTATTTAGCACATTATCCAAAGAGAATGTTGTTTACTTCAAGGAAATTATAAATTAATGAGAAACAAGCGAAAGAGAGAAAGATTTAGCCGCTGGATAGGTACAGGTATGTCTTAAGTGCACAATTACACGACAGATACCAAAAAGTCAACTATATATTTAAAAACTTACCAAGCTATCAAAGTACATGTTGCCTCCCTCGTTTTCTATTATTCGTCGCGTCAACTCGAAGAAGTTTGGTGCGTCATCTGGAAAACAATTTTAAACTTTCATAATACACTTTTTAAACTACAGTAGAGTCCAAGTATTAATGTGATTTACTGGAGCTTTTGCATAGTATGCAAAAGCTCCAGTAAACCACATTAATACTTGGAAGCACAAAGCATTGCTGATATTTTTTAAGGGTACAATTTTAACTGATTCGTTTGAATGCTTGCTATCTTTGTATTATAGAAATGAATTATGACTACATTTTCCATTTAGATGGATCATGACAAACTCCTTAAACTCTTTTAAAAATCTGCAAATTACACCAGATTTCCTTTATACTAAAGCACGTATATTACTGAAACGTTGTGATCTACACGAGCCAATGGTTGCTTTGACATGGCGAAATATAAACTTAAAACGCAATCCTCTTAAAGGTATAGACCAGTTTTGGCCATGCGATTACATTGTGAAAGAAACGTTGTAAAATCGATCAGAAAAGGTTGATCATTTAGCATATAAGTATTGGTGTGTACTGCAAGGTTCTGGACTCATCAAAATGATAACAAATTTGGCCCAGTCTATAAAGTTACAAGCACTGTACACAGAAAGATGTATATGGGACCACGCGGTATCTCTAGGCCGGATCGATATGATAATTTACCAAATATATAAATTAGTTGGCGGTTTCCCGGCAAAATTTGTATCATCACGTATAAGTAAAAACATATTCTTTCACATGATTGGTAATAAGAGCTTCCATTTCATTTTTTGAGAGGGGGGCGTTTCCAAAACTGGTCTATACCTTTATAACTGGTCTATTACCATTCTTTTATAATGAGGATACCACATACTTTGTATAATGATGTTTAAACATGTTCTTACTTATTGTTTAATGCTGTTATGAATTTATGTTCAAGATTTTGTTATTTATATTATTATCATATATTATATTTGTTAGACTATAATGTACCTCATTATGTTTAACAGGGCTTCATGGAAGACCACCGTTATTGGTGATAATGAATCACCCTGTCTTAAAATCAGAAATAAATACATAAATAAAAAAATAAACATGGTAAACGTTGCCGTGCAATCATAAGGGTGAAGGGTCACGGCAAACCATGACAAAGTATTAACACAATAACTAGGCCTACTATCATCATCATCACCACCATCATCATCATTACCACCACTACCATCACCATCACCATCATCATTATTGGTGCCATGGATACCCATCATTATGTCCCATCGATTTCACAATTTAATTTATATCTTACTATCATCATCATTATCATCATCGTCATCGTCGTCGTTGTCCCTGGCATCGTATTTCTTCTTGACTTCGTTCTCGAAAGCGCCGTCTTCATCACTGTCGTCGTCTTCATCACTGTCGTCGTCTTCATCACTGTCATCGTCTTCATCACTGTCGTCATCTGTTTGCAAAACATAAGTCTTATTATTAATTTACGTAACCGAAACCTAACATACAATCTCATATCAACAACCCAATCCATGCTTTCCACAATCCTTACCTTCGACATGTTTGATAAAATAAGTCCAAATGCAATTGTTGCCTGAGCACATGTCGAGTCACCAAATCGTGTCTCATGAATCAGAAAGAATATTATTCTAATTGTTTAATAACGACGATTATAGGTAGAAATTGATTTACCGATCGAGATTGAGATTGAGAGTCGTTATTATAATTGCCAGAAAAAGACAGAAGTTATCTTTAAACTCATTGAATGCGCTTTACCCGTTGAATACTGAATTATCTAATTCCCATAGACTTAACACAGGGACCACCAGCTCCCAGTAAGCAATGGGTTAACAAATACAGAATACCGTCATAAATGAAAATACACTATGTAAATGTACTCTTACCTACGACGTCGTTCCAATGCACTTCAATACTTCGGCTGAACAATTGCGTTGTGAATAGGGCGTGGCGTGTCACGGATGGGCTCATCTCAAAGACATGGTACTGGAAGTTTGGTCCTGCATCCTCAAAGAGAACACTTTCCTTCCATGGAGTTCTGAGAAGAGGATCCTTCTTGGGTTGCTTAAACCACACCAGGGCTGTCTTTACATCTCGGATATTAGCTATCAAGAAATGATTTAACGACAAATTGTGGAAATTGTTGTATTATTCCCCCCCCCCCTCTCTCTCTCTCTCTCTCTCTCCTTCCTTTTCTCTAGGTATGATCGCACTTGTCTAATGATTTTCTCATTCTCTAAATAACCTTTTACGAGCATTTAAATGCCCATCTATATCTGATAATACTGATGAAAATAACAATAATAGGTTTCATCATCATCATCATAATAATGATGGTGATAATAATAATAAAGACAATGACAAGTTCAAGGGTTTTGGGTGCAAAATATCCATTCAATATTGTTTAGATATTGTCTTCACAGGTTTAGATGGCAATACTTCGACCTAAATTCGCAAAAAAAGCAGAAATATATGCCCAAATGTTCGCGATATCTATCCAGGCCGGATCGATATGATAATTTACCAAATATATCAATGAGTAGGCGGTTTCCCGGCAAAATTTGTATCATCACGTTTTAGTCACAAGATATTTATTCACATGATTGGTAATAAGAGCTTCCATTTCATTTTTTGAGAGGGGGGCGTTTTCAAAACTGGTCTATACCTTTAACATCATAATCGGTGAAAAGAAAGCAGAACCGGATCAAAACTAGCACATCACTAGCCAATAAGGCATTCTCTATCAACAGTAGGGTACTGGCAGCAAAAAGGCTCAATTTAAATCTTAGAAAGAGACTCGTCAAATGGCTGGTTTAGAGTGCAGCTGTTTATGGCTATGAAACTTGGACTATCAGGAGAGCAGAGGAATGGTTGATTGGAAGTTTGGAAATATGGCTGTAGATACAAATGAAAGTTATTAGTTGGAGGGACAGGGTCACCAGTGAAGAAGTGTTGGATAGAGTGAATTTACAAAGGAGCTTGAGAGAAAAATCTGAAGACGGAAGAAAAGCTTGATAGGACACATCTTACGAGCAGGCACGTAGCCACGGGGGGGGGGGGGGGGGGGGGGGCACGTACCCCCAAACAAAATTGTCCAAGATCGGTTGAAATTTTTTAGATCCCTTTTTGTTGACCTCGATCGATTACATGTATATGCCCCCTCCCCCCCCCCCCCCCCCCCCCCCCCCCCCCCCCCCCCCCCCCCCCCCCCCCCCCCCCCTCAAACATCAAACTCTGGCTACGTGCCTGCTTACGAGGGTAACATGCTCAGGGACATATTGGAAGGGGAGATGGATGGTAAACGGGGAAGAGAAAGAACAAGAATTGGTTGGTGTCACACTTGATAGGTTACATCAGCTGACTTAATGACGAAAAAGGCTAAAGATAGAGATGGATGGAGAAAGAACTAAAGAAGAATCTGGTGTGTGGACCTGCCCTTGGCAGAACACATGAGACAGAGAAGAATAATGATAATGATAATGATAATGATGAAAATAATAAAATAAGACATGAAGACACATGAAAGTATAATAGACATAGATTCTTACTACTATTAGTTCTTCCAGCCAAGATATCCTTTCTGCCATCATGGTCAACATCTATGAAGATAGCGTTCTTGAACCATACAGTATCTGGATTCGTCTTCTGGGTCAGGTCAATGGTCTCCGCGGGATACTCTGGGTAATCAGAAAATAGAACATTCATAATATACTAAAAACGTAGGAGCAGGCATATAGAATTAAAACTGAGTGAGTACACATGAAACGCCTATAATAAATTTATATCTCTTATAGTTTATCAAATAGCACGCGTTTGAATCCTGCCATGTGGTAATAGCGTCTTCTGGATATCTATCTACAGTTACCGCTTGCGACCAATTTGAAGGAAAAGTAAAGGGATAGAAATAAAAAGAATAATATGCCGTTCTTGTATGACGCATACAAAATCACATTATGATATAAGGTCTCTATTCGCTTCCATTGGACTTTATATATTTTTACCGGCGGCTTTATAAGCTCTGGCAACCGTAACGCTAAGGGCATTCAAAGAATGGATCCTACCAGGTACCTACTTACAACACCTGGGTCGAGTGTGGTATATACCCGGCCCCCCCACTCAGTGTTATTTAGGGTACGCATATGCTCGTTCCCTCTTTTTGAAGGCACCCCCTATCTGAGGACTGCCAACATTTCCGAACCCCCCTTTCGCGGGCTTTTTGCGGGCTTTTCCTGCCTTGGAGACCCCCCTAAATTTTTTTTTTTACAATTCTCGGGCCGGACTTTGTCGCACGAAAAGTACCCCTTTACCGGACATTTTGGCAACACGCATGCGGTCATTCCGACCCCTGAGTGGGGGGGGGGGGGGGGGGGCTGGGGTATATGTAGATTACTGTCTTGCCAAAGCTGGGACGTTAGTGCTGCGGCGGGATTCGAACCCCGTATAATTCGACAAAGATACGGATTTGGGGTTAAGGTCGCAATCGGATTTTAGTTAAGGTTTAGGTTAAGAGTTAGGGAGCCATCCAGCGGTGAACTTCATAACTCAGCTGTTGTAGGATATTGATCTCTGAGAAATCATTGGCGGAACATGATGCTTCGCATAAGCTCATCAAATCTTACCCTGACTAGCAGCATCTATGAGTGTGATGCTACCGATGTCTTACCCTGACTAGCAGCATCTATGAGTGTGATGCTACCGATGTCTTACCCTGACTAGCAGCATCTATGAGTGTGATGCTACCGATGTCTTACCCTGACTAGCAGCATCTATGAGTGTGATGCTACCGATGTCTTTTGTAGGGCGAAGGAAACCACCAGGAGTGAAGTAGTAGTCATTACTTTTGAACACGTCCCCTGAGGACAGAAATCAAATAGTAGAAATATAGTATTGCAAAGAAAGTGATATCCATGATTTTTGGACAACTAACCCCAGGACCATCACCCTAAAATAATACCCCATTCCCATCCCCAATGGACATAAAATAGGATAATCGATTTAAAATATTTAAAACAATAATAACCTGTAAACACTTTGAATTAATGGAAAAATACTTTGAAATAGACATTGATAATTAATTATCATACAAATTAGAAATAAAAAGATCACTCAAGTACTTGATGTATCAATATAAAGCAGTGTGAAAGACAAAATAATTTTCAATTAATATTTCAATTAATATAACATTAATGTCATGTATGTGTGAACCTAAGCGCAATATTGGATTAAAATGAAACGAGACCAACACGATATACTTGTAATGGATCTACAGAAAGCTGGGCTTCTTACGACCACTCCCCCTTTTTTAAGGAGAATACGCTGCTTATGATTCTAGAGACGTCACAGATTAACTAAGAAACATAAAGCAACGAGGGGCGGCAGTGCCCTAGACAGGGGTACTTCCCCATAAAGTTTTTTGCTTGAATATACCCCTGCCATCCGAAGCCACGGCCTATAGAAAGTTAATTGGTTCTAATGTCAAAATCTGGTCACCTGGTAGGAGGGAGGGGGGGGGGGAGGCTTATTACAGATCATTCTGTTTTGACTGGAAATCCATGTTTGTTAATGTTTGAGAGTCCATTCGACCACTGCTTGGAGCGGATCCAACTATCATTTGAAGTACATTCAACTCCAAAGAAATTATCCTAGCTCGAGCTGAAACGGCTCCTCTGCGTTAAGAGAGTAACATATTATATATTATCTTGTTAAAATAAGACTTACAGGGCACAGCTTCGACAGTGCTAGGCCAGATCAACCCTTCAGCCAGGACTTCGGTGACCAGACCATCGTTTCCATCATCTTGTAATTGACCAATGACATCCCTGACCACGTAAATCTCATCGGTAGTAGACGGTGTCGGATCGAAGGTATTGATAACCAGATCTAACTGGTTTGGATTGGTTGGGTTCGGTAACAAAGCTGTTCCAGCTGCGAACGCCAAATTGATGACATCTTTACCCTGCTGAATCGGCGCGAGAGCACCCAGAGCCACAGAGGCAGTGAAACAACCGATGAGCAGGAGGAGTGCAAACTTCATGATTCGAGGCCCTTTTCGAACAATTAAGAGTTGGGGAAACTTCTGAACTTATTATTTATTCAGATCGATGTCTAGTCTCGATGCCTTTTCAGTGTCTACTCAGGAGTATGTAGATGGAGACCCCACTTTCACCACCTCGTCGACAAACAGATGAAATTCAACTAACGGTCGTTGTTTAATTGCATAGAAATGTACTAGCATTCCATGAATATATGTTTACGGTTAGCAAAACAGGTACATGTCTGAAGTGTGGTGTAAAACACACGCAATGGGACTGGCAGAGCTCTTGTCCAGACTAGATATGATTGTCTCTTTAAATACGTAACAACGGCGGACTCGCATGTAATCACTCACGCATCACGAGGCTGCAGCCATATAAACTAAAATCATTTTGGTTTTACAATGATTGCTACAGTCATGACAGTTTGCAATGTAATCGCCCCACAATCTCCAGAAATGACGTCGATCAATAATAACAAGAAAGTCGACAGTAGTGCCTCCTGTAAAAGGATGGTGTACAAGCAGTGACAAGTATTTTTACATTATATCTCATATATCACGCATCCTATCTCTGTCTAAATTCAGGATTTAGGACTCACGGCACGTAAATGTGACGTGAAAACAAGTGTATTAAAAAAGCAAATTTGCTCTCGAAATGAAGCAGCGATTGAAGAATAGAAAAGCTATTGTTCACGTAACAATGGATGAGATACACGTATTACAGCATAAACTCAATATCTTTTGTTAAACCTACACAAATATTTTCTTTCAGAGATTTTTTTTTCTTTATTTGTTCATTCTTGTGATTCTTATTCGTAACACAAATTATTTTGTCCACCTCTCCGCCCTCTACATAATGACGTAACTTTTCCTTTTATTAACCAAAGATCAAGACAGAAGTATACCTTCAGGTTTCCTGCACCGAGGCCCGCAATGTCGATAATTTGATTATCCATATCCGCACTCCTTCCTACCCACCCGCTCTCCTCACATATGACAAGGGTAGTTATCCTGGAATATATCATCTGGGCGCCGCTGCATTAAACTTACCATTGATGGTAACTTTGCCATCAATGGCAACTACCATGGTAACAGGGCTCAACAACCAATCAAAATCAATTCCATGGTAGCAGGGGCGGATCCACGTTGCGAGTTTTCCGGCCCGGCCCCCCCCCCCCCCCTAGCCCCAAAAAACGATAACAAAATAGGATAAGAACGTAAAATTAACCTTTTTTAAAGCACAAAACAAAAGCGCCCCCCCAAAAAAAAAAAAAAAAAAAAAAAATAATAAATAAATAAATAAATAAATAAATAAATAAATAAAATAAATAAAAAATAAAAAAATAAAAAATAAATAAATAAACAAAATAATAATAATTGAATGACCGACCGGCGAGTCCGCACTAAATTTTTCCTCCAAAACTCGATCAAAAAAGGGAAAGAAGGAAGGTGCTCTCCCCCACCCCCCGACTTATTCACCGGCCGGCTGAGTCGACGCTAAATTTTGTATTAAGATTTGCCCCCCCCCCCCCTTGTCGCCGGCTGGATCCTCTGCAGGCGCGGATCCACGGGGGGGGGGGCTGACGGGTCAACAACAGCAAAAAAGTTCTTCTTTTTTTTAATCTCACGAAGAAGGCCAAAAAACCAAAAAAGTGGTCTTACCCACCCCCTCCCCCTTACTTATTTACCGGCTGGCCGAGTCGAGGTAAAATATTTTATGAAAAATTAGACAAAAAAAGTGCCTCCTACCCCCCCCCCCCCCCCCGCTTATATACCGGTGGTTGAGTCGCAACGAATATTTTCTCACGGATTGGCCCCCCCCCCCCCTCCTACCGCCGGCTGGATCAGCCACTGCATGGTAGTTACCATTGATGGCAAAGTTACCATCGATGGTAAGTTTTATGCAACGGGGACCCTGGTCACTTATCTCTTCTTTCATTATATCTCATTACATCAATCAATCAATCAATCAACCACCCAATCGATCAATTAATCAACCACCCAATCAATCAATCAATCAATCAATTAATCAACCACCCAATCAATCAATCAATTAATCAACCACCCAATCAATCAATCAATCAACCACCCAATCAATCAATCAATCAATCAATCAACCACCCAATCAATCAATCAATCGATCAATTAATCAACCACCCAATCAATCAATCAATCAATCAATCAACCACCCAATCAATCAATCAATTAATCAACCACCCAATCAATCAATCAATCAACCACCCAATCAATCAATCAATCAATCAATCAACCACCCAATCAATCAATCAATTAATCAACCACCCAATCAATCAATCAATCAATCAATCAACCACCCAATCAATCAATCAATCGATCAATTAATCAACCACCCAATCAACCACCCAATCAATCAATCAATCAATCAATTAATCAACCACCCAATCAATCAATCAATTAATCAACCACCCAATCAATCAATCAATCAATCAATCAACCACCCAATCAATCAATCAATTAATCAACCACCCAATCAATCAATCAATCAATCAATCAACCACCCAATCAATCAATCAATCAACCACCCAATCAATCAATCAATCACTCAGTCAATCAATCAATCAACCAATCAATCAGTAAATTAAACAATCAATCAATCAATCAAACAATCCATCAATCAATCAATCAAATACACAACAGACGAGCAAGAACCTGGAGGATATCATCATGGAGTAATGCAAAATAGAACTGTTCATTTAAAAATAATTTTTAATTCATCTATTTCTTTATGAAGCAGCAATGGCAAGATGAAGAATAAAGAAATAATACTTAAAATATTTTTTCAGCACCAACCCGTCAATGTTTACTTTCAGCCTCCAGTTTGGACCTCCCAAACAATTCCCAGAGAAAGCTGAATGCCTAAATTGACTCAGTTTGGACGCCAAAGCCAAAGATTAAAATATCTGCTGAGAATCATTAAAGATGTGTGAATTACTTTTTGCGATCTCTTTTTACAGGTAGAATTAAAAGTTGGCCAATCCATGAATACAATATTGCTGTAGATTGAGGGATGAAATGACCAAAACTTCTTTCTTTCACTCTTTGAACACTATATCCAATATATAATATATGTTGCCATTACAACATAGCATCAACAACAGTTTGGGCTAGGGTTACCAATTTATCAAAATAAATTTAACTTTCAGGGATGTCAAAGTTACCGGTACTCAAAAATTAGCACAACTAGCACTGCCATCCATTATTAAGATATGAAACTTTTCTTACCCTATATTTTCATAATTTCAGAAAGTATACTTGCATAGTTAGTCAAACATCTACACTTATTGCTTATATAAATAGTCAAACATCTACACTTGTTTACAATGCGCATAATAACACAATACTTCAACGCCCATAAAGTAAAGCCACTGAAAGAGGACCCCACTCTAAATATTCACACACAGTTTGAATGAAACCTCTGTACTCTTTACAGCTTTATCTAACCAACAAGAAAACAAATAGTTCTTCTCTCTCCTCTACTTCTCCAGCTTTTTTCTAACCAACAAGAACACAAATAGTTCTTCTCTCTCCTCTACTTCTCCAGCTTTTTTCTAACCAACAAGAACACAAATAGTTCTTCTCTCTCCTCTACTTCTCCAGCTTTTTTCTAACCAACAAGAACACAAATAGTTCTTCTCTCTCCTCTACTTCTCCAGCTTTTTTCTAACCAACAAGAACACAAATAGTTCTTCTCTCTCCTCTACTTCTCCAGCTTTTTTCTAACCAACAAGAACACAAATAGTTCTTCTCTCTCCTCTACTTCTCCAGCTTTTTTCTAACCAACAAGAACACAAATAGTTCTTCTCTCTCCTCTACTTCTCCAGCTTTTTTCTAACCAACAAGAACACAAATAGTTCTTCTTTCACCTCTTCTTCTAGTCATGTCCACATGTAATCCAAAGAGAGAGAGAGGGGGGGGGGGGGAACAGTCAGTAGAAAAATCAAATGATAACTTTGTGATCCAACATTTACTCCAGCCATATGCTCCAGGCAATTATGTCAATTATATAATATGTAAGGGTTAGAATCAGATTCTAATTCTGGGTTTACATTTGGCTTCAGTGTTGGCTTGAAGGAAGACATTTTATTTGTTTGATTTTAAGTTAAAAATAATGTTAAATCAAAGTTTTAAGTTACAAATTTGGTGAGAAGCCGACCCAGGAAAAAGTGTTGCCAGAGCTATCATGTACCAACATCATCTTTGTCATAATTGAACTCTCTAATGGGCTTAATGTGAAAACCCGATTCATGTAGGCAATGGATTCTAATTTAATCAAGGTAAAATTGAATTAACTTGATTAATTGTCTTTCCAACAAATATGGCAGACTAATAAAACACATTGACAGAATACAAAGCAGTTTGTAAAACAGATACCATCTTATTCCCATAACTACTACATGTATTACCCAGTGAGAACCAAGTAAGTACAAATCATAATATACATATAATGCACAGGTATGAGCGCATAATGGTCGACGCAGTGCATGAGGGTATTTACTATGGTGCAATACAATTCATGAGGCATAGCCAATTTAATTTTGTGCCACTGTGAATGCCTGAATAGCACTGCATCCCCATAACGTCACAAACAAAAACCTGTGTAATATTTGTTTCATAAAATGGGTCGACAATCTTACTTAGCAAAGCCATAAGATATCTCCCCGCAACCTTCATCCACGGTTGTTATCACCCCCATGCAGATGGTACTGTGCATATATTAAAAAATAATGCACGGTCACATGATCCATTTTGACACTTCTCATTGGCTACATTCTTGAACCCATTTTATAATACTAAATGTATGAATATTGATAATGAATTCAAGTAGAATCATAGGGAAGGATAATAATAATATAATAATGTTTTATTTACCCAGGGTAGCCACTTCAGTTATGAAACTGCTCTTCCAGCGGGCCCTGCATAACAAAATATGTTATTACTACCCTTCTTCAATCTAATATGCTGAGCACCTAACTAGAAGGCAGAAGGTCCCATTGTTATGTCTTTGGTATGACTCGGCCGGAGTTCAAACCCACGACCTCCTGTGCATGAGGCGGGCGCTCTAACCACTGAGCCACCACTTTAAAAGTCAAAGTACAGTGAAAGACATGCCACTGGCTCATGTTGAAAGGCTCTTGATCAATCGCCCACAATTCATTTTGGCTGCAATACACCATTCTTTCCTCTGATCATGGGCCTCCCTGATTGGAATAGAAACATGACAGTAATAACACATGTGAATCAAATATCTTTTTTGTTTTTCCTTGATTCCTCTCCGCAGCCGATCATACTGCATTCTCTTCCCCTCTGCCTTGTTCAAATAAGAGATTGTTTTCACCAGGCCCCTCTCTACACATGCCCCCTCTAGTTGCTTAATATCTTGGCTGAGTTTCTGCTACTGCTTGTACGCCTCTGTGAGAACTTGTCTGGTTTGGAGGGGCACATCTTATCAAGAAAGGACCCATCAATGATATGACAATGGCTCCATGACACTCAAACTGAATTCTCTGCCACCCTTGTTTGTTCTAATAAGACGTTGTTCACACTAAGCCCCTCTCTACAGCTGCCCCCTCTTGTTGGTTCATATCTTGGCTGAGTTTCTGCTACTTCCGGTACGTCTCTGTGAGAACTTGTCTGGTTTGGAGGGGCACATCTCAGAAGGCGAGGACCGGTCAGCGATATGACGATAGCTCCTAGGGGTGCAGTGAACAGGATGGATAGGACTGCTACCGTCAAAAGCTACGAATCAAAGATTGGAGAGAAATTGGGTTAAATTCTGAAATTCTCAAGAAGGAATTTGATAGAGGTGGTGGAGCAGATAGGAGAGGGGGGATGAGATTGTCACTGTTTCCACTTAACTCAAGGACAGAAGGTCTTGACATGTTTGGTGCATGAAGTAACTATTTGATTGAACAAAAAAAACACACGTAATTGCATTAGTTTCATTTCTATGTACATTACAAGTTTTTGCATGCATGTAACATACCTATCACATGGGGGTGGGAGCTAGCACATCATTTAGAAGCACATCAACACTGCAAATGACACACTTTAATCCTTTTTAATAATAATAATAATAGCTAGTTCTTATATAGCGCTTTTCAGGACCGAAGGCCCTCTCAAAGCGCTTCACGGATAGATATATTATTACCCCGGTCATCCGATTCAGGCTTACCCGCACACAACGTATGCACATTCTCCACTCCCTGGGGAGCATTCCAACCAGGCGTCATTTTTACAAGCGCACACTTGCTAATCTAAGCACATTAGCTTTCGCATCCTACCGGGTACCTATTTAACACCTGGGTGGAGAGTGGCAAATGTAGATCAATGTTGTATATATACGCAGAAACTTGCTATTATGACCATCAGATGTACATGTTCATACAATTGCAATACTTTAAATATCAGCTAGGATCACATCGCATTGTCCAATTATTAATTTGTTGAACTATTATTGATGTTATATTTTTAATTCATTATCATTACTGTTTTCATTATGGTCACTACCTACCTGTATTCCATATATCTCTAACTCTTCTTCACTTCCTCTGTCTCTCGCTGTATCTAGAGCTACGGATCCAATTGCAGCCTGGAAGGAGAAACCAAGTATTCAACAAAACTTAGATGTGTTTTCAAGATGCATTTGTCGACTGGTTTTACAATGCAATGACGCATGATGCTGATGATTTACTTCTCTTTATTATTTATTCCTTTTATTCCAACATATGGGAAATCGACAATTAAACCAATGTCATGTACGACAGAAATAAGCAATATACAAACCCATTATTATCATAATCATTAAAAACTCTTATGCAAGGCAAAACAGTACGATACATGTTTGCACAGGCTTTGCCAGCTCATTTACAAGTGCTGATAGACTCATGACTTAAAGGCCCACTGCACTACTTGTAGCTAATTTCTCCCTCTATATAGAAAACAATGTATAAGCAGTGCCTGTTGGTCCCCCATGATCCTCTTTTTCTTATGTTGATTAAGAGCTGAGTTGATGATATAACCCACTCTCAGTGACCACGCTGGGTGGTCTAATCCCCCCCCCCCCCCCCCCCCCCCCCCCCCCCCCCCCCCCTGGCCGAATTAGTGCAGACAGGCTTTAAAACATGTGAAATTCACTCAAAAATAGCAGATTAAAGAGTAACTGTTCGGAGGCAGTGAAATAGAGAATTGTACTTGAAGTGTTAACAGTGAGGTAGTACCTGAACAGTTGCCTTTGGTAACCATGCGAGGGAGATAAACAGCTTTTCTTTCCACGTCAGACCGGCCCCAGTGACAGCCAATGCAGAGACAACCATCCTAACACACAGACCTATGATGAGTGTGGCAAAGCCTAAACCTTCAGCCAGACATGAAAGAAAGTATTAATATTGGTTATTCATTTAGTTTTAACAAGCGGTTCACTCATATCCTCAACCCCTACACTACAACCACATTTATTGTCAGTAATGCTACAGTCACAAAGGTTTGTACGTTTGTAGGTTTGAACGATAATTTCGTACGAAATTAGAATCTCCCTGTTTTTCCATTGTCTTCTCAAATTTTCATTGTCTGAAAATCGTTCATACAGCGTTCGTAGCAGTTCGTAATGGCATTTGTGACCGAGGCTTTACCATGTAACAGTTTTCAATAGTCAAAATTTGATAGTAAATTGTCAGATAAGGTCTTAAAACTTATTCCTTGGGAACAAACATACAATATATGGACTACATGTAGTTTCTGTTTCTGGAAAGAAAATGAAGTTATTCTGTGCTCAGATAAACAGTACACCATTGATAATTGTTTGAGGGTTTGATTACTTACTTTATACAAAGAGAAAAAACAAAACAATAAGAATCACTCAATATGACCATTGACTCATTTGGCTAACGTTTCTTTCTGCTATCTCTCCGCCATGACCATTTTCCATCAAGCGTACAGTTATGACAACAGAAATATTGTATGTCCCATATGATATCCATGAATTGTCCTTTTAATGTGACCCTTTGGTGACCTTTATACACAAGTCTGATTGATGTTGATATCCTTACCTACTGTAGCTGGGTCCAGATATGAAATGGATACTTCAGCTCCAATCAAGCCAAATAGAAGAGGCTCAAACAGTAACCAGAGATACGACAGCAAAGTATTTACACCTTCCTACGTTCAACAAGGAAAAGAAAAAATATATTACAGTTCCATTTTAGATGCAGTTGAGTTGAGTATTATAACGACCACAAACAGATTTGGAGAAAAAAATAGCATGATCAAAACATTACATATAGTTACATTACTTTAGAGATCTCACACAACTACCGTAAATCTCCGTGTATAAGGCGCACTTTTTTGCCGCCGAAAAAATTTGAAAGTCGGGGGTGCGCCTTATACACAGGTACAGAAAAAAAAAGTTTTTTTTTTTTTTTTTTTTTTTTTTTTTTTTTTAAGTTTCGATTTATGGCGCTATGCCTGGCAATGTCTCCCAGCTCAGTAATCAGTGTGTTGACTCACCACTCGGAAACTACAACAACACTCAAATTTGTCTGTCAACTTGGTTTGAAAGTAATCTTTCTGATAGATCTCAATATGTAGTTTATAATAATAATTCCTCAAATATTTTTTTCTATAACAAATGGTGTACCACAAGGTGCACCATTGGTACCATATGTACTCTTTTGTTTTTAATTTACATTAATGATCTTACACATTCTTCTAAAAACGACATTGGTACTATTATTTGTGACAAGTTAACAAGCACAAATCAGCGCCTTTACTGCACCTCGATGTAAAATGAAGGTCCTTCCCCGCGTGGGTTTTCGGCAACAAAACAACAACAACATCAACCAAAAACGATTTTTTTTTTTTTTTTTTTTTTTTTTTTTTTTTTTTTTTTTTTTTTTTTTTTTTTTTCCCCAAAAAAAAAAAAATTGGGGTGCGCCTTATACACAGGTGTGCCTTATACACAGAGATTTAAGGTAAACAGTAATGCATTTGTTTGAGCTGCATGTTTGACTATTTCCTTTTTTGGTTATTTTTATGATCTATCAATCAATAAATCTCATTCAGTCAGTACTAATTCAACTAAAGTTATCTATCAACTAAAGTTTATTGTTAAGTTTTGTCACCAGTAACATGATTTCCAGAGTCAGGCTGGCTTTCTCCAAGGTCTCAGTAAAGAGGGGGAGAGGGAGAGAGAGAGAGGGGGGGGAAGGGACCCCCCCCCCCCCCAATTAGATCTACCTATGAAATGTGTCATTGTCATCATTATGAAAACAAAAATTTCTCACCTTTCCTCTTTCCAATCCAATTCAATCCAATCCAGGTATTTATAAAGCGCCAATATCTAGTTGCCTAATCAAAGGTGCTGATGAGACTGAAAAACTACAAAAAAATGTCTTTCCAACAGAAGAGCGGATGCACTACCTCTTAGATCTAGATGTTATTATCATCATTATAAAGAAACTCACCTTTCGCTCTTTCCATCTGTGTCCAGCAATGAATGCCATGGTGAGACAGCCAAGAGCACCTGCACCAGGGTACTGTGCAGCACCGCTACCAAAGACAGCAAAGATTCCCCCATAGAGAAGCAGGATGAAGCGCTTCTTGGGTAACCAGATCTAACAATCATGAACACATAATAATCATGACTTAAATGCTGCTTATAAGTATCGGCTTACATGGTGATGTAGATAATACAGTAGGCTTGCGGTTGCACTATGTGAGAGCCGATGGATAGTCAACCTGTTCGAAACGTCGAGCCACTCCTACTACCCATCCTCTCCAACGGGCGCTATAGTTCTCCTTAGAACTATAAGCTAAGAAAGATAACCAACAGTCTTTTACAAGACTATAGTATCAACAGTCCTTTTTAGGACTACACCCACTCACGAAAGAAAGATTACAGAGATTCCTTTCCAGGTCCTCCGAATTCTCCCCCTCTCTCTCACATGGTGCAACCACAAGCCTACTGTATAATTATGACTTAGTTGTTGACCCAGGCAGTCTGTACATCTTTTGTTTACTTGCCCTGTCATTTATTTCTATTATTTAATTGTTATAATTTATCATCTGATTCATGTTTCTATCGATGCAACATTATAAAAGAACAGGTTTGGTGCATCGGGAGAACCTGAAAGGTTGATTGCTATCAATCTTTGTAATCCAAATTCAAGGTATATTCCATTATGTATGGTTGTTTTCCTCTCATATACTGTTGATTTGTCATATAGTGCAAATTTTATGTATTTTTCATTATATATGTTTAAAGTTTATGTTATTTGATTGGAATTATGAAATCTTATGAAAAGATATGACTCATTCATCTTTCAACTATCTCACATCTAGCCACTAGTAGTTGGTCCGATTAGCTTGATGTGTTTCTTTGTTAAAAAAGAGTGGTTTTACATACAACAACATCATGCTAAGCTACCTAACCACACTAAGTATTATGGAAGGGGTTCCGGATCGAACACTTTACATTCTGTAGGCATGACAGCTACAGACATGCCAAGTTTTCCAAACTGCAATGTGGGACAACTGTCATCAAGAGTCCATTAGAGTCCATTTATTCAACAAAGTGACGCAAGCTCAAATGTGCAAATTCATCATGAAAGAAAAGCAGATGGTTTCAGAATTCAGTAACAATTTGACAGCAATCTCAACCCTACAGCAAATTTCAGGCATGCTCCATGTTGTATCGTATGTACTGATATTAGGCCTAAAAAAAGATGTTGTATTGCCCTTTAGGTGCCAAAACAGGGGTCTGTTGGTCAGAAATCTTCTCTTTTTTTTGCTCCCTCTTTGAGCCGATATTTTTCAGTTTTGAATGCTTTAATACATTTTTTTTCTAAAAAACGGTTTAAAAAAAAAAAACTTTTTTTGAAAGCCAACCGTAGATTTCAAGATTTTTGGATCGGTCTCAAAGGGAAATACAACATCTTTTCCTTTTAAGGCCTTAGTAATATTGGACACCAGTTGATCTCTGTAAACAGAGAAATTGCAGAATGCAGGACATTCGGATTCCGCATTTTCAGGATTTTTATCTCCGGAATGCTCGATGGGACACTTGGCAGGTCTGCAGCTATGTAAAAACTTCAAAATTTCGGGGATCCTGACTTCTATTTTGCATACCTACGTGTCCCAAGCACCTGTTAGTGTCAGGTCCTGGATATGTGCTTACCTGGTTTGGGTCAGGGATATACCAAAGAAGAAACCCTGCCGCACAGCCGAAAGATACCCCCATCACTAGCTCCAGAGGACCCCTGAAAATACTGTAAATTATATCACCTTCACAGAGAAGGAACAAGATACATATCCACATACAGAGAGGGAGAAGTAAGGGGAGATAAAGAGAGACAAACACCAAAGACATACACAAGGAGAGACAGAGAAGGAAAGAGAAAGAGAGAGAAAGAAAGAGAAAGAAAGAGAAGGAAAGAGAAAGAAAGAGAAGGAAAGAGAAAGAAAGAGAAAGAATGAAAAAGAGAGAGAGAGAGAGAGAGAGATACAAAAATATAAAAGACTTAATATTAATAAAAATTTCGCACTTCATTCTCATTCAGTACTTCATGAGCGTCAGAGTCGGGCAGATACCAACGCTATATAAATATCCATATTATTATTATCATTATTATTAATCAAGAATTAGATGAGTGCTTTTGTGGAAAATTGTATTAAATAAAACCAATAACTTTTTTGTTTTAATCACCTCAAAAAGAATAGATCAGTCTGAATATATCACAATATAACATCTAGAAAAGAAAGGGCAATCATAACTCAATAACATTCCATCCGATGAAACTACAAGTAAAATGAAAACAACATATTGCAAAGAGCCAACGACAACAAAAAAAGAGTTGAAATTCACCTTTTGCAAATGCGATTCCCAGGATCACTCCAAAAGCACCGATGGCGAGGACATCATCACAACTAGCAGCTGCTATGACCAGGGTTGGTATGCCTTGTCTCACCCCATAACCTCTGGCTTGTAAACTCAGTAGAGATGGTACTATCACAGCTGGAGTAACAGCTCCAAGAACAAATCTATGGAAGAGGAAAAACCAGCTGTATAAGGATGCATGATACAAAAGTGTTGTGGTCTAGTGGATAAATCGCCAAACTGTAGATCACAAGGTACAGGGTTCAAATCCCAGCCCAACACTAACGTCCTTTGGCAAGACGTTAATCTACATTTGCTCCCCTCCACCCTGGTGCTAAATGGGTACCCAGTTGGATGCGAACATTAATGTAGTAAGCCCAACATTGTGAGCGTCTGTAAATTGGCGCCTGGCTGGAATACTCCCCAGGGAGTGGAGAATGTGCACACATTGTGTGCGGGCGAGCTTGAATCTGAAGACCGGGGTAATAATATATCTGTAAAGTGCTTAGAGACACTGGCAATGAATTAAGCGCTAGCCGCTATATAAGCACAGAATATTATTATACAAACAATGAGAGTTCTAGAGTTCAAATTTCAAAGGGAGTTTTACAGATACACTTGTAATTGCCCTTTCCATGATCTCTTATTCCTTTGAAAGAATTCATGCTGTCAATCTTAACAAAAACTAAATTCTGATAATATTTTGTTGACCTACAAGCTCAAGCTTCTTTCCGGTTCCCTAATCATTTTTTACTTCTTGTATATCAAATATGTTTTGTATGCATATTTCAAACGTCGTTTGTAATTTTGAGTGTTTGTTTTTCAAAAAATGGTTGAACCAATAAATGAAATGAAATGAAACCTACCCTAGCATGAAACCCCAGGCCCACGGGAAGCCAAGCAGAAAGTGTGATACAACAGCAGCTGTACAGGCCTCAGCTATACAGGGCATGCAGCACAGACGAACACAAACCATACTCAGCCTCTTGAGAGCACTAGCATCTAAGCCGATACCAGCCTGAATTGAATTGAATTGAATTAAATTTCTTTATTGTCATGCACAAAATGAAATGAAGGCATAAAATCGTCTTACGACTCACATTTGGATAAAATATAACAATACATAAACATATCATAGACAAATAACTATAAATAACATAACAATGTAATATATTTTAATCTCTCTGTTGAGGGACAGAGGAATTTGATTATTTGTTCTCCCCTGGCTCCCAACAGACAATACTAACTTAAATATAATTTAGAAAATGTTCATGACAACAATCAATGTCATATAAATAAAACAAGTCACAGCCAAGATCTAAAATCAATTATTCATCAATTATTACAAATTTCTGATAAAAACTGTTTATTTTTGGTAGCAGACATAAACTAACCTGCAAGAGTATGATGACTAGAGCCATGTCTCGGAGGGATGAGGACCATGTGGGAGAGATGTCCTCTGCTACGTTGATGACTGGTATGTTCCGAAGCATGAAACCAACAACAAGCATTCCTGCAATGAAACAAGCCACAAGCCTTGTATTGTTGAAAATACCAAAATTAACACAAAAACACATGAACTTTACTTTTCTCTCTCTCTCTCTCTCTCTCTCTCTCTCTCTCTCTCTTAGAGCTATTTCTTTGGTTTGTAAAGGACTAGCATAACCTTAGCTTATTTTCAACAATCCTCTTTGTGATCAATACTACAAAGTTCAGGCCTGACAACGTTACATACATTTGATGCAAAATAACATTGTTCTGTCCATTTATATGTTACTATGAACGGAAATGGAAATGTACAAAAATAAATAATTTTTTTAAAGTAAATTATTTTGATTACCAATTAATACTCACCGAGCAGAGCTGGTAGTTTGATGACCTCTATGGCTAATCCACCTGCCTTGCAGGATACCACCAATATGAAGAGAGCAAAAAGGTTACCCCCTGGTAATGCTTCACTCCCTGTAACAGCCCACAATACTACCCAAGTCAGCACAATAAGGAGAAGAATTGTTAGCCATCTTGATAAGGCTCCATGCGGCGGGCACATGAGGAGATACCGGAACCTCTGACAGTGTGTTGGCTGTGCAGGTAGAGGATGATGTTCCACCAGGCAGGGTTTGCAGAGAGTGAAGCAGCAGGAGCTGCATCGCGCTGAACATCCTCCTGATTTCTCCTTCTGTACTGCATCTCCCGAATCCTTGCTACGGAGCTCATCACCATGGTTACTACCTGTTCCTACAGCATCAAACTCTAATGTACCTTGCTGAGACATGAGTACGTCTTGAGGAGAGAGACCATCTTCATTGCACACCTGGGCTCTGGAGGGGGGCGGTTGCCTGCTGCTCCAAGGGTTAATGGTTTCAGGCATACCGGAACTCATCTCTTCTCAAGGGTTGAAGACTCTGAAGGGAAACTAAAAAAAGGGAAAATGTGAGAGCGAGAAGGGCGTTAACTCTGTGTTAAAGTATATGGGTTAAAGCCCTTATTGCTCCAAACAGTACAACATGGAAAAGAGAATTCAATTATAGTTATACAATTCCTGAGTAAAAAGTGTGGGTTAATGGTTATAAGGGGATTCACTAAGTACAGACAGGAATGATTAGATATCAGACAGGAATTGGGTTAAACACCTTTAATAAGGCGACAACGGCCTTAGAAACAACAATCAGAATCTTACAGACAACAGTCCATTTTCTAGTCTCCCGATCACGATCCCGATCATCTCGGTATCGGTATCGGTTAAACGATATCAATCCCTATACTCTCCCCCACCAAAAATACCCTACAGGTTTTTTTTTTTATTTTTTATTTTTTCAAAATACTATTTTTTAACATTTCCAACTGCTCATAAAACAAGCCAAATCTCGCCCGAGACATATACACGTGAAGCAACAATATCGCAACCAAGCGCGCGTACAGACAAAACATACGACCACCAGGTCTCTTAATATGCTGTGATCGCTATCGACTGTTTCTATATTGAGTTCAGGGTAAATCTATACATTCAGTTCGCGTGTCTGTGCAAGATACCATCAGTACCCAAAAAATGTACACTATAAGAAGAACGAACACCGCACCCCAAAAGGATAGCTTTTCCCCGCAAAACAGAGATGCAAGTGCATAATGTCAAACACCAACAAGAAAAAACTTCCAATACAGATTATCGTCTTAACCTGTTCAAGCATATCCATGAATACCTTAAAAAAAATCAATATACATGTAAGTAACACAGCACCAGCACAGCTGAGTTCTTTTTTTGTTTGATTTCTTTCTAAAAGAAATAACTCTTAGACAAATTTGTAATTTAGCCCTACCTGCATGGCTAAAGTGTAGGATGTATGTCGACTAAACATACTTCATATCCTCTATTAATGTAAATCCGGTCAGCAGGTCCGGCAAAAAACATGTAAATATATATATAACAATATATATATATATTGTTATACCCGATTTCAGGTCAGATATAGTGTTTACCAAAGTATAGGATGTTAGCGAAACTAACAGCTGTATATGTGTAAATTATAAACTACACTCAATTGGTAGTTCTTTTGTTTCGTTTATCTTTTGAAACACAATTTCTGTGTACATACTGTATAACAATTTCATGTGCACAAAAATTCAGTGTTCATATATAACTCTAAGTAAAACACTAGATGCAATGACAGAAAATTCACAGGAAATCACAAGTTTTTTTATACAGTTCCAATTTTTCAACAATTCCCAACCGGTTGTATTTATCCTTTAACTGTAAAATTAAGGATCCGACATGTTAATAGTAGTCATCAAACAATTCTGAAGAGTGCACAATTCTGCATGAGCCAGAAATAAAGCACAAGGGTATGCACCAATATAAATGGTTGACATTAAACATACAATATCAGTTGAAATAAGAGTCTGTGAAAATGTATATTAAGAGTCCAGATCAATTAAATTTAGCGTCCATTTCGTTTCTATCGCGATCCATAGCCCAACTGTGACAGTCCCGCTCTCGACCAAACTGCAATCTTACTCGGCTATAGAGGTAAGTCAATGTAATCATGAGTCGCGAACTTTCAACCAGTCCTGATCCAATATGCTACAATAAGCGACAATTTTTAACAGCGTTGGCAACATGCGAAGTCTATGTTCGAAGTAATTAGCACCCTTTCAATTGGTCCACATGAACGATGCGAGTCACCTTCTTGTTGGCAGCGTTCACCACAAGGAAATTCACTGGGGTTAGTTTTTTCTGCACAACAAACGGCCCAGTCCATCGTGGTGCTAGCTTAGCTGAGAAGTTCTTTTTCGCATTTGACAGAGGTTTAGTCTTCACCATGACTTGGCTTCCTTCAGTGATGCGGCACTCATCACGGCTCTGGTCGTAATATTGTTTGGAGCTACTAACAGCGCGTTGACGATTGTGTGCGATTTCTTCTTGCGTAGGAATGTCTTTGTTTCCCTCAGTCTGCAGGCGGTTAGTCAAGGGAGAAGCCAAGCGCCGTCCAAACATAACTACTGATGGTTCTACACCAAGTGTGTCATGACTACTGCTGTTCAGGGCAAACGCGAGTTCAGCGAGATGAACATCCCACTGTCGATGGTCAGATCCGGTGTAAGCTTGAAGCATGGCCTTGATGTTACGATTCACCCTTTCGACCCAGTTCGTTTGGGGGTGATATGGCGTGATGAAGATCTGCTCTATCCCCCAGTCTGTGCAGACAGCTCGCAGAACCTTCCCTCTGAATTGGGGGCCATTGTCCGAGAGCAGGGCTCCTGGAGGTCCATATCTGCAGAACAGCTCCCTCACTAGAGTGGTTGCAACCGACTGGCTGGTAGCTGACTTCAAAGGCAGAATCTCCACAAACTTTGAGAAATGGTCGACAGCCACCAGAATATACTCATGCCCAGCATATGACTTTGGTAAAGGCCCCATGAGATCTACACCAACCCTTTCCCAAGGCCTTGAGGAGGTACTAGACAGCATCTTTCCTTGACGTCTCTGGTAAGAAGGCTTTGTTTGAAGACAAACCTTACAACTGCGAATAAAGCTTCTTACAGACTGCGACATACCACTCCACCAGAGACCCATTGACTTCAACCTTTGAAGTGTCTTCTTTCTCCCAAGATGCCCAGCTATTGGCTTGCAATGACACTCAACTAACACTGCATTCTGAAGCACCTTGGGGATAACTACACATTCATTCTTATACAACACCATTTCCTTCAAACTGAAATCTGAAATCTTCTGAACAGGACCTTGATCCTCCCCACCACCATTCTTTTGCTTTTCAAGGATCTGAATGACTGGCAAAAGATCTGGGTCACTCCGTTGGGCCCTCAGGACAGAATCCTTTGTCAAATCCAAAGGAAGAACGACTTCATCCGTGGCCTCTGACTTGCCAACACAAGATGGGCAAGAGTATTTGTCTACATCCTCCGCCTCTTGAGAACCAATATGGACACAAACCTGGTGATACCACTTATCACAATCATCACATTGTACCCAACCAACCGACTCATCATCCGGGGAAATGCAATCACTGGCCGCACATAAGTCCTTTTCATGTCCGCCACAGACTCGATTCGACAAAACCCTGCTTACAACTCCCACCAAAGGGGCAACACCTTTCTCAGGAATCCTAGATAGTGCGTCCGGGACATGATGCTGCTTTCCAGGCCTATATATCACCTGAAACCGAAAATCCTGAAGCCTCAGAATCCAACGTGCAAGTCGCCCATTTCGCTTCTTCTTCCGAAATAACCAGCAAAGTGCCTGGTGGTCCGTTATAACATGACACTCTCTACCTTCTAGATATGGCCGCCATTTCTCTAGGGCCCATACTACAGCCAAACACTCCTTCTCAGTAGTACTATAATTCCTTTCTGCAGCAGACAAAGACCGACTTGCATAGGCGATAGTTCTCGTCCCAGACGGTTGCCGCTGGATCAGGACTGCACCGACCCCAACATTGCTGGCATCTGTGTGTACAGCAAACCTGGATTCTTCATCAGGGTAGCCTAGTATTGGCTCAGTGAGGAGGCTCTTCTTCAAGGTCTGAAAAGCACGAGTGCAGTCAGCAGTCCAATTCCAGGGAACACCTTTCTTCTTCAATCCATGAAGGGGTGCAGCAACATCTGAGAAGCTAGGAATGAATTTCTGATACCATCCGGCCATCCCAAGGAACCTCTCTAATTCCTTGATCGACCTAGGTTGGGGATAGTCAACAATGGTAGACACCTTCTCGGGGTCCATCTTGAGTCCATTTGAGCTGACAACATGGCCAAGATATTTCATTTCTTGGCAGGCAAACTGACATTTCTCAGTATTTACGGTCAGACCCGCTTGTCTTAAGCAACAAAAGATCTCCTGAAGATCAGAGATGTGCTGTTCAATATCCGGAGAGAAACACACAATGTCGTCCAAGTAGACATAGCAATTTCGCCCGATCAGGCCATCAAGCACCTTGGACATCAACCGTTGGAAACTGGCAGGACCATTCACCACACCGAAAGGAAGGACCTTGAAGTGGAATAGACCCCTATGACAAACAAAAGCAGTCTTCTCCTCATCCTCACCTGCAACGCCCATCTGCCAGTATCCACTGCGCAGATCTAATGATGAGAAAACCGAGGCACCATGCAGAGAGCTCAAAATGTCATCCACTGTAGGCATGGGGAAGGCATCAATCTTTGTCACTGTATTCAATTTCCGGTAATCGACACACATCCTGTACTTCCCGTTCTTCTTAGGAACCATCACTACAGGAGCGGCCCAAGGTGAATCTGAAGGCTCAATCTTCCCCATGTCCAGAAGCTTATCCAACTCTTCATCAAGAGCTTGTCTTTTCTCAGGACTCACCTTGTACGGGTGAGAGCGGATGGGGGAAGCCCCTCCTACATCAATTCTATGAATAGCCATGTTCGTATGACCAGGTACCTCACTAAACACAGTTGGGAAATCTTGAAACACCAGATCTAATTTATGTCTATCTGTTTCAGTTAGATCAAGTTTCTTCATCTCATCCTCAGCTTGGAGATGAATATCGACTTCTTCTCCAACATGTGACATCTCCTGCCCTCCATTCAACGAGAACTTAACTGGCCGCTCATTGGCCCCATTGCTACTTGTGCTATAACTACGACTGCCAAAATCTATGATAAGTTTCACCTTTTCAGCAAAGTCAGCACCAAGGAGGACCGGTACTGGGAGCCTACCAACCACATGAAAGACCTCAGTCGCAGTGCTGCCTCCTAGACCCACTTGCAGGGATGCTAAACCATCAGGCACTAAGGCAGTTTCATTGATCATGCCTAACACCCCTTCAGTTTCAAAAGTAACCTCTACCCCTAACTCCTTACACAATTCAAAGGTGACCAGGGAAACCTCTGACCCCGAGTCCAGCAGGGCTCGGGTCTTCACCACTCTGTCATCTAGACCCTGAACAACAACATCTGCAATTGTAGCATCACCCCTATCCTTTGCAATGAAATTGCACCTTGGCGACGGTTCTCGACCAAAGCCTTGTGGAGGTCCTCCCTGGAAGCCCGACCCCGTGGCCCCCGGAGGTACCGGACAGTTGGCAATTCTGTGCCCGAGCTGGCCACACCGGTAGCAAGCAGCATTAAAGGATCTCCGTCCTGTGGGGTTACTGCTTGCACCTGTCCTTCGTGGAGTGGAGGGATCACTCCCTGAGGTCGCGTAATTACCAGCATAATTCGCCCCTCTCTGGATCATGAACTCGTCCGCCTTGCGCGCAACTACCATGAGGGATGTGGCCTGTAGCTCCCTCAGTTTTAATCTCAACACTTCATCGGGTACTCTCTCTAAGAACTGGTCAATCATGACCAGATTGAGCCCCTTAGAGACTTCAGGCATCTCTATTGCCTCCTGGGGTATTTCCACCCACTTCAAAAAATAGTCTTGTAAATAACTAGCGAATTCTTCATAACTTTCATTGGCCTTCTTATGTTCTTTTTTGAACTTTATTCTGTATGCCTCCGGAGTGAGGTGGTACCTTCTTTTTATGGCCAGGACAACATCGTCGTAATTATTCTGTTCTCTGGCACTCAGGGCGTGGAATGCCTGCTGAGCTCTTCCGGTCAGATATGGTTCTAACAGCCGTGGCCATTCACTCTTTGGCTTGTTTGCTGCCAGGGCTAGTCGCTCAAAAGTGCTAAGGTAGCACACCATATCATCATCGTTACTTAGCTGATGTAATCCCTTTAACGGAGGACCAGTTTGTGCAGAGTTACCGATTGCAGCAGACAGTAAGGATTTGCATAGTTTCTCAGTCTCATGCTGATGAGAATCTTCAAGGTGCTTCATGACCCGCAAAAGGTCATCCACACCCACACCTGTGTTTTTTGGTTCATCCTCTACCAGCTTAGGCAAATCACATAAACATGAGATCCGCTCTTGCTTGGTCTTTACAGCATTGGTATCAATATGATTCAATTCACACAAGTGTGCTATGTGCTCAGCTGTAAATCTGCCGAGATATGCTGCTCGGTCTGTCATGGTTAATTTTATCTTTCATTGAGCACTGAATATTATACTAGACTAAATCTAGACCTAACTTTAGATCTAGTTTAAATTTAATTTAGTGACCTATGAAACGTGTGTGTTTTAGTGTATGGTGTATGGTTAGTGAGAGAAATATTTCCGTCAGTAGATCTAGACCTATTTAGTATTTATCTAGAATAGGTCTGCCGGTGGTCTAGACTACTAAATCTACTATTTTAATCAACTTTTATTTATTTAGACCCTATCTAGATCTAGACCTTAGTCTATTTATTTATTTTTTATTTTATTTTTAATGTTACTTCAATACTAAACTAAACCTACTTGTTTAATAGCTACCTTAACTTTGATTAGTCTATCTGTAGAGTCTAGACCTAGATCTAGACCCTAGATCTACTACTACTAGATCAACAAGCACTAACTTGTTAGGCCTAGGCCTACACAACAACAAGTGGGGCAACAACAGTCACACACTGCATGAAAAGACCGTGTTAATTTCTCACCCAATCCTTAGATTTCCAAAAGGCCATAGTACAAAGAAATCCTGCCGATTACGCCAGTATAAGGGGATTCACTAAGTACAGACAGGAATGATTAGATATCAGACAGGAATTGGGTTAAACACCTTTAATAAGGCGACAACGGCCTTAGAAACAACAATCAGAATCTTACAGACAACAGTCCATTTTCTAGTCTCCCGATCACGATCCCGATCATCTCGGTATCGGTATCGGTTAAACGATATCAATCCCTATATGGTGGTGGTGGTTATTTTACCCAACTGCTAAGTAAGCATAAATGCTTGTAAGTAAGCAACCAGATGGCCAACGGCTTTAGGTCTCCTCTGAGGGACCTGGTAGTGGTAGTGGTAATGAGGATTAATGCCTTACCAAAGGGCACTATAGCGCATCGCCGGATTACGAGACCACTGCTTTACCGACTGAGCTATCGCGCCTCCTCGAATGGCCTCCTAGTATGGGAATTCTAGGTGAGTTAAATGCCACCATTGAGATTGTTAATGACAGACTGTCTAGATTAAATATTAGAAGAGTTTATTTTGATCAGCACGTCCGCTTCATTAATCTTATTAATATTAATATTATCTTTAATGATTTATTTCACAAGACTGCATCAGTCACTTTTAACAAATTCAAATCGGCAACAACAACAATAGCAACAGCACTCTGAGGGGTAGTACTTCTAATTTTTCCCGTCAAGTTTGGTGTCTTCTTTTCATCTCAAAGTCAAAACAATTTAGATTTTAGGCCTACATGCACACAGCTCACGAAAGGAGGGGCATGCCAAATTGCCAGACCATCACATCAGTCATCGGGAGAGGAACGGCGGATCAGCAGTCCGCGTTCCGTAGCAACTGAGCGGCACAGCGAGTCGGGCAATACGGATAATGATCACACCAAATTGCAATATGAAAACCTAAATTTACCTCCAAAATAGCTGCGATGCTTGCCCGGAATTACTATCTTCAATTGTGCCTCTACCTTGGTATTTTCCTACTTTAAAGCCGCTTACAAGTTACATTGCTAACTTGTAAATAGGTCTTACGTTCAATTTTAGTTGCGGTATCTTCGAAGGGAAGGTTTCACTTAAAATAAAAAGAAGAAAAAAATAGAATTTTAAGAAAGAAAATAAAGTAAACATGTAAAAGGTTGCTTGTGCTGTAGGTGGGGGAAGAGAAACGGAGAAGTATGATAGAGAACGTTTCATCAAAAATAAAACTGATTTATTTATTTATTATTATTTTTATTATTTTATTTTTATTTTTTTTGCTCACAAAGCTGATTAGTATCTTTCTCTAGATTTTAACCATTTATCAACTCTAAAAGCCAACGTTTTATACTCCTTATGGACTTGGCGAAAATATTTTTCCACGGAGCATCTTGTGCTGTATTACAAAAAAAGAAGACCAAATTGCTTTTAAAGACAATTAAAAACACAACATTTATCACTTTCATATACATGCATGTATTAAACACTGTTGTAAAAAAAATGTGATACATTCAGGAGTCTTTGTATGTCATGAATGTCATGGTATATTATGCATATGATGTATGTATATTATAAATATGTCATCCCCCTGGAAGTATGTTTATATTCTCATTCCATAACTCACAAATCATATCAAGCACACAAAACATATACAAAGAACAATAACAAACAATTAAATTGAATTAAATCTTACATTTAATCAATCTCCAGAAGACAAATAGAAGCAACATATGGCAGATGGAAAATGCACCACATATTCAATACTATATGCAATATAGTCATTTTGTTGAACATTTATTTTTATCATGTTTCTCTGAAGCCATTCTAAATCACAGATGTAGGGTAGAAATCAGCTCTATATAATACACAAAATAGTACACACATATATATATATATATATATATATATAGGACGGAAATTTTTAATTTCAATATGCACCACAGAAAAACATTTATTTATCAATTGGAATGAAATAGTTGCATATGGTATATAATTGAAAAACATATTCATATATTCAATTCATCGTGCTTCTATGGCAGAGTACATAAAAGCTGCATACAAATTTTGGTGATTCTATTGAATACTTCAAAGGAAACTTTGCATAGACCTATAAAACACATGTGTGCAGCTGACAAAGGCACTAATCATGTCAAGGTGGAACATACAGTCGACTCATTAAATATAGTGTGCCATGCTGTATGATAAAAACAAAACACTGTTATACATGTATATTACAAATTGATGGTCCTAAGAAACAATATAAGAAATTGAAAATATAATAATTATTTAATTTCTTTCTTAAACAAAAATCATTCAAAATTTATTTTATATCCTTTTTACTACAATTAAACAAACAAAAGAAGGAGAGAAAATATTTTCTCATGACCAGATTCATCTCTTTATCAAATGATGTGTCTTTCATTAAAAATGTTTGTAACACATTGAGTATCAGCAACTCGAGTCAAATGATAACCTATCTGGTCATTCAAAAATCCTCACATAAAATCTAATGTAAATTATAAATTATAGAGGTATAAATACCCTGACCTCAATTTTACCACACACAAAAAAGCAGCCATAAATATTTGCAACTGTGTTATATAATCATACCATCATGCATTAACAAGGTGATTTATTCTGCATAGTAAATCCTATATGATAAAAAGGCTATAAGCTGCTGACGCATATCAATACATAATAATGCAACTTATTCAAAGATAGATAGATTACCAGAGTAATGGTTTCATTTGAAGAAAGGAAAATGATTTTCATTCAATCTCTTTATGCATTTCAACATGCACAAAGTTATCATTTTATTTACATTTGTTATTATATACATAAATATTCTCTGTACAGGTGAATCAAACTCAGCATTGAAGGACCAAGTTCCAATGTACAAGGGTATACCCTCGTACATTGGAACTTGGTCATTGTCAATGCCTTAGGAATGGATGTCTGCTCAAGATAATTGCAGAGCATCAGAATAGAGACTTCCGATCGCCAATATGATTTTAGACTGGTCGCTTCATAACGGATAGCCTTGAAGTTTATTTACTCTTGTAATTGTTATATAACATTTTCTCATCTTCTCATTACAATACAAATTCTACCAAAGTTTTTTGTGTGAAGCACCTTCTATTGTACATGATAGAAGGCTTAACTCGACTCCTTGCAATATTCTGAATTGTTCTGACCAACATTTCTTACTCATAATTTATACACAATATCAATAATCTTCAGTGATCGAGGCAAAGATGACACATATAGGTAAATGTAACTCGTGCCAAGCCTACATCATGGAAATGGAAAAGGTACATTATGAACACCCATATGAAAGCCAGTGTTTGCCTGTATCTATACTTCAATTTATTCAATATGTATCTATCCCAATATATGCTTCATATGTTCAACATATAAGTGACACTACACAATGAGGAATTCATCTTTTCACGTTTGACTTTGATACTTATAGATAAGCAATACTTTTTAGAGTCTTATCAATTTAAAGATATCCAAAATATTTAAATTCTCTGCTCTTTAAAAGACACAATCACAAACTGGATGATATTTTCATTGTCTACAATTTGACAAACTTTTCTCATCTTGCCATCAACAACAAATCTTTGGTAATCTTGCTTTACCTGTTCTTATTTTTTCACCAATTTAATCTATCCGCTCTTTAATTTAGCCTCATTTACATATTTGACTTGAAACCAAACTTTTATATGTGTAAGTTCTTAACATCCTGCTCACAAATCATTTATGGCCCTATTGTACTGTAATGCAGATGTGTTTCTTCCATGCTCCTGTTTAAAGCAAATATTTGTATCCAGCGACTAGGTCGACTATTTCATGAGCATGCTGTTTCCTTCACATACAGCTGAATAAATTGCAATGTTGAATAGTTTATTATGTTTGTTAAACAGATATTTTTTCATGGCCTGAAGAGTTCAATCTTTGCTTTCTTGTAGATCAAATCACAGAAGGAACAATAGTCCACATCAAACTTCCCGCCAATTGTGATCTCAAATTTCTTCCAAAGGACGTCGAGTTCGACTTCATTGACCAGGGGTGCAAGCTCGAGTTCACTGAGGACACGGCGGAACTGAGACCTTGAGACTGTGCCGTTGTGGACCCGGTCGTAGTCCTCAAACAGAGGGTAGAGTTGAACACGGCCCTTATTGACCTGTAAGTGTAAAACAATATACAGGGAGTCAATGTTAGAGGAAATATTTTGAGAATTCATAACACATACCAACATAAGTCATATCCTCCAAGCCATACCATGTCAAATTGATATTCTTAATTCTCACTTAATCAAACTAATTTTACATTGGATTTTCAAGACTACAAAAATATACGATATCTGTCATACTTTTTGGTCGAAAATTTATATTTGCTCAGTAGTCTAAAGAGCAAACATTAGATACAGACAATTTATATCAGTAATAACCGAATTCATCAAACAGTGATGTGTACTTTTCATTTGTCATTAGTTTTTAATACACGTCCTTAGATGGGCTTAAAAAGTAACAACTCATGAATTAAAGATATGTGTGTGTATAATTGGGTTTTTACAGACGTGTATCAATTAGATATGATTATTTACGTCTGTGGACCGACCTTTAACGTCACCATCCGAAAGACGTGACTCACTTTCGAACTTGCGCCCTCGGATGAATCAATTAAAGAGATGATCTGCGCCTTACCTTTTGAGCGAGTTTCTCGACAGTGTTCTTGAGGATATTCTCTTCGGCTCCAGTCAGGATGTTCTTCTCCACCTGGACCGCTGGCTTGAACTGCTCTGGGGTGATCAGAGGATCCTTCTCAAGGTTCTTCAATGTGAAGATGCTCTCTACGTGATCACTAAACGCAAGATACTCCACAAAACTGGCATCTCTGGGAGATTCAAATCTGTTAAATGATAATAAAACAAAATAATAAGTGATACATTCCTGAACATTATTGTAAACAGCCAGTTGGCTTTTATGTTATCCTTGAGTACCTAATACAAAAACAAAAAAAACAAAAAAAGGTTTATGATGATCCACAGCACTTGTATGGCGCCATTTATCTGTTTCAAACATTCAAAGGCGCCCGCTCCTCCTAAAGTCATGTACCACACATTTGTTTAAAAAGATGGATTTTGAGGCCAGCTGACTTAAAGCTTTCTAGCTTATCTATATTTTTCAATCATCAGCACAAAAATTGCAAACTTTACTTTCATATTGTAATTGATTTAACAATATAATCGCATTAGAAACTTCACAGAATTAGGTACAACTGAAAATACATCAAACTACAAATCTTTGTAATGACACAAAAATCGAAATTTTGGAAGTATCACTTTGGCATACAGAGGAAATCATTAAAAAATGTTCTATGTTTAGTATAGGAAAACTTACGCATTTATGAGGATTTCTACTTCTGACGGTTGGAGACCAAGGCCTGCATTGTCCAAAGCTCGTCTGAAGTTTTCCTTCAGCATACGGCCAGTACGAAGCTTGTCATAATTACGCATGAACTCATGTACCCTCATCCTCTCCTTTATAACCTAAAAAGAAAACACAGAAAAAGAATGACAATGGAATGTAATTCTAGTTACTCTAAAATATTTCATTTGAATTCAATTCTTTCAACATGTTCACCTTCTCAAGCAAGACATGCGAGATTGAAATATTTTTAATTTTAATTTCAGTTAAGGTAAAGGTTACTTTAGTATCAGTCTTCCATTTTGCTAAATCCCCAGTAATATCAGTACTTTGAAGACACCTCAAGCGTCCACCTTGAAGATCCCCTTTGATGAATATGTCAGGAGTGATAGTGAGCACTAAAAAAAAAAAAAAAAAAAAATTCTCCCTCAACCACGCCAACCTTGAAACAGGATTCACGGGGGAAATTTTTTTTTAACAACATTCCCCTCTTTTGAGTAAGAAAATTGGGGGGAAATCGGGAGGAATAGAGAAAATATATATATATATATATTTTTTTTTTTAAATAAGGAAAAATCAGGGGGAAAATATCGGGTAATTATCAGGCCTGATATGTGCACAATACGAATGTAGCTGTTATCAACATTATCATCATTCCAATAGAATTCAATAAATAAGCAAAGTGAAACGCAATGGAGAAAAGTGATTTAAAAAAAGACCTTGAATTCTTTAAAAATGCAGACATACATACCTTTGTTTTGACCTTCTCCATGACACTGTCTGCATCCTTGAGTGGGTTCTTCTCCAGAGACACCTTCCTGTTATTCACCAGATCAAGCTCCTTCAGACGTTGGACATACTTCAGTTCTTGCTGGGCCTTGGGCTGCAGATCTTCCAGGAACTTGATATAGTTGAATCCCATCACATTGGTGTACTTGGCTTCCAGCATCAGCATCTCTTCTTCCGAAGCATTCAGACCAAGGTAGAAGAGACATTGGCGGAACTGGCTCTTGGTGACGATCCCCATGTTGTGATTGTCAAAGTCCTCGAAGCAAGGCTTGAGCAGGACGCGACGTTGCTCCACGCGTTCCCTCATGCGGTTCATAGCCTCGTCAACAGTCATGCAGACCTCACTAGGTGCAGTGCTCCAGTCGATTGTGCCTGGTTTGTCCAATAAGAACTGTTCCGTAGCAACGACAGAGTTGGTGGGGGTCTTTTCTAGGTTGGGAACCACTTGAGTGAAAACTGCAGAGAGGATGGCAAGGGTGAAACAGTAAAATAATATCTAGTTGTAACCCAGGTCGAAATTCCATTAGGATCCGATCCTATTGGACCATCAGAAACCATTAGAGCTATTGGTGCCTAATGGTTTCAATAGGGAAAGTGAAATGATGGACCCACAGAAACCATTAGAAAATATCTATTGGACCAACACAAACCCACAGAAAAATTGCTGATGGACCAACAGAAAGCTTCTATTGGACCAGCATCCACCCATGACTTCTATGGGTTTCTGTTGGTCCATTAGATATTTTCTTCTATTATGGGTTTCTGTTGGTCCATTAGATATTTTCTATGGGTTCCTGTTGGTCCATTAGAGATCTTTCTATGGGTTTCTGATGGTCCCATATTCTGAATTCCCTATTGAAACCAATAGTCCAATGGCTTCTATTGGTAAATCAATAATGATAAATCAAAATCGATTTTAGCAACTGTCCACCAAAAAAAGTATATTCTAATCTCAATTGCATTAACTTCATCACATAGATCACTTGAAGTGAGTTTAAGAATATCCTTTATTTTAACTGAAGGCTTGTACTATTCTATATAATAAACATACATGAATTGTTTTTTGGTTAGTAATCATTATAATCAATATATCTATTGCTAAAACATGAATGAAATTGTAACATGATTAAACAAATAATCTATTGGTCATTAGTTGCCGAAAGAAAATAAAAATCACAAAATTGATGTACATTGTCATAAGTTGCTTAACAAATTATGATAAATGTCATTTTCTGTGAACACGTATAAAGTAATCATGAATATGCATGAGATAGATTTAGCTGTTGGTTTCTATTGGTTTCTATTGGACATATTGGTTTCTATGGGTCCCATTGGGTTCTATTGGTCTCATTGGTTTTCTATTGGTCCTATCGGTCCTATTGGTCCTATTGGTTCTATCGGTTCTATCGGTTTCTATTGGTCTTATTGGTTTATATTGGTCCTATTGGTTTCTATTGGTCCTATTGGTTTCTATTGGTCTTATTGGTTTCTATTGGTCCTATTGGTTTCTATTGGTCCTATTGGTTTCTATTTCTATTGGTTTCTATGGGTGCTATTGGTTTCTATTGGTTTCTGATGGTTTGAATGGTCTCTATTGGATTCAATTCTATGGGTCCAATAGAAACCAATAGACTCCAACAGAAACCATTAGAGACCAATAGAATTTTTCTAATGGTCTCTATTGGTCTCTATGGGATTTTGGACCTGGGACAGTCATACAATGAAAACATATTTCTCAAGAAATACACAGAAAGTCGTCTGTTTCTGCAATTGTAATGATGCTTTATCAAATACAGGTTGTAGGGTGATTTCGGCAGGCTCGAATACAAGCCTGCTCTAGTGCATGGTACTGGAGGATTACAATTCTATTTCATAAGCTTGGGAACAATCTGAACAAACTATGATTCATCAGTTCATGTGACACTTTCAGAATAGGAATACCACTTTCCGTTCATAACATTCCATAACAATTCTAAACGCTTAACAAGAATTCCTATAACATTAGAATGACCAAATTAAAAAAATTGACCTTTGAAACTTTGGTCTTACCTGTCTCAATATCCTTCTCAAAGTTCTGCCAGAGAACAGCATCTGAGTTGGCTGGGTCTGCATAGGTTTCACTGAGTGCTTTGAACTGAGCCTCGGTCATGTTGAACTGACCTAGAGCACTCAGTCCCATTGCACTTAGACCCATGCGGAACTTGCTACGTGGGATGGACCTCTCCCTCAGTGGATCAAAGTCATGGAAGTATTCACAAACCTGACAGGAGCAGAAGAAAAAGGAGGAAAAAATATATTATTTGTAACAATTCACAATAAATATTCTCTCAAAACACACATATACATTATAATAAGGTTCGATCCCTACATTACAATGTTAACTACCTCACATGGCATCATGGATTGAATCATAGTACACATACAGAATTCCCTCGATCCCTAACATCACTACAGCATGGTTTATTTGCCAGTGAAGACATGATTGGTTTATTGTTGTATGTGGGAATAAGGTATTTTGAATCACTGAAATTGAAACTAAAATACAGATTATAATAATTTTATAAAAACATGTATACCACGATTAGTAAATAGTAAAAAAAAAAAATTGTTCTTCTTCCTTTTAGTGAAATTGGAATACTATGCAACTGAACAGAGATTGGCATTAGGATTGATGCAAGAAGAGTTAAGTTTTGTGTGATTCACGCCATATATCCAGGAGATTTCAAGATAATGCAAATGGAGTTTTTGTTTGTTGTAAGAAAATATAAAATAGAATCTTACTCGTATTCTGCTTGTGAGTATATGATGCCTGATGCGAGCCACCAGCTCAGCCACATTCACTTTACTGGAATCAATCGGTTTGTCAGCAGTTGGTGTTCTGGGTCTTTTCTTAGCCTTATCACCACTCTTATCAGTTGTAAACCCAATGTATTCTGTAATGGAGGATAAAGCAAATTTTCAAATAAGTCAATTTACAGTACACCAAAAATATCAGGTCCACAGTTACACATAGAGTAGAACATATATATTTTCAAGCATACACTTGCTTTCCCTCTTTCAAGTTAGGTTAAATAAAAACATGACATCAATTAGGCCTAAAAAAAGAGATCTTGTATTGCCCTTAAAGTGCCAAAACATTGGTCGGTCAGTCGGTCGGTCAGAAATCTTTGTTTTTTTCTCCCTCTTTGAGCTGATATTTTTCAGTTTTTAATGCTTTAATATTGTTTTTCTCTAAAAAACAGAAAAGAAAAAAGACTCTTTTTTTAAAAGCCGACCATAGATTTCAAGATTTTTGGGTCGGTCGCAAAGGGCAATACGAGATCTTTTTTTTATAGGCCTTATACATGTAGGTACTTCTAAGGAAATCATTATTTATTGATCACTAATGGAAGAACTGTGTTGATAGACATACCTTTATCAACTGCTTGCACAAATGCTGGGTAGTTGATGGTATCCTTAGTAGATGGATCTTCAAACTTCCTGCAAAGAATCTCAAAATCTTCCTTGCCGACATTGAGAGTCAAGAAGTGAAGCATCCTTCCAAACTGGATCTTGGTCATGTTACGGGTGTAGGCTTTGCTCTGCAGGAAAGAAAATGGAGATAAATGTAACTGTGTTTGTTTATTTGTTTGTTTGTTTGTTTGTTTGTTTGTTTGTTTGTTTTAGCAAGGCGGCATACTTCAGCTAAAGGCTGTTTTCAGAATGAAAGGGGACATCTTTTCAACATAGGGTCTTTGGCCTTAAAAATATATCAGTGGTCTTAAAGTCTATACTGCTGTAGTAAAAATCATATAATAAGATTATGCAAGAAGTTACTCAGTCTTTAAACATTGGGAAATCATAATGAAAACCTAATGATAACATCCATATCATTTTTGCAAATTAAATCCATAGATCCTGAATAAAAACACATTGATTTTCTCCTTTGCTTTCTTCACTTATTCAAAGTTAAAGTGACTAATACATTAATCTAAATTTTCCACACTCCACCCAGCTAGGTGAGGTAAATGGGCAACCTAGCAGGAATTAATTACATGAAATGCTAGAGCACCACAATGGCAGCCATGCTAAAGCCAGATTTATCATTTTTGAACGCCAGGGGAGAGTTTCACAAAGACTAAGATCAACTTTAATTGGACTTAAATATGGCAGGCCATTCATGCCACTGGTTGCTCTCACCATTGGTCTCTCAATTATGATCATTAGATAATATTTTTTCCTTCAATAATGAACTATCAAAAAAGCTGAATTCTGTAGATGTGCGTGACCATGATTTGTACGTCCCTTGAGAGACCATCGCCAGTAAATAGTGAAAGCAACCGGTGGCATGAATGGCCTGCCATAGTTAAGTTCAACTTAAAGACGATCTTAGTCTCTGTGAACCCCCCCCCCCCCCCCCCCCCCCCGCCAGTTCCAGTCACTAGACATTCCAAACGTTTACTCACCCTGTCGTAATCTTGGAAGTACTGTATCATCATGAGCCTCCTCTTCTTGACGTCGGTAGACAGCCTATCCAAGATGATGCTCAACCTATCCTCTTCATTGGGTGAACTTAGCGTGTTCAGGGTTCTAGAGAGCTCTCCTCGCCGGGGACGATAAACCTCAGTCGTAGGCTTCTTCTCAAGGTTTGGGTCATTAAAAGCTGAATTGGAAAAGGTGGTCAAAGATTGTAATAAAGATTGCTCATTTACTTATTTCACACTAGACCAAACAATTAATGATATCAATTGCTTTTGATGATTACCTTACTCTGTTCACATTAATGTATATTTTATATGTAGTGTAATTTGTAGGTTTATTGCACTTTTTCGTTTTGTTTAATATGTAATTGTTTATCATTGTATTTTTTTTGTTATAGCGCTTAGAGACTTCGGTGGTAAGCACTTTCTAAGCACCGTTTTTATTATTATTATTATTATTATTATTATTATCAAATCTAATAGACATGTATACTGAATAGAGCTCTCTGAATTATTTTTGTTGTTGTAGAATTGACATTTCTTACATGGAACAGACTGCTTTATTTTCAGAAAGAAAACAACTCTCTTTCTAGGCCAAACTCATATCTGATCCTCTAGATCCTTGTATTGGATATCTATTCACTGCTAGAATAGAACTGAACAGTATTGAACATGCATCTGATGACCGGGGTAATGATATATATCTGTAAAGCGCTTTGAGAGGGCCTGCAGTCCTGCAAAGCGCTATATAAGAACAAGCTATTATTAATATTACTATCTTACCATTTTCCATGAGATCACAGAACTCCTTGTAATGCACCCTTCCATCTGGCCTCTTGTAGTAATCCACGAGCTTCTGGACCTCATCCCTGGTCAAGCTGACCTTGTTACCTACACACAGCAACAGACCACACTTGAACTGGTTCTCAGTAATGATGTAGCTGCGGAGCTTGTCATGGTCACGGAAGAACTCTGGGGTACGGATGCCAAACCTATGGATGGCTACTTGGATCTTGGAGAAGATTTGGTTTAGTTCACCATCAGCTTCAATCTGAGGGGAAAGAGGTGAAAAATATGTGTTAATCATGCATCATCTTCCATTTTGACTAGTCATCTGTAAACTGTTTTGACTTTTCTTTCGTACTTACATTGAGGATAATCCAAGATAGTTGATTCCACTTTAAATAATTAATTTAATTTGATTTTTGTCAGGGAATTTGCTAGTACATCTTCCCATTACAGACACATTGAAACGTGAGGTAAACCAATCAATCTAAGCAGATGAATATTGATATTACATTTTACCAATGTCATGTAATTCTAAATGCTGAGAATTTTTGGAATAGAAATGGTAGGCACATCTAAAATGCTCAATATTATATTTATCAAAATAGTAAGGAATGTTGAAAGATACATATTTCTTTGGGATTGGTATGGCCATAACATAATGCATAAAAAGCTTTTGAGTAAAAAGATAGACATTTAACGATTCAGTGCTTTAGTTCATGAGTTCTCCTTGTTGATTTGCTGCATTGAAATAAAGTTTCCCCCTTGCAGTTCACAGCATTTGTTTTTATCACTTTAATATTTGTTCTATGATTTCCAGCTAGGGTTCTCTCCTGATCTAAACTGCTCCCCAATCTCAGTTTATTTCTTCTCTCTGAATGCAGACATTTCAGGTCAAGACAGAAACAGATTTCAACTACTAAACACTGTATACCTCTTTAGGAATGTTGTATGTTGCAGGAGGTTTGCCCTCAAAGAGCTTCTCCACCATTCCCTCTTTTGCCTTCTCTACATCGTTGTGAAAGTTGAGATAGTTACAGATGCCTTCTTTGCTCGGGTCACGATAGCGTTTGGCCAGGAGCTTCACGTCTTCTTCATTTATACCAGGAGGGTAGGGAAAGCTACGAAAGAACTGTGATGATGAAAGGAAGAGAGAAGGGGTTTAGATAACAAATGTGATTATTTAGCTCTTCAAGTGCTGTGGCAGTACAAATCCCAATATATATTTGATATTTTATGCGATATATATATCATATGGAAATAATGCTGGTATCTATCAGCTCCAGACATGCATGGCACACCTCACAGTAAAATATCTTTACAGCATATGAGAATTTTTTTATTTTTTTAATGTCAAAATTGTGTTACATTAACTCAAGAATGCACACACATGTACTTCTACACCCAAGGTTGCCCTAATTAAGTCTATTAAGCCTGTCAGAAAAGGATAAATAAATGTTTGAATTATGTTGTTCCTTTTTTTGTTTGTACATTCATTGTTCTACTATACCTGAGGTTCTGTGATGATGCCTTTGTTGTGCTTGTCAAAGTCTTCATAGGAGCTGCGAATGGTTATCTCATGGTACTTGTAATATGGAGCGATATGTTGGATCATGCCCGTGATGCGGCTCTGTGAAGCAGGGCTGAGAGGTCTGATCGTTCGGGATGTTCCAAGACTGTCAACGAAGTGTAATTGGTTGTCACATAATTAGAAAAGTTATCATCACCAGTATTCAGTAAACATACACAGTATAAACAACAGACACAACAAAGAAACATATCTTAGAAATAATGATTTACAGTCAAACCTGCTTTAGTGACCACCTGTCTACAAAGGCCACATTTGTTGTTTCCTTTGAAAATGGTTTCTCATTGAATCATGTACTAAAGGAACCTGTCTACAAAGACCACTTTTTGTGTTTCCCTTGGGTGGTTGCTATAGACAGGTTTGACTGTACTTAATATGAAATGGAAGGAAAACAACATTTTTACATGAGAACAAGGAGACTGATAATAGTAATAGTAATAGTAATAGTAATCTTTACAGATCGCTCTCTCCATGCCCCTTATAATGATTAAAACTTAATAGTACTTAATAAGTTACTGTAATACATTCCATACCTTAATTGCTTATTACTGATTGAAACCCCACACTGCAACATTGATTGGAGTATATAGTACATTTACATTTGCAATGTATGTGTGAAAGAAATGTGGCAGTCCACTATTTGTCCCATTACTTGACCATATTCAGTAAAGAATTAAACATTTCAAAGTGAGGAGGGAAGAAAAAAACTTACATTTCTGGTGCCTGGATAATCTGTGTCTCTGGTCTTTCCTGGAGTTTATCTGGTTGAAATGCTGTAACAAAAAAGCAAAACAAAAATATTTCAATGATTTAAACAGATAATTTTCCCTGGGAGTAATAAATTTGAATTAGAAAAGAAAAAGAAGTGATTACCACCATCCCCCATATAAACCCATTGTATGCTATGCCTGACCTGGAGCCTTTGAAAAATGTGTGTCATATACTAAAATTAAATCATACCAGGTTCAAAGAAAAAATACTCTATTAAGCAAAAGTTACATAATTCATAAATTAATATCATTAACATTCAGCTGATGAAGAAACATTTACTTCTAATTTCAAGTAACACTATGGGAGATCTCTTTTCTGTGCTCCATTAGGTTTCCTATTTGGGGAGGCTGGACAAAACTGAAATGAATCTTAGAATGTACAAACAAAAAATAATAATATGATTATTTTGTTTTTTAAATCCAATAACCCTTCCTGCAGGGTTTGATTACTCTATTGTAGATACACTTACTTCTCTCAATGACATCTGCAAATCTCTGATAGTTGACCAGATCAGCGCCATCCTTTCTTGTTTCATATTTAGCAATGAGCGCTGCCTGAACATCTTCTTGTAGGTCTAGGTTGAATCCTTGGTCAAGACATCTTCGGAATTGACCCCCTATAATTGTGTTTAAAAAAATAGGACAATTATTTACTAAATGATAAAATTTTAAGAATTTACAAAAGAAAATTGTATAGACATGGCATAATATATGTTAGTGTAATTAATTCATTTCATTCTTTCTTTTACATTTAAGATTAAGTATGCCTTCCTTTGCCATCACATTTACAAACATGGACACCAAAAGAAAGATTTATGAGTCAAATTTCCAATCATGTTTCCTTGTTTCATTGCTCATTATCTTTATTTTGTTCACAAATCATTAACTAGATTTGAATTTCAAATAGTACTAACCTTTTTGAAGACAAATAAAATGCAAAATTATGTTAATGGAGACTTACGTGTTACAAAGCCAGATCTCAAGCTGTCAAAATCTTTGAAGAACTCTGCAACTCGGACGCTTTTGGAGAGAACGAAAGTCCTGATGTGGTCCTCCACAGCTTCAGCTGCACCATATGATTCAGGCATGTTGCTCTGGCTCTTGATCTGAAGCTTGAGTCTCTTCCTAAAAATACAAGAGGAAAAGAAATACATATTTTATCAGCAACATATCAATAGGCTATATTATATACCAGTACAGGACTGAATATCAACTAGGATTGTAATCTTTTTAGACTTTGATAGATTTTGTAACTCTAGAATGTGTACAGATTTGGGATATGCTTGTACACACACATTAGGCAAAAGTATGAATTTGGTGAAAAATAGCTTGACTTTGTGAGGCTGCAGTTTGGAAATTAACTATTAAAAAAAGATTTTTTTTTGTTAACATTTTTAACAAAATAATCAATTTAAAGAATGAACAACTCAATGATGATCCAAAAAGGCAATTACATTAGACTTGTATCAAGTAAAGGTATCTTTTAATTTTAAGAGTCAGAAATCACCATTCAAAACAAAATAAAAAACTAATATCATGCCATGTCCATTGATGTTAAAATCAATGTGAAATTAATAAAGTCACTTGTTGGATTTTTATTTTTTATTTTTATTTTTTATTTTGCCACAGGCACAACACCAGATGGCATCATCACAGGCTTGCCCAGACTGCAAATTGGCAAATTAATATTATGAAATATTCTGTTAGAATTGAAAAAGTTAGTAAATAAACTCTCTCAGTCTCGGCACTCAGTCTCGGCCCTCAGTCACTGGCAGTGTCACTCCATTCGGCTTTCCCTTCTGTTAACAAAAATTACTGTTGAAGGAAACATTACAGGAAATCGACCCAGAGGCAGAGGTCGTCCACCAAAAAGATGGCTTGACTGCGCACACGTATGTTTCTCATAGACTCGATTACGTGCGCTCTGTGTGCGGCGCCATATCTGCTATGACGTCACTCATAAACAATTAAAAAACAAAGCTGATCAAAACATTATGCTATTACTAATAGAATTACCTCACTCTTTACAATCGAACCAATCAAAAACAAGTAAAAATATGGAAAGGAAGGTTTTTCTAGAGCTACCCCCAAATGAATATTCATAGGTCTATTGCCAATTTGATACATAGTTTTCAAATAAACATTGAAGATAACTTGACGTAGGCCTATATTCAATTTTTGGGACCATAATTTTGAGAAGTAATTATGAAGCTGACAAATCGTGTCGGTTATTGGTCCCTAAAAAAAGGCACAAGCTGCCTCGGCGCCGCGCCGGTGCGCTACCGGTGCGGTGGCCACTCCGTTGGGGTAGGCGCTTGTTAAAGTTATTTGGGTATCTGCATCAGTCGACGTACCTTTAAAAGTCATTTCTTCTGACTATAATTTAATTTATTTAATGAATTTGTATGAATATAACGTCTATTTATACATGAAATTAAAATGCGTTTGAAACGTACCTCTTATTCGGTTTTACTGGTGTTTAACTTGGTGCCTCTTTACCAGGAATATCTACTCGTCCTTCGTTGGTTGCAGAATGGAATCATGAATCCACAAGTTGTTTGCACGAGTTTCCCATAACAACTTCACAGATGGCTTCCATGCGCATGCGCATTACAACAAAGTCGTCTACAGGTACTTAGTCTTGTTTGCAGACCTTTTCTCTATTCCTATTTATGCATACAAATTGTCATATTTAAAAGTTTACAGGAACAGGTTTCGCGTAAAGAGATGGATGCAATAGGTCAGAGGCGAAATTCCATTGGCAGCCCCTGGGGTTACGAGGGGGGGGGGGGGTGCTATTTCGATTTCTCTTCTCTCTCTCTCTCTCTCTCTCTCTCCCCCTCCCTCTCTCTCTCTCTCTCTTTATTTCAGTTGTTGTATTTAGTATAAACAAACAATATTGCATAAGTTAGAAGTTTAGCTCAGTCTGTAGAGCAGTGGTCTCGTTATCCGTTATCCGGTGACCCGGGTTCGAAACCAAGTCGATGCGCTAGTGCCCTTTGTTACCAGGTCCCTCGGAGAGGACCTTAAGCCGTCGGTCTTCTGGTTGCTTACTAAAAAATTGCTTTCTTAGCTGTCAGGTAAAATAAGTAAAATAACCATCACTATCACTATCACCCCAAGCGCGTAACTAGGATTTTATTTTAGTAGTAGGGCCTATATGGTAGTAGATGTATAGGGTGAAAGTAGACATAGAATAGTAGAGGAAGGATGGAAGAACGGGTAGACGGGTGACATACGTAGTAGACGTAGGATTGTACTCATAGTAGTAGAGGTAGTAAGGACGGGTAGGGTGGTAGTAATTCTGCAAACACAGACCCTAATTTGACACTTCATCAAAAAACCATTGTGCCTTGAGAGAAGCCTAGCCCAGCTACCTACTTGTGTCAGGAGCAGCTAGAGTACATGGCCTTTGGTCTTATAGTGCAGACTCTCTTTTACGACTGACCAGGGTTTGTACCTGCAGACCCCCCCTCCCCCCCTTTGAGAAAAAAATCATGTAAAATCACGTTATTTTTACCTTTTTGGGGGTGCAAATTTTAAAATTTTGGAGGACCAAAAAAAAAAATGTGCTTACTACCCCTTTTGTACGTGGCTTCGTTCTTCAACCAACTCACTACTAGTATAATACTCGTGATCCAGGCCCCGCCCCCAAGTATTTGGGGGCGTTTCGAGGTTTAATGAAGGAGTTAAATGGGAAATAAAATGTGGTTGAAAGTGAGTGGGGGAGGCTAGAGTATTTAAGATAAGGTAGAGCGTAGCACAAATTGGCGGATGCTCAGGGGGTAGGGGCATTTAATTACGGTCAGGTGAGCATATTTTAATACCTTATTCATGACACTAGCAGGTCACTAATTGGCGTATGGTCCAAGGGGTAGAGCCCCCGGAAGCGCAGGGGTTTTAGGCATTAAAATTACGGTCAGATGAGCATCCAGGGGCCAGCCTTGGGGCACAAGGTGGGGTCCAGTGGGCAGTGCCCCCGGAAGCTCAGTGGTATGGGCATTTAATTACGGTCACATGAGCATACTTTCTTTTCTATTTCTTTCTATTTGATTATCTTTAATATACTTTTTCAAAAATGTGGGGGGGGGGGGGCTTGAGCCCCCAAGCCCGCCGTTCCACATGACCTGACAAGTATTGTTTCCCTGATCCGTATATAGGACAAGGCCCTGGGGCAGCTAGCCATAATCCGATATTTGTGTCGTTTTTCCGGTCAGAACTAGCCCTAACTATCATGCCAGACATTGGATCTCGCATATCATTGACCCCCCAAAATATATTTGGTGGATCTCGGATATCATTGTAACCCCCAAATATTTTGGCGGGACTCTGATATCATTGAGCGCCCCCCCCCCATATGTTGGTGGGGCTCAGATATCTCAGATAGAACCACGCCCTGTGCCTACCCGCTCAGGCCACTCTACATTCAGGGGCGTCGCTAAAGGGGGGGGGGTGGGGTTGAAGTCGGTGGGATTTTTTTTTATGTCGGTCGGCCAGCAATTTTTTTTCCCTTCGAACTTTGACTTTTTATCGGACAAAGAAACATTTTTGAAAATTCAGACAATGATTTAGAGTCGGTACAATGAATCGTCTTTCTTTTCTAATAATTTAATGAAACGTTGAAGTTCCCGCACTTCGCGCGAGAGGGGGAGAAACTGAATTCAGACAATTAGGGTTAAGAGTAGAGAACGGTATACAACAAATCGTCTTCTTTCTATTATAACTTAATGAAACGTCTAAGCTTCCGCGCTGCGCGTGGGATGGGGAAACTGAATTCAGACAAGGATTAAGAGTCGAGAACGGTATACAACAAATCGTCTTCTTTTCATAATAATTTAATGAAACGTCTAAGTTACCGCGCTTCGCGCGGGAGGCCTTTCACCCATCCCCTCCCCCACGCGCGCTCTTTAAGTGATTCGCTTGCCCTAAGGCGGTACACTGGATGCTAATCTGATGGAAATTTAATGCCCCAAACCCCTAAGCTTCTGGGGGCTCTGTCGTCCTCTTTGTGCATGGCTGATTGTCAACGAAACGGAGTTAAGTCTTTTGTCAAGTCTGCTCGTTGCTGGCAACCAATAAAAACCAATTCGTTTCATCAAATTATGGAAATGCAAGCATTAATTTAAACAAACAGAACTTTGTTATTCCTGATTGAGGTGTCGTATGAAAGGGCAAAAAATAAACTTTCTAGAAATGTGATTTTCTCTTTGAAATTCAGATAACGCCCGCCAAATGACTTTTTGGTACCCTCTCTTCAATTTGTTTTTAATCACTTGTGCGTGAAATATGCATCATATGAGTTACATCAAATGAAAGAGGAGGATCTATGCTTTACAAATATATGTCATTTATTATTGTGATTAATTCTCGGTTTCGTTTTTTCTGGGACGCGCTGTATAATAGGCCTACTTGCGATATTGGCACATGGTCATTTTCCACGACAACATAAATATATTAAGATTTATTTCGTTAACTTAGTCAACATCGTAGCTACACCCGTACAAATTAGTGCTCACCACCACCTCCCCACCCCCCCCCCCCCCGCCTTTTCGCCGGCTAATTCGCGGATAAACTTTTTCTCACGAAAAAAAATTAAGTGCTCATTACACCCCTCGCAATGACTCACTCTCACCACTGGCTCAAAAGTGGCAACCCTATAAGACCCCCCCCCCCCCCCTCCTTAAAAGCTTGTACGGGCTTGAGCTATATATTTAACAGCAAGCACGTAGCTAGATTCTTATTTTGGGGGCGGTGGTGAGTAAGCGAAGTGTGCGAATCACTTAAAGATAAAGACCAGTTACGGTCATGCGATTGCATTATGAACGTGTAGGGTGGTAGAAGACATAGGATAGTAGTTGAGGTAGGATGGAAGGACAGCTGGGGTAGGGTAGGGGTAGACTCAGGGGCGTCGCTAGACCGTTTTTAGTGGGGTGTACTGTTTTCGACTATGAATCTTTGTCTGAATTCAGTTTTCCCCTCCCGCGCAAAACGCGGAAGCTTTGACGTTTAATTAAATCATTAGAGAAAGAAGACGATTCGTTGTACCGTTCTCTACTTTTTAATCCTCGTCTAAATTCAGTTTCCCCCGTCTCGCGCGAAGCGCGGAAGCTTTGACGTTTTATACCGCAAATGCCTTCAAAGTGCAATTGTTATTGCTCTTGTTCTTATATGAGCTTTCGAATGCTCTTTTAGGACCTAAAATTGCTATGAAGGTTATTTTAGACCGCCAATACGATCATACCAATTCAGCTCCACTTTCAAAAAATATGGTGACCATTAATTAATTAATTAATAATCATGACGGGCCGGCAGGTTGTAGGCCTAAGTATCGTAACTAACAACAAAAAGCCAACATCGGAATTGGCTTGAATAAAACGTATAATAAAGCGCTAATACTCGTTTTTTCAATGGTAGGCTCAAATTATCGAATATTTTGTGGGGCACCACAAATATTAGAAATGGTTAAATCTACGGATATTTCAGCCGTCTCTGAACCGATTTTGATCAAACAAAGATGATTTTGTCATTACAGTGTTCTTTCAAATTTGACGCTCGGTTTTTCTTCCCCCCTCCCCCCCCCCCCAAAAAAAAAATATATATATATATATATATATATATATATATAATATAAAATATATATATTGTGTATAGCGAAACTCCGTAGACTCGCGTTTTCCTAAATGGGTGTATCATAATCTCACCTTTAAATTGAAATTAGACGTTTTCAACGCTTGAAATGTACAAGTTTATAAGTTATTTTTTCTGCTATATAGTATGCCACGTTTTATTTTCACATTCGAGACTCTAATTTTATCTAATTTATCTTTTTTTATCTAATTTTTCTTCTCTTTATCACCGTCATTCATTTTCTGTTTTTCTGTTCGAAGACGCCATATCGCGAATTCTATTGTTTCGGGCTGCGAACTTCGCTGGAAAAAAAACCCAAGCGAGAAAACAAAAACATTTCGTAAATAAACAACATATCAAATGTCTCTTGTGAAAGGAAATTCTTAGTTCAACTGAAATGGGTTCCACTTTTTCTGGTTACACACGTTCCCCTAGAGTTTCTGATATCAAAGGAAGAAAGAGAACACTTAACGAAGATGACAGTGATGACGAGAGTGAGGCAAATGAAGTTCTACACACCCCGCAACGGTAAATAGAACACGAATAGGAAGTACTTTTGATACAGTCCCACCCGTATGGAATGGTGTTTTGTTAATGTGTAAAGATGATTATGAATTGTATGTAGCTGAATTAGTAGAACTTTGCGCATTAAGCGCTGTGCAGTAAGTTTATGCGTTCTCATTGGCCGATCCGCTCGAGTGGCTTTGTATTTAAGTGAGAGAGGTCCTAGACTACTTAACTTAAGTGCAACTTAAGTTCAATGGCAAAGTCAATACGTATCATCTAGATCTAGACTAGACCGAAAACTTCAGTCTCTCTAATCGTCGGTTGTTCCACTGAGACTACGTCTGGCTCCACTAGACCTCCGATTATAGAGACTGAAGTATGGCCTATCCGGGACTGTACGGGACTGTACGGAACAAATGGTTCGGTTCGACCGGACCGCGATGAATAAGATATGCAACGAGATTTTCACTCTTTACATCCTCATAACTGCTGCAATTATAACACAAATTAAAAATATAACATAGGGTCTATATAGAGCTTATTTGACTTACGATAGCTTGCTCATTTAGATCCTAAATTAATGATTAATCCGAGAAAGTCTCGTCGTCAACATTATCCGTCTTGGTTTTAGTTGATGAATATTCATTTTTTCTTTTCGAACGTCCAATAGCTACCGTAGCTACTTACGAGTCGGCCCGGGTTGACCAACGAACTCCCACGAAACGAGTGCTCTGATTGGCCATTGGCTATGTTTTGGTAGGTGGACCCGGAAATATATCGGCCGCCGGGTAATATTTCGAATGCATGAACGTACTGCTTCGCGGTTCTGAGATACAAATTGGATAATTCATATAAGTAAGTCCGTAAATTATCCATTTAATATTGAGTTATCAAATTTTGATAACTGTAATTAGGACAAATGACATACCGACCTAATTTACATCTGATTTAGAAATCAGGAAATTAGATCTAAATAAAGAAAATCGGGGAGAAAATGTCGTGGATGAAAATATGTACATAGCCACCCCCACGGTACGAGATCTCTGGGTTGCCATCTGTATTGGGGAATGACAACAAATGTCAGTTTTATTAAAGAAATGACCCAAATCAGATGGTTATTGCTGTCTAGATCTAGACTAGACCCTAGATAAAATGACGCTAGTGTAGTTCCGTATCCATCTTTTTAGCAGTTTAATATCCATCCTTAGCAAAGGATTTTTAGCCCAGTTGTTTACTAATTTTAATCATAGGTCTAATCATATATTGCATTTTCCACCTGAATTTGGATCACACAGACACAGAGACGCCAAGACCAGTTCAAAGATCGGCAATGCGTGACACTTTCATGATTAGGCGCGCGAGTGCGAGGGTACTATAACACACGTAGGAAGGTATTGCGTTTTTTCAAAATCTAGCACGCGCGTTGTGCGTAAGAGCATTTTCAGATCCTCGAAATGCGTGATGTCACGTCTACTGCGAGATACTTGGTAGCTCTGATCACATCCGACATCGGGAAACCTTCGTGTAGGGCTTCGATGTCGACGTCAACGCTCAGTACCATCTCTACGCTATAGTCCTGCACCTCAAACTGAAGCTATCAGTCCAAAATTATGCAGACTTCTCGTATGTTACATGGTATCGTGCATGTGCGTAACAAAGAGCTAAAAATCTTCGTGCACATGCAGTTCAAAATCTTGCAGCCGTATTTTAAACTCTATTCTATTCTAAATTCTATCCCTTCTAGTCTACGCCGAAGGCCAAATAATTATGAAGGAAAACCTGTGCGCGAGCTACAAGCTAGTAATGACGTTATCAGTTTAACTCTTAAATACCATTGTGCAAAACTCACCAGGGTTCACTCAAAATCTGCACTTTTGTGACAATTGATGACATCCAATTAGCAGGAAAATACAATTTATTTAACTCACCAATATCAGAGAAAATTGAAATTGAAATCTATTGTCAAAGAGCTGCTTCATATCCTTTATTTGCCTTTCTTGGCCACGGGTAGTGGGCCAGTGCTCGAATCTCTAAGCAAAAATTACAACTCGACCAAGAAAAAAAATTGGCTACCAAAATATTGGTTCATATCGCCAACACTAAAAAAGCCTGGATTTTTCCTGTACTCGAAATAGAGTAGGTGTGTAATGTGGATCAAGTTTTTTGTGGCTTAATTTCATTTGCCGACATGTACTTGTTGCTTGTTACTTGGTGCAGTAATTCCAATTGCTGCTCCTCCAATTACAGCTCCTCGGAAACTTTACCAGGATGTTGATCGTGTAATGGACAATAGAACAAGAGATCTTGAAAGTAACTTGATCTTGCTGTAGTCTTGCCAATAGCTGTTGCAATTGTACCCCTTTAAAATAAACTTATTTATTATTTCAGAAAAAAGATGAAGTCCACTTCCAAGTACATCTACAATGCACTGTTTGTGAATGGGGAGAATTCTGACATCTCAATACATGCCCTAGGGAAGGACTGGCCTCTTCACAAGATATATCTTTGTCAGGTTTGTATTCTATTCAGTGTTTAACTCAAGTTGTGATATTGTGTGGAGATTTTAAAACCCCTTTAAAGTGTTGAAAGCCCCCAACAATTTGATGGCAAAATTTCCCTAAAATTGTATCATAATGTGAAAGAGGATGTCATTTAAGACACATTTCTCAAGGATTTTCAAAACAAATGTGTTTGAAGTCTAATGTTGATGAAAGAATATACACTTTTTGTTTTCTGCACACAGCAGAAAACCCAAATTATGCATTCTTTATCAATATTTGTCTTCAAGCACTTTTTTTTTTGGTGGGGGGGGATCTTTGTAGAAGTGTGTTTTAAATGACATTCTCATTCACATTATGATACAATTTTAATGAAGTTTTTTGCCATCCAATTTTTGTTAAATTTGGGGCTCTCAACACTTTAGAGGGGCTTTAAGACTTGTTTTTACGTGGGCAGTAATCCACATAGCGTATTTGCCGGCAAATATTTGATTTGATCTCTTGCGTACAAATGTTGATGTGACTAAAATCACCACCTTAGACTGCTCGCCCAAAATAGCGACTTCGCGTGCTGGATGCTTCGCGGCAGCTCCGTTTAACGGGCCCTTCTTTTACTTTTGCAATGCATTGGCACGAACTTAGATCAAGATCTATCGGCAGATGTTGTTTTTGGGAGTTTATTTTCGTCTTCATGTCAACAATGCAAGATAAAATTGTCGGTAAGATGTGTGGAAATGTCCTATACCATAGTGGTATAATTATTGTACCGTTCTCAGTCCCATATGTGCAAATTTGTGCTGGTTTTGACTTAGTTTTTTTTTTTTTACTCTTTCGCCGCATAGGCCGCACCCCGACTTTTTGATATTTTCTCTTCCAAAAATACTGCGGCCTTTACGCCGGCAAATATGGTAATCAACAAGAATGAAAGAGAACAAATCTTGACAAAAATGAAATCACTTAATTGTAGTATACCGGTACCTTACATTTTTCTGTATCTTTTAACACACAAATCAGTGAGTGCACATAGGGCCTTTGTTACACTAGATACTTCTTCCTATACTTGCCATCATTTACATATATATAAGAGTGTGTCAAAAGCTTGGGTATGTTTTTCCAACAAGGTTAATTACAGGTCCATTCTTCATTCAAACACATGTATAGAGCATATACATCAGGTATACACATTTCTAATTTTTTGAATTTTTATTTTTGTAGAGTATAACTATTGGTATTCAACCTTAAATCTTGTCTTTTCTTGTATCTTAATTTTGTACGTAGTCGAGTTACTTTGCGAGTATGTTCAATGGGTCATGGAGAGAATCAAAGCTCACCGAGATAGATATTGATGTACCAGACACAAACATTGATAAAGAGGGTAAGTCAATGTCACTCTTATTTACAACATTTAATATAGCTTCTGAATTACATGTTCATGCTAAATTCAAGCATTAATAAGCTAAACATTAAACAAAAATTAAACAAGACTTTAAATTTAATATACTGTAATTTAAATCTAATACCACATCATACGCATATAGGATTATTAAAGACAATAAGTTTTTTAAAAGAAGAATAACTTGTAAACTCTAAGGACAATACAGTGCGTCCCAGAAAAAACGAAACCGAGAACTATCGATGTTTTATCATAACTTAGTCATATTTATAATTTATAAATTACACATATTTGGAAAGCTTAGATCCTCCTCTTTCATTTGAGGCAACTCATATGATGCATATTTCACGCATGAGTGATTAAAATCAATTTGAAGAGAGTAAACCAAAACTCATTTGGCGGACGGTTTCTGAATTTCAAAGAGAAAATCACATTTCCAGAAAGTTGAGTATCTGGCCTTTCCTATGACACCTCAATCAGGAAAAATGAGCAAGGAATGACAAAGTTCTGTTCGTTTAAAGGTAATACAAAGTTTTGGTATGAGGTCATGAATTTGGTTCAAATCAACATATTGGAAGCATAAGCGATCCTACAATATTCAGTGATCTTTGTCGCGGTTGAAATCAATTCTAAAGTTATGAAATTATAAATAATAGACTCTTTATGGTGTATAGCTCCCTCTTAAGGTCAAGATATTAATTAAGCTATAAAACAATGTTTCTTGACTAAAATTGACCGATTAGCTATTCCCGTTTGGAAATTATATATCACAACTACATATTCTGCAATGTTCATGGTCGCATCTACCATTGTACGGCCATACGGCGCTATTTGAAATTTATCAGGATTTACCGGGAGCACCGGTAAATTTTTATATTCGATTTTTCTCGAAAGCAGAAGTGTTTTAGGGGCTAAATTTTCTATTGCTTATATTAAATCCACAGGGGCATCCAAATATATCAAAATTGAAAAGAATCACCACCATCCAATTTTCTAAAATTCCCCAAACTTTGTATTACCTTTAAAGTAGTGCTTGCATTTCCATAATTTGATTAAACAAATTCGTTTTCACTAGCTGACTGCCGTAAAAACAAACAGAATTAACAAAAGACTTAACTCCGTTTCGTTGACAATCAGCCATGCATGAAGTCTTTCGTCTACTACTGATTGTCAACGAAATGAAGTTAAGTCTTTTCTTAATTCCGTGTGTTGCTAAGGCAGGCAGCCAGTGAAAATGAATTCGTTTGATAAAATTATGGAAATGCAAGCACTACTTTAAACAAACAGAAATTTGTCATTCCTTGCTCATTTTTCCTGATTGAGGTGTCAAATGAAAGGACAGATACTCAACTTTCTAGAAATGTGATTTTCTCGTTGAAATTCAGGTACCGTTCGCCAAATGACTTTTTGGTTTCCTCTCTTCAAATTGATTTTAATCACTCATGCGTGAAATATGCATCATATGAGTTGCATCAAATGAAAGAGGAGGATCTAAGCTTTCCAAGTATGTATCATTTATTAATTATAAATGTGACCAAGTTATGATAAAACGTCAATAGTTCTCGGTTTCGTTTTTTCTGGGACGCACTGTATTATACTAAAATTTAATCCTGACACTGGTTTTCGACTTTTGTCGGAAGTCGGGTTTGAAAAAAGTAGTTAGTCTATGGTCTAAGTTCCAGGGTAGGGTTAAATAAATTTACAGTAGGCTACAGACTTGTTTATATATACTGATTTGTTTGAATATCTTCAGATGTGTTTAAATAAATGTGAAATAAAATTTAATTTAATTTAATTGAATTGTTTAATATCATTTACTTTTTGCTGATACACTTCAGCACCCAAGATATTAATCCAAATACATTTGCAAACAAGAAACTCTGTTCAAGTCTAACTTTGATGCCAATCTCAAAGATCCTAAAAGCTTCTTGATTTGACTTGTTGATTTCCCAGCCTTACAGATCGCCCTTGGCTCGTTATACAGAGATGACGTACTCATAGAACCTGTCAAGGTTGTTTCCGTGCTTGCCGCCGCTTCACTTCTTCAACTAGTAAGTCTATTTAGGGCCATGATCAGAAAATAGATTTTATATAACCATTGCCAAAATCCAATGACAATTCTGCTGACAGCCACTCAAATGCACAAACTTCAGTAGCGTTTAGTTGTATCTGTTATCGTAGTTGGTTTATAGTGATGACAAGTTTTATGATACAGGGTCCTGTAGTCTGGGAAACTTCCCCACGTTATTATTTATGGGCTGCCTATATGCAATATTTGGTCAAGTGGACCAAGGTAAATTTGTGAAGTCAGAAACTTTGCTGTTGATTAAATGTTTGCCAATTGTATGAGTGGTTAAGATGCACAAAGGTTTCATGCCACAAAAGAATATTCCCAATATTTGAATGCTGTCTAATTTGGCCAGAGGGATTAGACCTCCCTGCAAGGTCACTGATGGGTGGTTATCTCATCAAATCAGCTCTCAATTAACATAAGAAAAAGAGGATCATGGGGACCAACAGGCACCGCTTCAGCATTGTTTGCTATATAGAGGGTGCAAGTAGCTATAAGTAGTGCAGTGGGGCTTTAAATGAATCTCAATAATTTAAATATGTAAATATTTGTTCTTTCTATAATTCAGGAAGGACTTATCCAACAGTGTGCTGATATTATGACTGAAACCATTAGTCCCAAGACAGTATGTAGCTACCATTCAGCAGCAACATCTTATGGCTTACAACAAGTGGCAAAGAGGTCAGTATTATCAACATTTATCCAATCCAATCCAATTAAAGTATTTATAAAGTGCCAATATCTAGTTACCTAATAAAAGGCACTGATGAGACTGAAAAAAAACTACCAAGATTGTATGTTCATGATTCTAACTGGGAAAGATAAAAAAGCAGTGACTTATTGTAAGCAATCTGAATATGTACGTCTTAAGTTGAGTTCTGAAAGTGGATAACTGGTGGCAAGAGCAAAAAATTTGGGGGAGACCATTCCACAGTCTTGATGAACAGGTAGTAAATGATCGCTCCCCTAGAAGAGCGTGTTAAAGGACTGTTTGAGAGCATGTTTGCGATCTGCAGGTCGCAAATTACAATCCACTACAAATACCCCCACACAGGTAACTCCTAGTTTGCAGGGACAAACCCTTGTCTATCATTGCAAGTAACAGTGTCTGCAAGTTGAGACTCCAATAGCCTATGTACTTGACACAATCAGAAACTGACAGATGTCGGCTTTGCTCAAGGCTTTAGGAATTGTTGTAAAGTGTCAAATTAAGGTCTGAGCTTGCAGACTAGGTAACCCCACCGAGCCCTATCCTAGGGCCTAGCCCTGCATGACCTTAACCCGAACTCTAACCCTAATCTTTACCCTGACCCCAACCCCTTTTATCTTCTTAATTTGCATGTATTTGATGTTTGTTTACTTGTTATACTTTTACTTTTGTATATAACTGTGTTTCAGTATTTTCAATGCAAACTTGGAATGAATTCAATTCAATTCAGTTCAATTCAACCCTAATACATTTAATATATTGCACTGGTTTATGATAGGGTATTCTGCATTTAAACACCTGTATTAGGTAAGTTAGATTGCAAAGATGCACCACTTTTAGATATTTGTCTTATCACCTTCTCTGTCTCCCACTATTCATGAGATTGTTATTAATTCTAAGATAACATGGATTTCTGTTAATATATTTCCTCTGGATTTCATTTTTATGGCTTAGATTGAAAATATGTGAGTTAAAACAAAACAAACAAAAGAACAGAGACAATAGGAGCAGATAAGTAAAATTCTTCATGAATTCTATTAACAGGATTTTTTAAAAAATCACTTAAACTGTAGATAATTACCAGGTAAGGAAATTTTCAGGGTAATTTCTATTCCCTCTTGTGCATGTTTGAAATAGTTAAATGTGCAACTCATCCACAGAAGGAATTTTTTTCTTCAGAATGGTGTGTATTTATCTTTTAATTGTATTTCTTTTAATTCATTTAAATGTAGTTGCTTTGAGTGGTTGGAGCTGAATTTGATGGTTGCACAGAAACCAACATTACTAAGGGAACTTAGGTGAGTTACTGCTTTGTTTAATAGACCCAGCAGGGTGTTAAACAGGCCTGATAATTACCCAATTTAAATCGGTTTCCTGATTATTATTTTTTTTTTACCAATTTTTTTTTTCTCTCCAATTTCCCCCTATTTGTTCCCAATTTTTTTTACTCAAAAGGCGGGAAATGTTGTTAGATGCCATTTTTGTTCACAAATCCTTTTTTTTACTCAAGGGACTCAAGAGGTTAAAGTTTTTTTTTTTCCTCTCTCAGAGAATCTTTTTTTTTTTAGTGCTCACAATCACCCCTGTTTAAAAGATATACTCTTATACCCTTCTGGCTGTCATGGAGGATATGTGTATCAGTGCTGTGACTTGATCTTAGACATTAGAATGTCACACCATTTGTGCGAGGTACTCCAAGTAAAGGGGAGTTCATTCATATACATTAGAACTTTGTAAAGTCTTTTATAATGACACATTTCTTTAAACAGTATTTTTGTTTTTGTTTCTCCTCTCCCTTAAAAAAATATCCATTCTGTTTTTCCTCGCTTTATCTGTCTGTTTATATCCCCCTCTCTCTCTCTCCCTTTCTCTCTCCCTTCTCTCTTTATCTCTCTTTCTCTCTTTTTCCCTCTCTTTCTCTCTCTGGCTCTCTGTCTATCTCTCTTTCTCTCTGTCTCTTTCTCTCTTTCTCTCTCTCTCTCTCTCTCTTGTATTTTTCTTCTTCTTCTCTCTCCTACTTCTCATGTGTGCCCTGACGCTACAGCTCTGAGTTATTTGAGAAAGTTATCCAATCTCCCAACCTCTTTGTGCTACAAGTGGAGATGGATGTCTACTCAATGGTCAAAAAGGTGAGATTAGAATTCAGGGAGTCCATGAAGTTAACTCTTTACAGGCTTAGATTGACTAGTAGAACAAATACTGGCCTGGCTGGCAGAAGGGCATTAGCTCGAATTTCAGGTAAAAAATGAAACTTTAAGCAGAAGAGTGTTAGCACTAAATCGCCTCAAACTTTATAAAACTTACTTATTTCTGAAGAAAAAAATTGTGGCCGTGTTCTACTATAACATTTCGATTAGTCTTTTATGTTTTAAAACAATTTTCGGGGCAGAAAGCAGTTTAAATATAAAACAAATCTTTAAATGCAAATAATTTAAAAAATAGTTTTTAGAGCAGCTCACGCGCTAACGCCCTTCTGCCAGCCGGCCGACGAAATACTGGCCTGCCACAGTTAACTCTTGTCACAAGTACATGTAAATGTTCCATATACTCAAAACAGTGTGACAGTCTATAGGGTTTTGACCCCTGACGAGTAAAGAGATAAAAAAAATCTCCCGTCAGACAAGTTACATGGCATGTATTACATCAATTCATCACAAACAAAGTTATAAATGAAGCACTAGACAAGGCACATGGGATATGGGCATATTTGAACAATGGCCATGAGAGTGTAAACATGTCTCTATTGCAAAGTTACACAAGAACAGACCCAGAGCAATGATATATTATTTTCTGGTGCAATTTTTTTTTCTCAAGAAAATGTTTTAATTGTCATTAGTGTAAGCATGATTCGTTCTTATTGGGAGCTTGTTAGGTTATCTACAATTTATCTTCCTGCCCAAGAAAATAAGTATAGTTATAACAATAAATAAATTAAATACAAAATTAATAAAAGATTAATAGAAATCGATGAAATGAAATAAAAGGTATGTAGATCATGTGTTGGTTAACAGTGATAATTATTGTGTTTGTTTTTCAGTATGTGTTCTTGAAGCTGACACCTTCATGGCAGGGAGATTCCAAGATGCTCGGAAGAGAAGCTGATAAATACTTCAGGAGATATAGTAAGTTAAGAGTACAGGTACATGGTTAAAGCAAAGATAGAGGAAGGAGGGAGGAGGGAGGGAGAAAGGGGGGAGGAGGAGGAGGTGCTCCTTTGAGGTATTCATGTATCAAGAACTGTATGACATAATGGTGTTACATGTCCTAGTGAACAAATTAAATTTTGATTATTCATCTATCCTACTGTGTGTTGTTTTGCGTATATCTCTCACATTCTGTCTGTTATTTATTTATTTTCTCACCATCTATCTATCTTTCCATTTGCCTCTTTCCTCTGCTTCTGCCTCTGTTTCTGTCTTTCCTGTGGTTCACAGATGCAGGTTGTTTTCTGAAGTCTGACGTGGGGGCGCCCTACGCTCGTCTCTTCTCTGTGCTGAGGCTAGGAAGTATCATCAATGAGCCAAGTTCTTGTAGACATGTAGAAGATGACAAGATTATTATGCAAGGTAAAGTTTGACTATCATGCATCACTCAAGCACGTAAGCCTCCTGTCGACCAGGGGGTGTTTCACAAAGCTCCTAATTTGAACTTAAATCTAAGTTAGACTTAAAAATTATGCAGAACCATTTGTAGCCTTAAAATGAAATATATTCATAAGCGAAAATTCAAGTATTTTAGACCTTGTATAAATTCCACATCAAGAACATGAAATCTCCTCGACAATAGAAAATTTGAAAGATTTGAATCGACATTGTACATAACTTTTACACAATATTTTCATACATGTAGATACTAACAGCTTTCCATAATTGTTAAGTCTAACTTAGGATCTTTGTGAAACACCCCCCAGGGGCACTACCGTGTGATCTCAATTACAACATTTATTATGTCAATCTAATTAGTAATTCTGATATTTTAAGTAACTTTTGCAAATCATATGAGTGAATGTGCAAGTCTAGTGAAAATATAAACATAAGGGTAGATCTCATTCTCAAAAAAATGCATGAGACTTGAGACTCATCCCAAAAGTGCTGAAAGTTCTCAAGATGGGGCAGAAAATAGATTATAGTAAACATACAATAAATGTATGTGAGAATCGAGTTAAAGTGCTAGTACCAACCATACAAGGAATTTCCAATGTTAAACTGAATGTTGTTTGGTTTCTTTCAGATTTTCTACTGCCAGTTTACAGACAGCAATGGCAGCACATGTTAGCCGTGGAGCATGGCCAGGACCTAGGGTGAGCATTTGGGTTCGACCGACCGGCACATGTTTTGGCACCTAAAGGGCAATACATCTTCTTCTATGTTAGGCCTTACTTGTAACCTCATCAAGATAGACAAGTGCAAAATTAATATTTTTACCAAACATGACACATTTTGACAATAATTGTTTTAATCAAATTATGGAACTGACATGCTTATAGATGCCAGGAAAAACAGGAGAGGCAAAACCATTCAAAACTATTTTTAAAATAGATATATGCATACATGTACCACCTTTAATTTCATTTAAAATGATGTGTAGTGTATTCATCATCTCCTAATGTACATGTACAGGTCACTAACATTAGTGCAGATAGTAGAGGAGGTATTTTATCACCATGTATCTCTTTTGACCCACATACATGCATTAGTGTTATGAAAGATTGGCTGTATTGAGTATTACAATATCTTGGCTAAGTATAGGGTCAAATAAGGGGCTCAATTCTTATGTTTTCTCTATAAAAGAAGTATTATATCTCTTTTTCACAGGCCGAAGGATGAGACGGTCTCTGCAGATCAGTTTGATCAGCTCAGTATGAGATGTGGACGAATCATCAAAAAAGATGCAGAGGTATGGCCATGCCCCTTTTACAAGCTCCACCCCTTTTTGTCTTTGATGTATCACCAATTTGTCAGCATGTCCACATGATATGACCTGTGAAATATTTCAAATATGTTTTTGAAGAATACTGGTTTAAGGAATGAAATACCCTAGGGTTTAGTTAGTTCTTTGTGTCTGCATTTGGGCATTGATATACAGTCAAACCTGCTTTAGTGGCCACCTGTCTACATAGACCAAATTTTTTGTGTCCATCGAAAAAGGTTTCTCATTGAAACATGTACTAAAGGAACCTGTCTATAAAGACCACTTTTTGTGTTTCCCTTGGGAGGTCGCTATAGACAGGTTCGACTGTTTATGTTTCAGGTTTCCTCTTCTTTCTGAAAATGTTCTTTATGTTTCTCTTTCCTTTATTCTTGCAGTATTGCTGGAGGTGGACAGGGTTCAATTTTGGAGTTGATCTTCTTGTCACATTTACAAATAGGTAAGTTTAAATAACCCAATGAAACATTTAATAATAATAATAACAATATTTAACAAGCGCAACATATCCATCTCTAGAGATGCTCAAGGCGCATACAATTAATTCAAAATTATAACAGGAATTTGACATTCTTGAGATTAAAGAAATATTAAATGTTATTAAACTTGTATGTAAATTCATCATGGCATCTTAATAGAATTTTATAGATTACACAACTTCATGATGCTATGGTACATACAATGTGGCATAGGACGATTATACATAGCCTTAACGAACCGTTGCATAAAAGCTTCTCCATATATGAAAGCTGCATAGTAAAAGGGTGTACACAATAGATCATAAATTATATAAAGAAAAGTTATGTAGTTGAAGGGAGGAGATGGGTTGTGTTAAAAAAAATTCACACAATAAAAGGTTTAAGATGGCAAATGGATTTATTTAGGTATGGGATGAGTTAACTTTATCAAGCTCTGATAAAAAACAATTCACATATTATGTTTCGTTTTACCAGGGGCCTGTTTCATAAAACTTGTTATCCATAACACGTGCTAAATTTCTATAACAAATTTGCTCTCAGCCAATCAAATGCTACGATTTCAACAGTTATTGTAACTTGTTATTGATAACAAGTTTTATGAAACAGCGCTCGGGGCCCAATCAACAACTTTAGAATGTTTAGATTGTGCAATAAAAATGTCATTTTAATGCTTGTACCTTTCAAAAGGTAATGTTGTTGAATGTATTGAAAATGTCCTACATTTTGGGTGATTTCTTGTTTTTAACACAGGTGTATATATATCAACCCCTTTATACCCCATCTTGGTAATTGATATTATGTTTTCTTTTCTTTGAAACCTAGATTGATAATTTTGAGGCGGAATACGGGTACTCATCCTGTCACAGCTAGTGTCAGCCTACAGAATAGCAGAAATATCATGTTTAGGTATGTCTGATATTTTTGGATTATGTAGTGGGCTTAGAATTACTTGTTAAGTGTACCTCTCATTCATTTAATATTGCGCTTGAAAAAGAAGAAACCTGAGACCTTAATAATTTAGTGCTTGTGTATTGTTATTCATCTTTTAAAATCATAGAAATCTTACCGAGAAGTTTTGAGGCTTACCAACATTGTACATGACCTTTAAAAAGAAGGTTGAGTTCTAGGAAGGGGTGAAAAATATGCAAGTGTGGAAGAACATCCGATAAAAAAAATTCCTGAAAAGCATGGCTCTTCAAATGCCTTAATATTCTAAATATGGCATGTAACAGCATACAAATCGGGAAGGATTTTTATGCCACATGTTTATGTAGTCCCGTATACATATTTCTGTGTATAGTGCTTGTAACTTTACCAAGACTGGACCAAATTTCTTATCATTTTGATGATTTCAGAACCTTGCAGTACACATCAATACTTATATGCTAGACGATCAACCTTTTCTGAGCGATTTCACACCGTTTCTTTCACAAATCAATCGCGACCAGAACTCAACTTTATCTTTAATGCTGGGTTTTCTTTTCTCCCGCAGAATAAGAGTTGTTTCCTATGACAGTCAGGGTCAGATCTTGTATCAGAAGCTGAGTGATTTAACTCCACTGGCGCTACACAAAGATGAGGTGAGTGAGTCCCGTCAAGAGATGGATGGAGGTGTCCACCAGGACCCTTTTTCATAAAGCCTTTTATCAATAACAAGTTACAAGCTACTGTTATAAGCTACTGAAATCATGGCATCTGATTGGCTGAGAGCACATTTGTCATAGAAAGTTAGCATTTGTTATAGATAAAAAGTTTTATGAAACAGGACCCAGGGACCTGTTTTACAAAGCCTTTTCTTTTTCTATGACAAATGACAAAAATCAGTGACAAATGTGCTGATAACCAATCAGTAGCAAGGATTTCAGTAGCTTATAACAAAAACTGTAATTTTTCACTGATGAAGTTTTGTGAAATGGGGCCCTGGTTGAACGGCACTTGCTTCTGGGACCATTGCTCAATGATGATTAACCTCAATTTGAAATGTCAACCCTGGACTAAACCCTAACCTTACACCTTTGAAGGAGTAAAGCCAGAGTGAATCATCACAGAAGCAAATTTCAGGTTACTGTCCATCCATCTTGGCAGGACATTGATTAGTCTCGGTCCAAATGGAATTGCATGCTTAGTGTGGTCTTACAGCATCTCAGGGGGTGATTAATAACGAGAGGCAATAGTTTGAAAGTGTGCAATGACATATATATTACATCGTTGGTACCCCTGGTTGTACCCTCAAAAGAAAAATTAAACCTAAGTATTTTTCTTGTAAATCCTTCTTTGCAAGTTACATATGCCTCATGAAAGTGAAAATTAAACCTTAATATTTTTCTTGTAAATCCTTCTTTGCAAATTACATATGCCTAATGAAAGTGAAAATTAAACCTGAGTACTTTTCTTGGAAGTCCTTCTTTGCAAGTTACATATGCCTCATGAAAGTGAAAATTAAACCTTAATATTTTTCTTGTAAATCCTTCTTTGCAAGTTACATATGCCTCATGAAAGTGGATGGATGAATTTGTTATGATTATTATGGCAATTCTTTGTTTTTTGCAGGAGATTGTGGTATTAAACATTGACCGACACGCCCCTTTCCCAATGCAAATAGGGGTGAATGTGATGTGCGTGACTCCGCCCCAACCTGTGGTAGAGACGGCAGAGAGTTTAACCCTTCAGCAACCTACCCAAAGGCAGCAGCAACTCTCGGGTCAAGATGAATGAGCTACTGTTCAGGGATTTAAAGTCTCAAGAATAAACTGATGAACTTCAAACCATTGCCTGGAGCCGATATCTAGCCAAGATATGGACTTGAGGTCATGAATTCCAAGTAAAACATTGAAACTATTATGTGGTGTATGATAACTGTAGACCCTAAGCTAGACATACAAGCCATCAAACATGTGAAAGGACTTCAGCGGTGTTCCACACGTCAGCTTTGCCTGTTTTGTTTACAACCGCTCTACAAGCCTTGGGGATAGTTGTTTTGAAGATAACTGTCCACAATTGTTATGTTTGAACCTGCCCGATAGCTCCTTGAAGCACTGATTTTTTCATTTACACACTTTACAACTCTGTGGCAGGATGCTAAAGTTCCAAATTTGTATGCAGGAAGGCTTTATTTCAAGGTGGTATTTTGTTGATCAACAAGTTTCTGTGTGTGTGGTCTGTGACATGCAAACATCTTCAACTGCAACCTTGGTTAGTTTGTACTGCGGTGCAAACATCTTCAACCCCAACCTTGGTTAGTTTGTACCTGTGGTGCAAACATCTTCAACCCCAACCTTGGTTAGTTTGTACCTGTGGTGCAAACATCTTCAACCCCAACCTTGGTTAGTTTGTATTGTGGTGCAAACATCTTCAACCGCACCCTTGGTTAGTTTGTACTGTGGTGCAAACATCTTCAACCGCAACCTTGGTTAGTTGTACTGTGGTGCAAACATCTTTAACCACATCCTTGGTTAGTTTGTACCTGTGGTGCAAACATCTTCAACCCCAACCTTGGTTAGTTTGTATTGTGGTGCAAACATCTTCAACCGCACCCTTGGTTAGTTTGTATTGTGGTGCAAACATCTTCAACCGCACCCTTGGTTAGTTTGTAATGTGGTGCAAACATCTTCAACCGCACCCTTGGTTAGTTTGTATTGTGGTGCAAACATCTTCAACCGCACCCTTGGTTAGTTTGTATTGTGGTGCAAACATCTTCAACCGCACCCTTGGTTAGTTTGTATTGTGGTGCAAACATCTTCAACCGCACCCTTGGTTAGTTTGTATTGTGGTGCAAACATCTTCAACCGCAACCTTGGTTTGTTTGTAATGTGGTGCAAACATCTTCAACCGCATCCTTGGTTAGTTTGTACTGTGGTGCAAACATCTTCATCCGCAATCTTGGTTAGTTTGTACCTGTGGTGCAAACATCTTCATCCGCAATCTTGGTTAGTTTGTACCTGTGGTGCAAACATCTTCAACCGCATCCTTGGTTAGTTTGTACTGTGGTGCAAACATCTTCAACCGCAACCTTGGTTTGTTTGTAATGTGGTGCAAACATCTTCAACCGCATCCTTGGTTAGTTTGTACTGTGGTGCAAACATCTTCATCCGCAATCTTGGTTAGTTTGTACCTGTGGTGCAAACATCTTCATCCGCAATCTTGGTTAGTTTGTACCTGTGGTGCAAACATCTTCAACGCAACCTTCGTTAGTTTGTACTGTAGTGCAAACATCTTCAATCGCATCCTTTGTTAGTTTGTACCCGTGGTGCAAACATCTTTAACCCCAACCTTGGTTAGTTTGTACCATTATGCAAACATCTGCAACTGCACTCAACCTTGGTTAGTTGGTACTGCGGTGCAAAACATCTTCAACCGCAACTTTGGTTAGTTTGTAATGTGGTGCAAACATCTTCAAACGCAATGTTGGTTAGTTTGTACTGCTGTGCAAACATTCAGAAAGCTCAAGCTTTCAAGTTTGAATTTGGTTCCTAAACTGCTTTTGAACAAGTATACGTTGGGGTTTCCTCTTCTTCCGTTAGGAACACCAAATCACCAGACTTTGTACCGTTATCGATGTAAGAACTTTGTGCTTAAGAATATTTTGTATGAGAGGCAATTTCCAAAGAATGATATGAAACTGAAAAGGATTAATGTACCTGTAAGGATCATAGCAAAAAGAGAAGAGAATTTGGGATTACATAGAAATTCAGAGGTTATTTTTGTTTTCCTTTATTAAAGTATGAGACAAGGTGGGAGGGTTTTGATGACTTAGCTGTTCTTTTTTATTGTTACAAGGTATAAGAAACGGTTCAAGAAGGAAGTAGCATCCTAATAAATACAGATGCAAATATTTATAAGGGAGTGATGATGACACTATCATTTTGTTAAAATTTGAGAATTTCTTTTTGTTTTGACGTTCTTTTTAATTTAGACAATACTTCTGTTATTCAATTTGCATTTGTTTACAATGTAGTGTAAATGTAAAAGTATTAAACGAGAACAAAAATGTACCCATAAATATACATTTAGACGAAAGGTGCTATCAATGAAAGAAGTGTAAATTTCTTGTAATATTTCTTCCTGCATAAAACTGATGTTTAGAAATGACTGAAATCTGTCTTAATTTATTAATTTTAGGTGCAATATGAATATGTTAGAGGAATAATTACAGTGGTTCTGTTCTATAATTTATTTTATTTTCTCTTCTAGTTTCCCATGTCATCCTTTCTCCTATTCATTGCATTCAGTCACATTGCTACTGTAGATAAGCTTTGGATCTAGTAGAATGCATACTAGGTCTCTTGAGTAGGGATCTCCTTCATCACCTACGCATTCTGTTTAAAATTGTGCATCTTAAACATTCAGTACCTGAATATACAAGTGTATCCCTGAATATTATCCATTTAGGGATAATCTTGAGTAGGGATCTCCTCTCATTACCTATGCATTCTGTCATGCATTGTGCATCTTAACATTTGGTACTTGAAAATACAAGTGTATCCTTGAAAATTATCCATTTAGGGATAACCTTTAATAAAAAAACTGATCACTGGAAAACATATTATTCCCAAATCCAGCTATCCTCACCTGCAAAATTTGTTATACATTTAGATAGCGGCATACCTGCATCAGAGAAAGAGAAGTTGGCTGTCCTACCTCCTTTAAAAGATGGCTGAAAATGTACATTTTCTACTGAAGTTTAATGTAGTCTGATTCATTTGATTCTTTGGATTTTCCCTTATCTTTGAGTATGTAAGCACTACCATACTCCCAACAATATCACATATATGTATTGTATTCAGAAGTGCATTTTAAAATTGAAATACCTTATGGAATAAACAATTAAAAAAAAACAAATAGAAGAAGAAAAAATCATACAAATATCCACAAAGTTAAGATGTATTTTGTTTTAGCCTTCTTCTAAGCAGTAGCTTTGACTGTACTGAAACTTTCTGTAAACTGTAGGAAAATTGCAATCCCTTGCCTTGAGTGCATTTTGCAACTTATGTGAAGATAAGGAATTATTGTGAATATGAAATATAATTAGTAGTTTGATAGTCTAGGAATACTAACCTGTAATTAACTCATTTTATATTAATCCAGTATGTATATTTTGCTTGATATTACAACTTGTGAATTACTTTATGACTCACATGATATCTGTGTAAAGTAAACCTACAGCATTTACTTGTAGCTTGCCATTTGAAATACTTATTGTAACACAATTACTCAAGCTTTCAAGAAGTCAACCTGACGCAATATCAATCGACTATTTCACGTTTTGAAATGTATGAAAATTACAATGATATATTACATAATCAAAGATAGTTTTATGAGTAATAGAGCAGGGTAATGAAATCTTCCTTGAGTTGGTTTCTTGACAGTCTTTGCAATCATGCTATGTGTAGAGTTTCTCAGGTTCTGTTAGGACAAGATTAAAGGTCACAAAGTATCCTAACAGGTCATGGATTCAGGGGAAATTGTTTTCTTGATTTTTTTGGATGGTTGAAGACCAAAATGGTAGTAAATTTCCATCAAACTTAGAGGTGTCGTGGTCGAGTGGATATGTCGCCGGACTGTCGATCACAAGGACCGCGGTTCAAGTCCCGTCGCGACACTAATGTCCTTTCGCAAGACATTGATCTACAACGTGATGGACATGTGCGCTAGATATAAGAAGCCACCATTATTATTATTATTATTATTATTATTATTATTATTATCAAACAGCCATGAGAACTGTAAGAGGATAGCTTATCTCAAGGTAATGTGTCTGTGGAAAAGGTCAACCTGGTAAATGTTAGATGGAAACAATCGCTTGATACAGAGCTCAATTCTGACAGGCGCCCTAGACATTAGCGTGCCTAAAATCGTTCTCCTGTCCCCCAAAGTTTCAAAATTGTCACCAAGGGTTTATACTGCATACTGACTCAGACTAGATGCCAATCACAAGCCCTGCATTCTTGTGCACTGTGATTTCACTCAGTCAAGTTTCGCCAGGGTTTGACACACCTAGGGGTACATATAGACAATTCAGTGACACAATGACGTAACTCCATATTTTGCCAAAATGAGTATTTGATATCAAAATGTTCAGAAAAATGTGGGCTTTCCATGAAACACAAAGACTTAACCTCCACCCAACACCCCCATTGAAGTCAATGGCTAGTGAAACGTAGACTTAACTCCTTAAGGCCCAAGTGCTCAGTGACGCATAAACTGATTTTTTTTTTTTTTAAATGGCCAAAATAGAGTTACGTCTTTGTGTCACTGACCCCTCAATATATGTTAAATATTTGTATGTTAAAGACCTTTTAGGTAGGTACCTCTGTTATGTGCAGATTATGACATGAGCTCATGGAAGTTAGGGACTCTATTAAATTGTTAAACCCTAGACCTACATTTATACATGTGCATGTCAAGTTTTGTAAGCCTCCTGTAAGTATTTCTTTTTCTTTTGTGATAAATACATGTAGCAAACACTATTCAAAACCATAATGGAGTTTTTCCCTCCATAAATGAAAAATAAAGTATTAGTGAATAATATTTCTCTATTGTGTTCATCATTAGAACATCATCTTTTATTCATTTCAATGGTGGTTGGGCTGATGTGTGAAAAGTATTAATAACATTTACTTAATTTATGTATGCTAATCCAAATATGAATTTATATATTTTCTATTTGTGGGGACTGGTTTGTATGAAATGGTCATATGAAAATATTTTATTTGATAGTCTAGTGAGCATTATGATTGTAAAATGTTATTTTGTGGAAACATTGTACTGGCGTACAAATTCATTCTTGTCATTGTCATTCATTTGAGGCGGAAGGGCAATGCCCTATGTCATTTTTACACCCCCTTAATGACATGATTGCTGTTTGTCCTTTTTTTTTATACAGAATTATAATAATTTTGACAGGAAGAAGAGGCTGACACTTGTTGCACCATTAGATTGGGAAGTAAATCCCCCCCCCCCCCCCACTTTAGTCAGGGTGTAAACCTTGACCAAACTAATAATGCCTTCATGCATACTGGCCAGTAGGTCTAGAAACAAGTATTACTTTCAATTATTACACATTCAACACAGTTTATTCAAAGCAAGGCGAATGAAGTTGAGGTCAACAGGTGTAATATCATTCCCTTTAGAAATAAATATCAGATTTAGGATATTAGTAATTGGCCATTTGCTAGAGGAATTCATGTAATTCATTAATTAATTAATTTATTTATTATCATTACTTTCTTTTTGTATTTTGTTGTTTCTTTGTATTTATATATTGCAAATTAGCAAGGTGGCCATCCATAAGAGATTACTATATCATATTATTATTGATATAGATATAGTTTAAATGTATTCTGTAGGCAGAATTCCTATTGAGTCAGATTCAATTATTCACATGTTTAAACATTTTTAATATCATTAAGCCCTCTGCAAGGTTGTGTTGCCTGATCGAATTGTTTTGCAGTAGCATGAGTTTTACTTAAGAATGAACTGCTCTATACACAGGGTATCCATGTCAATCTTAGACATCCTTTTTTATACTTCCCATTGAGAAGCACAGAATGCTTTATAGAGACCGTAAATTTATCAGTGTTTTAATTAACGAAATTTATCCATGATGACATATTCAACAGATGTTGATTTGGCTTTTTTTTATGTTGTTGCACTATTTTGTTTAATAGAGCAAATGATATAATTCAGAGAGGTTTAGTTAACTGGCATGATACAAATGTTAGAATGGAGGAGGCATCTTGACTTGTTATTGAGGTACCGAGGTGAAATTGATGAGTTGACTGTGATTCATAACTCTGATGTAACTACTCAACGTAATGAGAACAGTGTAGTTTGGTGTAGATAATATAAAGGTATATCACACCCTGTATATATGTATTTGTTTTATTAACATACATGTGTAAAATAAAAAAGGAAACTGTATTTAATAAAGATTATTATATTTGAAAACAATTATATTTGTTTTTTTCTTCATTTTTTGCATCTCATTTCTTTGAGGTATCTCTTTCTCTCTCTCTCGTCTGTATCTCTTTCTCTCTCTTTCTCATTATATTTATCTCTAATCTCTTCTATTCACCCAGCTCTTTATCTATCCATCAAATCTATCTATAATAATGATAATAATATTGTCTCCATTACCTAGGGTGGCCACATCAGTTGTAAACAAAATCTTCTCACAGGCCCTGCAATTATATATATCTATATATCTGTCTGTCTGTCTGTCAGATTCTATCTATTTTCCTGTCTGTTTGTGGTTGTAAGGCTGTCTTTGTGTTATCATCTACAGAGTATGTTCAATTCCAATGAATGGTACAACATATTCACCCAGAATCTGTTAATAATATCTTACTTAAGCTGCTATGCCAAGCTGATTTCACAAGTTATGCCATTGATTTAGCAAATATTGAAATCAGTTCTGGTGGAAATTCTTCTTTTTTGCTAGATTTGGCTTTGCTAAATTTATCAAGTAGTTCAATCGATTGCTGTTATAATGAAACACAGTTTCAGTATGCAACTTTAGTTATTGCTTCTACCAAAAAAAAGAAATTGATAAAGCATGAGATAAACACTACTTTGACATGGATTGGGAAATACCAAATTTCCATAGCAATAAATTTATATCAAAAAATCAAACAAAACAATATACATTATATCAATTAAGTTTATTCATATATATACAGATATTATGCATGATAATAAGTTAAATTTCTATTTCATTGTTCATTACTTTCATTATCAACACTGACAATGATTACATCATGTAACACTTGTTCATTATCCTTAATGGCAAGAATATATAAACCCATATACATAATAAAGCACAATCTGTTAAAAACTGTTTGTACTGATCACGAAATTGATTTAAATGATTTACCTAAAGCTACATCAAACGGGATAGCAAAGAATTCCAGAAAAAAATCAACTTGATGAACTCTTAATAGCCTTGTCTGTCACCTTTTGAAATGTGCAAACGTTACTATGAAGCATTATAATAATAATAATATTCCGTGTTTAAATAGCGCTCAATACGTCGATCCGACGATGTGCCTACGCGCTTTACAGATATATTATTACCCCAGTCATCGGATTCAGGCTTACCCGCACACAATGTATGCACATTTTCCACTCCCTGGGGAGCATTCCAGCCAGTATGTAATTAATCCAAACATGATTTCTATGGGATATGACTCAGACGTAATTCTTCTGAAAGTAGTTGCTATCTGTAGTTCAAGAAAGAACTTGATGAAATGTTAGATTATTCAAGATGTAAAGGTAAATACAAATTTGATAACAAAAGGTATCAATAATTTTAACTTCACAATTAAAGATTAAATCTTGAAACTTTGAAAATTGCGCTGCTTTAAGTATTTCTCACAAGTCTTTGTGAATAGCACTCTCCTGTACTTCATTTAGGCCTTATTCATATATCAACACCTATAAAAATGGTACTAAAATTTTATTCTGTCAAAAATTCTTGACTCAACATAAAGATACAAGTTTACATTTTGATGTCCACAAAGGATGTTTACATTCATACCAGTCTCAAACTTCCACTATGGGTTTAAAATAAGCATATACAAACATGTCCAAGCATACATTGCTTGTTAAGTAGACTTGAGGCCATGCACAAACTACCCTTTTGGAGGTTGTAACTTGTAACCATGTTTCAAACTAAACCTCCTACTTGAAATCTGGCCTCATGGCAGTCTCTGAGATATTCATAGTTTTACTTTCCATTACGGCAGTTACATTTTTCTTTAAATACCTGTATGTACTGAAATAAATATACCAACAATTGTTTCTCAAACGCTTTAAAATAAGCATTGTAGGAGTGTCAATCGCTAGAATGAAAGTTGCTATGTCAGGCAATTCTGGAATAATGATAGAGATAGCTTTCTGGTAGTGAAGGTAATAGAATACATATTTGAAGTTAATTAAGAATGAAATTTGAATACATGAACATGAATGCTACAATGAAAGATATGTATGTGAAAACTATTTCCATGCTGCAATGGTACAACGTAACTGACCCTCCTTGAAAGCATACATGAAGAATACATCATACTTACAATCTACATTCATAGAAGATTATATTAACTGATTCACTGAAAAATTTCTGTTTTACAGAAAATGATAAAACATGATTTGGAATAACAGAAGGAATGTTCAGATCTGAAGACAATTGAAACAAGTTTGCTCCTTTAAATTAATTTCCATTTAGCAGATTCATATCACTTTCACATGTACATAAAATCAAATGGATAAATATGGCGGTTCTGCACAGTTTGTACATGAATACATTCATATTTCACAAAACGTGTTGCTCCTGAAGTCCTTGAAGGTCCAAATGGGAAGGTATGAAATTAAAAAATGAGGAATAAAATGGGAAGCTCTCTCTTGGCTTACACTAGAAATTCTATACGTTATTTGGAAGGGGTATCTTTCTATTTTTAATTCTGTAGATTTCCACTTTGACTTACCTATAGTTACTGTTTGACCATGTAGGGATATTTCTAATTGTTTTCATGGGAACATTATACAGAGAAAATAGTAGTGTAAAAGAGAAAGGAAACCATAATTGATAGGAAGCACAGGCATAAAGGAACCATGGCATATAATTTGTTCAGTCTTAAATATGTTAACAATGTGAGAAACTGAAAGGTTCCTTCTACTTAACCAAGATAGCAATCAATGGCTTTTTGATTTTTACATAACTAAAAAGTCTTACAAAGGAATTAATTAATCATTTTGTAGAAAGCATCCGACTTGGGGACGACACACAGAGCTCCACATATACCCATGAGAAACACTGCCAGCTGATGCCCTCTCTATTCCAAATTCCAAATTCCAAATTCGCTCCCCAAAGTGGTATAAGGGCTGCTTAACAAAGGTAAAAACACTTCAAAATGACCAGCTGAGTCAATAAAAAACACAGAAATCCATGCTATTTTATGAAATCACCTTCAAAAGTTTCTTGAACTGTTCCACAGTCAAGCAGTCTTCAGGGTGGTGAGTAGCTTGTTCCACAACCTTGCAGCAACCGAAGGGAAAGCAATGTCTCCAGCACGCTTCTTGGAGTGAGGCCCAGTCAACCATACAGAAGATGAAGAGTGAGTGGGGCAAGTTTGAAGGTGACAGGGCAGGCAATTGCTGATGAATTCTGGCTTGAAATTATAAGTAATTGTTTTAGAGTATCTTTGTAATTCTGCACTTGCTTACAATGTCCAGCATCCTTGTATTAAGTTCATGAAGTCATCATCACTCTTTGTAGCTATGCTCACGCCCTCGTAATAATCTTCAAACTCTCCATAGGATATCTCCTTCACACGAGGTCCAAACACATCCAAGAAATCGTTCAGTAATTGCTGCTCTGTTGACTTGCCTGAAAAACATAATCAAATAATGTAATGATAGATGATTCACTAAAACTGGCTGACCAATATCACAATCTTTCCTTTTTTTTACAATAACGATTAAATATTTGCGAATGTTATTAATGAAACAAATTGAAGTGGCACACACACTAACTGGTGATATTGGTTAATGGAAAGTTGTATCTGAGATAACCCAATGGCAGTTTTGATATCATTTAGCCTAATCAAGGCCATAGAGCTATTTTACCAGCTCCATGTTAAGATGACATTGTTCTACCTCTAAGCCATAACATTTCAGATTATCTACAATCATGCATTTTTCATTCCGAACGCTTTCTGCATGTTTCATGTCACCACCTTTTGCATAGTTTGTTAAAATGAGCTGCACCCTCGTTAATCTCACCTGAGATAACAAGTGGATGCTTGTGAGCACGGAAGAACTTCTTGACTTCATCAATGCCGACAGTTCCTGACTTGTTTGCATCTATCTTCTTAAAAGCCTGCATAAAACACAAACAATACAGGTAAGAGGATTGTATTCCCCACATACACAGAGACATAATGTTATGATAATAACTGTAAAATAGTTCACAGATTTCATCTAACATATCAAACCAATATTTTTCAGAAAGAGTTAATATTTCTGTATACATGTAGATATTCAGCATCAATAATGCCCCCAAAATGTGGTAGCCACCATTAAGGTTCCACAGCCAAGACTTAAACCTGATTTAGCAAATATAGGACTTATTTATATTTGATAGACAAGGAAGCCTCAAGATATTAGACTGTAAGAAGTTATAGAGCACTGAAATAGTTTAAACCTTTAAAAAAGCAATGAAGTCATATAATTCCAGAGATATCAAGATGTAATTGGTTGTGTGGGTTAGGGGATATAGAAGACATTGACTGACACTGTGCTATGAAATAAAGTCCATATATCATTTTACATGCTTTAACAATGACAAATTGTGGAAATGACTTTGTAATGAAGATGATACAACTAGATGGAACTTCGACTGCGCGCAGTCGAAAATGATGCCTCCGTCATAGAGCAATTTTACAAACCAAAACAGAAGAAATTTTTCAAATTCAAGTTCAATTGTAATCCATTAACAGGTTTTCAGAATATTGTGATTACAAGCTATTTTTGCATACATAATGAGCCCATGACCTTTGACCTTATGAACCAAGAATCTACTCAGTTCATTGGCTCTGCAAGAAACATACATGACCTAAGTTGGCAGGAATCCATCAATCGGTTCTTGAGATAACGCGATCACGAGCTGTTTTTGCATACATAATGTGCCCTGTGATCTTTGAACTTTGACCTTGTGACCCCTACATCTAATCAGTTCATCGGCTCTGCAAGTAACATACATGACCTAAGTTTGGCAGCAATCCATCAATCGGTTCTTCAGATAACGCGATCACAAGCTCGTTTTGCATACATAATGAGCCCTGTGGCCTTTGACCTTTGACCTCGTGACCTCAAAATCTAATCAGTTTTTTGGCTTTGCAAGTAACATACATGACCTAAGTTTGGCAGCAATCCATCAATCGGTTCTTCAGATAATGCGATCACGAGCTCGTTTTGCATACATAATGAGCCCTGTGACCTTTGACCTTTGACCTCGTGACCCCAAAATCTAATCAGTTCATCGGCTCTACAAGATACATACATGACCAAAGTTTGGCAGGAATCCATCAACCAGTTCTTAAGATAACGCGATCACGAGCTCGTTTTGCATACATAATGAGCCCTGTGACCTTTGACCTTTGACCTCGTAACCCCAAAATCTAATCAGTTCATCGGCTCTACAAGATACATACATGACCAAAGTTTGGCAGGAATCCATCAACCAGTTCTTCAGATAACGCGATCACGAGCTCGTTTTGCATACATAATGAGCCCTGTGACCTTTGACCTTTGACCTCGTAACCCCAAAATCTAATCAGTTCATCGGCTCTACAAGATACATACATGACCAAAGTTTGGCAGGAATCCATCAACCAGTTCTTCAGATAACGCGATCACGAGAACGGGACGTACGTACGTACGTACGGACGTACGGACGGACGGACAACCCGAAAACATAATGCCTCCGGCTACTTCGTAACGGAGGCATAAAAATCAAACTTACCTTGATAACAAAATGTTTTCTGAATTCATTCATTTCTCCGATGAATGCTCTGCAGAACTCACTGTAATCGATCGCTCCATCTCCATTCTGGTCGATTATCAACCACAGCTGATCAAAGAGCTAGAAAGAAACAGACATGAACAATAAAAATACATTATTAGGTTACACAGATTCATGTGTATGCATCGACGTGAAAAGATCCATTTATTCACAAATCACTCACATCATTGATTTGAAACTTAAAAGCCAACCATGAAGCGACAAGACAGAAAAAAAAAGAAAAAAAAAATCTGTCCCACGAGAAACAATACTGTGAAGTGTCTGTGTCACATTTTGATCATTCATTTTCTCCACCTGAGTGTAAAATAAACCTTTCTGAATTATTGGGGGTCCTGTTTCTTGTTAGTATTCTTCAGGCAGTGCACAAACTACTTGTTATCATCAACAACCCTTTCGTACTGAAGGAAGTTTAAACCACAGAAATGTGACTATGTAAATGTATTCAACATTTATAGACAAAGAACTGTGGAGCTTGTGTGCAGCCCTCTGCAACCGCAAGGAAAAGGCGCTACCGGTATATCAAATATCTTTTGGATTGGATTGGATTGGAAAGAAAAGCTTACCTTTCATATCAACGACTTTCACACGTTTTTGTTGTTGTAAGAAATGTGTGTATACTTGGAGAGTTGTGACACCGTAGGAGTTCAGCAAGCACAGAGAGAAATATCGAGTCTAGCAGTTAATATCTATACAAGCATTCATCTCTTTCCAAGCTACATGTGATAAATCTTCAGCACTTTTATCACTATTCAGAGTGTCATAATAATAATAATAATAATATTGGATATTTATATAGCGCACATATCCACCATGCATGGTGCTCAAGGCGCTCCAACTATTACCCCGGCTTTGCAAGACAGCCAATTTCGGCGCTCACAGCATTCAAGGAATTCCTTATACCGGTACCCATCGAACACCTGGGTGGAGGAGTGGCAAATATAGATGAATATCTTGCCAAAGGACATGAGTGCCGTGGAGGGACTCGAACTGCGGACCCTGTGATACACAGTCCAACAAATTATCCACTAGACCACAACACCTCATCTAGCTGTAGTATTTATGATGTACACTCACCTTTTTATCGAGCTTGATGTGATATGTCTTCAGTGCTTCCTGCAGCTCATCTTTATCTAGTGTGCCGTCTCCTGATTTATCAAGCTTCTTAAAGTGTTTCCCTAGACCTGTTAACGTCCTAGATGCTCGGCTTTTGATCTGCTTGTGAACTTCATCTGATTGAAGAAACGATTGTTTGTAATCCTAGTAAGCTACATGTATTACAGTGACTCAAAGTCTTTAGTTTACTAAGAAATAGCATGAAAAGCAGTTATACATAAGGGACTCCACACTAACCTTTTTGTCAGGTGTCCAAAGCAAAATATTGGAGATCTGTGTGCACCACAACTGTTTACATTTGACATTTTTGGTGGTTGATGTGTATAAATAATGTTCAATTAATACAATAAATCCAATATAATCTAACTCAATCCAATTAAATAAAATGTAATACATAACTATTAATGTTAAGTCTGCTACAGGAGCGGTTTCTTAAATATTAAAATCAAATAAAGTTACAATTGATGTATGTATTTGTTTTTAAATTGCATGAAAAATTAAGGGAGAACAAAATTAGCCTTTGACCAACACAAGCTCTTGCTTTAGTCTGAACTACACGAGAGTGGAAGGTTGTTGTGATACTCACTTTGTACATTAGAGATGAGTTTCCAGTCCTCTGCTTCTTGCCTAGCCCTCTGAGGGTGCATACCCTTCCTCACTGCTACATCATTGTAAGGAACATTGTCTCCAAAGCTGGAAGAACGAAGGGTCCAGGACAACAAGAAAGGGAGAAAGATTTACATTCTAGTCTAAAAAATAACTACTGGGGAAAAAAAAGAAAAATTCCCCTTGAAGTTATGGGAGAATGATGTAAAGAATGGCATGAAATGAAGGCAGAGTATATATTTATGAATGTTGCAGATAGGAGTGTTAACACCTATGACCCTTCCAATTGATACTGTCATGGGACAATAGCTAATCATTTAGTTTTTATTAAGGCAAATATTCATATTCTTAAGTAAAACAAGATAACTATGCTATTTGAGGAGCTTACACTATTGGGGATTGTATTAGATAAACAGTTTATTTTCTTATATGCCATACAATGAGATCTTTGAATTCAAGTTGTCATTACACCTGTTCTCTGCATAGAACCCCCTCCCCCCCCCCCCTCCCCCCCCCCCCCCCCCCCCCCCTCCCCCCCCCCCCCTCCCCCACTCTGGGGTTGGAGGGACCGCATTTTTGTTCCAGATATCTCCCGTAAAGGGGTATATTTTACGCAACAAAGTCTGGCCCGTATTGACTTATACACATCAGAGATAGGGGTGCTTTCAAAGGGAGGGAACATGCATACGCGTATCCTAAATAACACTGATTGGGGAGGGGGGAAGTGGGGGGGGGGGGCCTTGGCATAGACCTCTGGAAGTGCTATGCATGACTTACATAAAGTCTTTCTTCATATCTTCATCTACATCAGTGACTCTGAGAACAGCGACTGGTTTCTTCTGAAGACACTCTGGAAGAGAGGGCTGGTCCTCCGTCTCAAAACTTAGATCTTCACCCTGGAATATCAAGACGAGAAGAATGGATGAGAAAGAGAGATGTGGATCATCAATGAACAACACAATGAAAGACAAAATAAATAGGAAGCAAGCAAGGACAAGTTATTTACATCATAATGATATAGTTAATAAAATGTGATATTTCCTAGGCATTTTGATACCAAACTGAGGTTCCATAATCTAAATATGTTTGTTCTATTAGCTTACAATCCACTATGTCCATATATTAACAAACATAGCTGCAGAACTTTTCCTTTCCCTTTAAAAATATCTATATATCCCTCATTAAAGACACTTTCATTAATGTTTTTCTTCCATTTTGCAAAGGTTTCCTGGCCACCAACATGTAATCTACTCAGTGAAACTCAACAGTGTAGTTCTTTCTTACCCTTGTTAAGTCCTGTGCTGTATATAGAAGCCCTTTTCTTCTTCCAATCATTCTCCTGTATGTGTCTCTCTTGATGAATGGTAAAGCTGAAGCTCTAAGTAAACACAATCAACAAGAAATCACTCGACGATTGTGAATTCTCCACCAAGATGCTGTTTTTCATGACAGAATACATCCTTTTATAACAACACATTTTACAAGTTATATAGGACAAAATAAGAGTTGAGATACGTAGTAGACTAATACAAAAAACTATTGATTTCTCAAACCATTCTTCATATTTTGAGCCTTACAAATGAAACTGCTGAAATTCGAAATTTTCTCAATATTGTCACTCAATTTTTCACCTACAATTATTTTTTTAGCAAAGATTGTTTGTTACATGTTTTGTTAAATCTGAATCACACAGTTATGTACATTCGCAAACAAGGGCACTTTGCAGATTTAGCCAGACTCAGCTCTGGCCATACTTACTTTTTACCAAACTGTCTGAATTCATAGATGGTCATAGTCTTATCTAGAGCAAAGTAGAACCCACAGAGTTCTCTGAGAGCCATGTTCCCGCTCCTTGACACCACTCTACAGCTGAAGCTCAGACGTTTGGCAAGCATCTTCTCTGTCACCGAGTTGGTAGGATTAGCCCTGGAGAAAGAACAGAGCAAGTCAAAAGTTTATTTTTTAAAAAACTTGAAGAGAAGGTTGAGTTCTGGGAAGAGGTGAATAATAACTTGTGATTGTTATCATTGTGTTATGCAAATGTGGAAGAAGATCAGATAAAAAAAGTTCCCAGAAAAGCATGGCTCTTCAAATGCATTAATATTCTAAATATGGCATGTAACATCGTACAAATCGGGAAGGATTTTTAAGCCACAGGTTTCTGTTGTCCCATCTTTCTGTGTACAGTGCTTGTAACTTTACGAAGACTGGGCCAAATATTTTATCATTTTGATGATTCCAGAACTTTACAGTACACACCAATACTTATATGCTAGATGATCAACCTTTTCTAAACGATTCCACGTTTCTTTCACAATGCAATCGCATGACCAGAACTCAACTTTATCTTTCAGTTCATGTTCTAAATTCTACTTTTCCTCATATGATACAAAGCACGAATTTGCTCAGACATACATGCAGCAAACTTTCGGCCAAGATATTTGGTAAGCATTTTTTTCTCAGTCACTGAGGCTGTAGTCAAAGCAAATGCATTATATAAACAAAATAAAATCTTGTCAAACATTTCTGTAAAGTACATGTTTATTATATCACATGTTTTACATTTCAAACTTTAGTTTGGTATAAAACTAAGGAATATTAGGACAAGTATACTTATGTTTTGAGCAAGCATAATGGTAAATATGGACATTTCAGTTAGCCCACTGCAGGAAACCTCATCAATTAGGATTTATGCCTTGCTGAAAGCTGCTGTAGCAAAGATTCAACTTACTTTGTAGCATGTAAATTGCGTGGTTTAGGAGACTGTGAGTAGTACCGATGACTGGATGCTGGTGTTGATACCTGGTCTTGTTCTGGATCACTGATTGGAGCTCTGAAAGTAATTAAAAAGATTATCTGTAATTTACCGTTGAACAAAGTCAATTAATGATTAAGGACTTTTGCTAAAGAATTAATAAATTCTCCCACTAACACATTGAGGACTGAATTGCCTCATTCCTATAGCCTTGATATAGGGCAGAACAGGGACCTGTTTCACAAAGCCTTTTTTCAATGAAAAATGACAAAAATCAGTGACAAATCTGCTGATAACCAATCAGAAGCAAGGATTTCAGTAGCCTATAACAAAAACTGTAATTTGTCACTGATGACAAGATTTGTGAAATGGGGCCCAGGTTCCCATAGGTAATGGGCTAAAAGGAGCAGGTTTTTAATCTGTTGGAAAATTATTTCTACATAATCTTCAAGTACAAAAGGAAAATCTAGACTGACTAGAAAGCCATGGTTAGTTGTCTTGAGAGGTTATTTGCCCATGGGGTCATTCTCCTTCAGTTCATGCACTACAAGCTCATCTACTAAAAGCTAGTTTCTCTAGATATGGATTTGTACAACTTAAGATGAGGTTAAAGTCTACAATGAACTTTAAAGGCCGACTGTACTAGTTCAGCCAGAAGGAATTAGACCACACAGCAAGGTCACTGACAGGTGGCTATCTCATCAACTCAGCTCTCAATTAACATAAGAAAAGGAGGATCATGGGGGACCAATGGTCACAATTAGGCATTGTTTTCTACATGTATATAGAGGGAGCAAGTAGCTACAAGTAGTACAGTGGGCCTTTAAGATGAGGTTAAAGTCTATGATGAACTCGAAATACCTTGAGAGCTGATCTACAAGTACTGTTTCCATGATATGCTGCTTCATTCTCTCCGCTGCCACAGACTCCTAGAAATAAGACACAAATCACAATCAGGCCCTTTTTCACAAAACTTGTTATCAATAACAAATGCAAAGTATCTATGACAAATATGCGCTCAGCCAATCAAATGCCATTTCAGTAGCTTATATGCATATATACATGTATGTATATGCACATATATTTTGTGCACAAGATTGTGAGAAAATTGTTTGGAGAAAAATGGATATTGACAAACATTTTGCGTAAGGAACAAGTGGGCAGTAGTCATCCATGTTCATCGCATCACATCCAATTCACTTCAATGTTCATAAGATATGGAAATTATTCTGTTAACAAAACAGAGTGATGAAAAATATATGTACAGTCAAACCTGCTTTAGTGACCACCTGTATAGAAAGACCACCTGTTTACAAAGGCCACATTTTTTGTTTCCCTTGAAAATGGGTTCTCATTGAAGCATGTCCTAAAGGAGCCTGTACATAAAGACCACCTGCCTATAAAGACCACTTTTCTTGTCTACCCTGGGTGGTCTTTATAGACAGGTTTCATTGTATATTAATTTTAAAAAACTCAAACAAATGATTTTAAAAATACAATTACTTACTGCTGCTATTCTTTTGTTGACCTCTTGTCTCGTGCTCAGAGATGCATTATTCCAGTTTGTGTTTAAAGGTTCATCTTCAGCTAGCTCCACCGCTGGTCTGAAAAACAATGAGAAATGTCAAAAGTATTCAAATAATTTCTATATTCTTATCTATTGTATCATGTTCCTATTCTTTTATAATATTTATACATGTAAACAAAACAAACTGTCATTGATATGGACAATTAATACATTGACTTTAATCGAGTATTGAATTGCATTTGTATTGCTGGGAGTAAGCAAATTTTCATGATTTGTGCATCATTTATAAATTATCAATTAAAAGACATTAAAGAAACTTTCAGAAAACCACCCATCAAAGATCAAACTTGAACATACATGTATGGTATTTCAGCATCTACTACATCATATAATTCACTTATGTTTGAAACCTACTCTGGTTTTGGCTCCTGCTGTTTTGCTTGGTTTCCAGCACCCTCTTGTGATTGCTGCTGTTTGTACTGCTGCTTTACTTCAGTCTGGTGCTGTTTGAACTGCTTCTTCTGCCTTTCAGAGGGAGGAGGGATATTTTCTGGAACAGCAGGGTCATCCCATGCTGTCTGTTTGCAACAACAAAACAACAATTACAAATTAAATAAACTGTGTAAATAAAGAAAAGAATAAGCATATTAAGAAAGAGAGAGAAAGAGAGAGAGAGAGAGAGAGAGAGAGAGAGAGAGAGAAAAAAAAAGGTCTTCCCATAAAATGAACCCTAAACTTTGTAGTTTTCTAATTGCTGTCAAATAAACGAAAAATGTAATTACTGATTTGGTATTGGACCAAACAAATGAGCAAGAAATACATGTTCAGAAATTACTTACTTTGACTACCTCTGTGTTACTTCATGAAGGGGGGGGGGGAGGTACATCTATCTTGAACAAGCTCCTTCTCCTCACCTTAAGTCTCCCTTTTCATCTCTTTTTATTCCTTATGCCCTTCAAAGATTCTTTTAAATTTCTTGTCCCATTTTCCTCTTCACTGCCCCCCTCTCCCACTTGTGTATTTTAGTTTTGTTAATATTTCCAATTCTTATCCTGTAACCTTCATCATCATATAGTCAAACCTGTCTATAGCGACCGCCCGAGGGAAACACAAAAAGTGGTCTTTGAAGACAGGTTCCTTAAGTACATGTTTCAACGAGAAACCATTTTCAAGGGAAACTAGATGGAACTTCGACTGCACGCAGTCGAAAATGATGCCTCCGTCATAAAGCAATTTTACAAACCAAAACAGAAGAATTTTTTGAAATTCAAGTTCAATTGTAATCCATTAACAGGTTCTCAGAATATCGTGATTACAAGCAATTTCTCATATACATATATGAACCTTTGATCTTTGACCTCATGACCCTAAAATCCACTCAGTTCATTGGCTCTGTCAGTTCTAATGAGAATGCGTTCACAAGCTATTTTTGCATACATAATGAGCCGATGACCTTTGACCTTTGACCTTATGAACCAAGAATCTACTCAGTTTATTGGCCCTGCAAGATACATAAATGAAGTTTGGCAGGCATCCATCAATCTGTTCTAATGAGAATGCGTTCACAAGCTATTTTTGCATACATAATGAGCCCATGACCTTTGACCTCGTGACCCCAAAATCTAATCAGTTCATCGGCTCTGCAAGTAACGTACATGACCTAAGTTTGGCAGGAATCCATCAATCAGTTCTTGAGATAACGCGATCATGAGCTGTTTTAGCATACATAATGAGCCCTGTGACCTTTGACCTCGTGACCCCAAAATCTAATCAGTTCATTGGCTCTGCAAGATACATACATGACCAAAGTTTGGCAGGAATCCATCTATCGGTTCTTGAGATAACGCGATCACGAGCTGTTTTTGCATACATAATGAGCCCTGTGACCTTTGACCTTTGACCTTGTGACCTCAAAATCTAATCAGTTCATCGGCTTTGCAAGATACATACATGACCAAAGTTTGGCAGGAATCCATCAATCGGTTCTTCAGATAACGCGATCACGAGAACGGGACGTACGTACAGACGTACGTACGTGTACGTACGGACGGACAACCCGAAAACATAATGCCTCCGGCTACTTCGTAACGGAGGCATAACCAAAAACATGGTCTTTGTAGACAGGTGGTCACTAAAGCAGGTTTAACTGTATTCATTTTTCCCTTGGTATAAAGACGTATTATCAAACAATGTCCATTCACCTGGAAAGTAAGAATGGGGAACTAATAAACTGAAACATGAGAACTTACCTTTGCTTTTTGTTTCTGTTTGTCTCCTATATTGAGCTTCGGAACATTGGCTGGCCGGCAGGATACACTCTGACCAGAGAGGGGCGTCTGAGGGGTGTGGTGGAGCGCAAAGGGGGCTTTGAGGGAGCTGTTTCGTCCAGAGGGTTTAGCATTGTAGTCATGGTATCCCCAGCTGTATAAGACAAGTATGAGAAAAATGAGAAAAATCAGGAAAATAGGGAAGAAGTTATTTCAAGTAAATTAAAGCTAAAGGATATAGAAGTGGAGTGTTTATGAGAAGCAGTATCTCATAGCATTATGTATATCATAGCTAAAACCTGGGGGTGTTTCACAAAGCCTTTTTTCAATGACAAATCGGCTGATAACCAATCAGAAGCAAAGATTTCAGTAGCTATATAACATAAACTGTCATTTGTCACTGATGAAAAGTTTTGTTAAATGGGGCCCTGGGCTAATCCACAGTATTCAGTCATTTTTAATTATTTAAAACGGTATTCTTCAATGTGTGCTGAAGTGCATTTATTTACATCTTGTTTTAGCGGGTTAAAGATATTTTCAGAATTCATTCTTTCTTCTCACCTGACAGTACTGGCTGTATCTGGAGTTGACATCTTCTCTTTGTAGTCCAAGATCGGTTTTGATGCTGTGTTATCATAGTCAGCAAGCCGAGCAAGGTCTAGAGATGGTACACTGGTAAAAAAAAAGTGGAGTAAGACAGTGCATTGATATCAAAAAGTTCATCAAAAAGGAAGGGGGAGGGGGAGGGGGAGGGGGAGGGGGAGGGGGAGGGGGAGGGGGAGGGGGGAGGGGAGGGGGGGGGGTCTGCAAGAGTGAAAGTCTATCCAATATGTATTGGACCAATGGACCCATGCCAAGAAGCTCAATGACCATGCGTCCATTGAACTTGATGCAAACGTAAAATGAACAAGAAACTAAGACTTGTAACATGATACATAACATATGCACAGGTACATGTACATGTAGCAGTGGCCTACTCTTTCTTGAATAGGTTCATTACTAACTTGGTACTAATTATGATAGACTGATGTTGTACTCCCAAATTAGTAATTCTTCTTCTTCTTCATCGTCATAATCTGCCTCCTTCACTCCTGAAGATGAAAAATTAAACTGAGTGTCACAATTACTTTTCCTTTCTAAAAAAGAAAAATCAAACATAAATGAAGAAAGTACACATAGCAAACTGTAAAAGAAAGAAATAGTAAGAACTTACTTGTCTGGTTTGGGACCACGGCTCTTTGGTCTTTTGTACTGATCTACCTGAGATTGCGTCACCACACCACCCTGTAAGTAAATAACAAGGGTGAAGAAAAAAAACAAGGACAATTATTAGATTTTACATATAGTGTCTCACTGACACAGAAGAGAGCTGCATTCTCTTAGTAACATATCAATGATAAAGTAAAAAATAAAAATTCAAAAATAAGTGCCATACTATATTCAATATATATCTTAATCAGCCAATTAGTTCTTTTCATGATCTTGTATTCAGATGTATTTGTTTTCATTTGTAAATTGTTTTTTAAAGTGGAAATAAATTGAATTGAATTGAATTGAATACCAAGGTAACAGTGATGCTCCACACCATGCGGCACATCACTGCAGATTTCAAAAAAATTACAATTTTAACACATGGCCCTTGAGCAGTGGCCCATTTTTAATTATTACCTCATATCTTGGTGGTTTGCCAGCTGGAGGTCTAGCTCCTTGCCTCGGTGCTTCAGGTGTGTCATATAACGATCCGCTTGTCTTGCTTGGCTTCTTCCCCTTTGCACTCGAGACACGAGCTTGGCGAGGGGTCGGCCCCCCTCGGATTGATAGGTCCATGTCACAATTCTGAATTCAAAGAAATGGAGAAGAAAAAAAGCTGGATTATTCAGTCCTCATTGATTTTTACTTAATGAAATCAGAATTAACTTAATCAGAATGCTACCTCGTATAGTCTAATAAAACAAAATTTTTGAACATGTTAGTATTTAAGGCAAAACAATGCATAAAGCCAGGGTAATTATGCTGCATTATTGTAGAGCGCTTAGAGACTTCTGACAAAGTAAGTGTTAGGCGCTATATAAGCACTGTAATTATTATTTATAATTGCGGAGCAAAATTTAAAGCTATCAAGTTATAGCATGGTTGAGAGTAGACCGAAAATTTTGGTCTCTTTAGTTCGTTAGCCTCTTATTTGGGTATAGTCGGCTCCTCTCTTTAGAGAGAGAGGAGCCGGCCATAGGGTCTTCTGCAAGCCTGAGTCATTACGGTTTTTGTGCTAAACGGTTAACCGTTAAAAGTATACGGGCGGTTTCGTTTAACCGTTTAATAATAATCTGAAAAAGTGAAAATACAGTATTTGTAATAGTGCTGTAGCTCGGAACCCTGCTGGTCTTCAGACTGTCGGGCTGAGCATTCCCAGCCCCGGACCATGGCACAAATTGGGTCATCCTGATAAACAGAGACCAGTAATAAACAACATAAAACATGTCTTATTATTCCTCATCTGAATTTGATATCATGATTAACCTTGCAAAGTTACTCTGCGAAGATAGCTGATCTGTGACGTGTTTATATATGCCTTTGCAATGTAATGTTTGCACATGGTCAGGGAGAGAGCTCCCTGCATGTATCATTGCCATATGAAATTATGTGGAAGTGTGTATCACACACACCCAAGACACACCCTGCAATGAGCTGATCCAAGTAGGTGACCAATCAGGAAGGTTCTCTAGCTATGTGGGTGGAGTTTGATACCAGCATAAATTACAGGTTGGTGACCGCGCGTGCTTTCACCGTACCCAGTTCAGTGGGAGGTCAAGAAGCCACGCCCACATGTGTGCATGTGACAAGCATGAGCTCTCCATCTGTGTGTATGTACAGTGTATTTAGGCGCCGGAGGTTTGTGTGTACATGTGTGTGTGACTGAGAGAGCATGCATGGGCTAGCATGTCCCTGCATGTCCCTGCATGGACGAGGCAGGGACACGAGAGAGTAAAGAAGTAAAACAAGTGAGACTAGATAGAAAGGGTGGCTGTGTTAATCGGCTGAATTTAAGAATGATCAAAAACTTAAATTACTCACAATATCCAAGACTTTGTTGATTGATATTTCTAAAACTTCAATTATTATTGTTATCAATATTTTTGTATTTTATTTATATATGAACATTATTTTAGGGGGCGAGTCGGCAAGGGATGGATATTAATATTGAGAGAGAGAGAGAGAGAGAGAGAGAGACTCGGGGGAGAAGGGATGTGAGAGGAACTGACCATCGAATGTGTAAACATTTAAAAAGTTGTGAGCTGAGAGTGCAGTAATAAGAAAAGGTACATGAGCGATGAACACATTGCAGAGAGAAGGGAATAAAGAGGGTGAGAAAAGAGAGAAGGGGGCTGGTTGTTTTATTGTTTACAAATTCATTCATGGGATTACTGCTGCCAGAAAGCTGGCGCGCAGCGACCAGGGTGTAACATTACACTGCGGTTTCTTTGATTATCTTTATCATCGGCTATTAGCACATTCCAAAATGTATGCAAATAACGGTTAACCGGAGCGAGAAATGCTAAACGGTTTTGATGAATGCGGTCGGATAACCGTCGGTTAAACGGTTTGACTCAGGCCTAGTCTTCTGTAAGAAGTTTGGTGGCACAATTGTGCCACCAAACTTTGGACTAAAATTGATGATAGATGACGTCATCTTCCTTCATGAATTAAATTTATGTAAGTAGATCTAGATCGAATTCACATTATGACTGATGATGATCATTATCACGGTCCCTAACTTCAGGCATAGGCACCCGCCCGCACCCCTTTATCGGTACGGTATGCAATTGTATGCAATTGTATTGTAATTGTGCAGCGGTTTGACGTGAAACCTTTGGAAAGTGTATATTATGATGTCTTTGTTTTTAGGAAAAATACTCCAAAAGAGATAGAAAATTGACACGAAACAGGAAAAAAACAGACTTTTAAATCATGACCATTATTTGAACAATTGACATGATTGATGAAGATTTAGTTGATTTTTGGTACGTTTTAGTATAGTATCTCCACGCCGGAGTTACGGTTAAAAAATGGATACGAAAGTACACTAGCGCCGACTAAGCTCATGACATGCCAGTCATGTGAAGACGACAAAAAAAAATTAACAGATTAATATGTTTAGATCTACTTTACAGTGACTGCATAGCATTTCTCCTATAGGCCTAGGTCTAACATCGTATTAAATGGGAAAAAAGACTAGATGTATTAAATGGAAAAAAAAAGACTAGATCCTTTTATAAACAAAAATACAGCGGTGTACTGCTATTCAACCTTGACTTTCGGGGTGGCCGGTGTCTACAAGCTTCACATGCATATCACCACACTTCAACAATGCTTTACGCCGAATCTTCGGCGGAGTGAAATAACTAAAAGACCGTTGAAAGCCGCTGAAATTCAAAATTACGATGGATGTAGCTGTTGATAGATGTTAAAACTATATAAATATATCAAATTTCAATTGAATCAATTACACCTTTCACCTCGTCATAAATAGCACGAAATGTGTTCCTTACCTTGGTTATTAGAGAATTTGTTTAAAATTTCGGCTCCCTTTTTCTCTCATTCATTCAATAGCGTCAGGTATGTTGGCATGGTTTCCACATGTGATGGCGCCCTTTTATTTAATATACAGTAAGGAAAAAAATAGATCTATTTGGTATTATTAATGAATTTTGCCATTTTTAAGGGTATAATCAGAGGTGACCTTCCCAGAGGGGGAAGGGGCACAGTGCCCCCCCCCCACTTTTTCAAGCACCCGAAAAGTGCCCGTTTAACTTTGTAAGAAGTGCCCCTTTTTACATAGGAAGAGTGCCACTTTTACTTTGAAAAGTGCCCCTATTAGTTTGTAAAAGTGCCTCTTCCCCTTTTCAACTCTGATAAGTGCCCCTTTTATTTGAACACGTGACCCTTTTCCTGCGACAAGTTTCCTTTTTCCTTTGCAATAAGTGTCCATTTTCCATTCTCATAAGTGCCCTTTTTAATCGCTAGTAAGTGCCTCTTTTCAGGTACGAAAAGTGCCTCTTTTCAGTTTTGATTAGTGCCCCCTTCACCTCTGATAATTGCCCTATTCAAATCTGAGAGGTGCCTCTTTTACTTTGACAAGTGCCCCCTTTTCCTTTGTAACAAATGCCCCTTCTCCTTTTAATAACTACCCCCATTTTAACTCGGATAAGCGCACCTTATATTTTCACGTGCCCCTTTTCCTTTGTGATAAGTGCCCCTTTTCCTAATGATAAGTGCCCCATTAAAAAAGACCCCTTCCCTCTTCTCATAAGTGTCCCTTTTCTGGTAAATGATCCTTTTCAGGTACGAGAAGTTACTTCTTTTTACTTCAGATAAGTGTCCCTTAACCTCCGATAAATGCCCCTTTAAAATCTGATCGGTGCCCATTTTCTTTCAACTAATGCACATTTTCCTTTATTATAAATGCCCCTTTTGCATTCACATAAGTGCCCCTTTTCATATCTGGTAATTGCCCCTTTTCAGGTACGATAAATGCATATTTCACCTCTGATAATTTCCCGTTTAACAATGATACGTGCACCTTTTCCTTTCTAATAAGGGACCTATCCCCTTTTCATAAATGCCCATTTTCACCTCCTATAAATATCCCTATCAAAATCAGATTGGGGCCCCTTTTCTGTCGACAAATGCCCGTTTCCTTTTCTCATGACTGACTTTTTTCATCCCTGGTGAGTGCCTCTTTTTGAGGGTGTAGGAAGTGCACCATTTTCACCTCTGATAATTACTCTTTGTACTTTCTCTCTTTCTCTCTTTTTCTTTCTCTCTCTCTCTCTTTCTCTATTTCTCTCTCTCTCTCTCTCTCTCTTTTCTTTCTCTTTCTTTCTTTCTCTCTTTTTCTCTCTTTCTTTTTCTCTCTTTCTTTTTCTCTCTTTCTCTCTCTTTCTCTGTCTCTCTCTCTCTCTCTCTTTCTCTCTCTCTCTCTATTTATTCATGTACCTCCTTTATTTTCCTCTAACGCTCCAATCCTCTTTTTATTTCCAAACTCTGTTTACTCCATTTATTTGTCATCCCCTGTCTTTTCAAACCTCGCCATTTTACTCCCGCTAGAGTTTCCTCCTCGCATTATTGTTGTCATTCTATCTAAACAAAACTCGGTCATTACATAAACAACAAGACATTAAAATAATAAAATAAAAAAAACATACTTTCCCACTCCTATAACTATGCTAATATTGTTTACAACATTTTAAGATCTCCCTCTCTCTCTCTCTCTCTCTCTCTCTCTTTCTCTCTCTCTCTCTCTCTCTCTCTCTCTCTCTCTCTCTCTTTCTCTCTCTCCTTATACATGTACCCCTTAATTTTCATCTAGCGCTCAAACCCTCCATTTATTTCCAAACTCTGTTTACTACATTCAATTGTCATCCCCTGTCTTTTCAAACCTCGCCATATTTCTGTTTCTCACTTTCTAATTATTTTTCTATTTCTAATTTCTTGTCATGATAGCCCTTTCCTGGCACGCATCCGATCCCAGGTCCCCTAATTGCCGGAGGACCGCCTCTCCCAATTAAAACCATAATTGAATTTATTGTCTTGTTGATATAACCTTTGCTGTTTGACATTGGACAATATATTATAATGCATGGTAGACGGTCAATAACCGATAATTGCACTTGCCCTTTTATGGTTGGCGCGTGTATACATTGAAATGAAGTTTGCACAATATACATACAAGTTTGTTTTTTAAACGAAGAGTGGAGCCTGTATGCACCTGTAGCCTGATGATCCCTCTAGCGGGACAATTTGAGCCAGCCCGTCGAATTCCGTGTTGACGCTTTGACATGTTAAGAACGTTCACTTTCAACTGTAAGAAAACTGAAAGTCTTAGAAAAAAAAGTTTGCTCAATCGCTCAAAAATAAAAAGAAAGATCCTAATAATGATCGTGTCATATTTGTTGCCGAAAATGGAGAAATAAAGTCCAGAAGTTAAACTCTAGTAAAGACAAAGATTTACTTATCTAATGACACTCCCCCTCCCCGTAAACGTCACATTTTCTTTTCTTTTTTCATTTCACAGGCGTGTTTATAAAGCCATTTTGTATGAACCTCGTCTTCTTGAGTTCAACATGAAGATAATGTTCCAAAAGTGAAAACACATCATTAATATGTTTTTATTGTCATGATATGTATAACGTTTCTGGTGCTTTAATATGGATATGGGAGACTCTCCAGGAAGTCAATAAGATTTATAAGTGAATCTCTATAATTACCTTCTACTTATCGACTTGTCTTGTCGTTTGCTGTCAAATGCAACTAGTTTACCATAATAATCGTTCACAACTTCACACCCCCCCCCCCCCCCCCCCTCATCTTCATCATCTGATTTCACGGTGACCGTGTCATCTAGCCCTTCCCACTTGCGAACTCTGTCTGTCCCCTCCCTCCTCGCCCTCCCTCCCTCAGTCGAAGATTCCTGGTATAGCTAGCGGGGGAGCAGCTGGGCTAACTAGGTCCCCTGGTTTACTGAAGGGATTGAGATGGCGCCCGCCTTGTGTCGTCACCTGCTATCCACCCTGCCTCCTCCTCTCAGGCAGGCTGGTCGGCTGGCTGGCTGGCTGGCACGGGAGCAACCCCACTGGAGGGAGATCAGGTACACAGATTGTTGACGTTATGGTGTCTAGAGTTGACTGGCTGCCCTGGGTGGTCTGGTCTGAGGTGAGATCGTCCACACTGACACCTAATGCCTTAAATCAGAATCGTGTACCCCCCCCCCCTGGGGTGTAGGGTGGGGGTGGGGCAGTCACTGAGGGTTCCAAGTGTGGGAGGGGCACCTGCATGTCTAAGAGGCTGGATGAAAATGTAAAAGAACAAAAACAGCGCCTGAGTGAATAATGGGTAGGGTTCCTAACAAAAAATGTTCACGCGATGCCTCTCCCTTTTCTTTTTTCTTTTCTTTTTTTGGGGGGGAAGGGGGTTAATTTTGCCATTTTTTTTCGCCATTCGATGGCGCACGTACAGTATATTTGCACCAATACTCCACCCTCCTTAAGGTAATACCAAGCAGTCATATGACTCCCTCCCATTGATGGCGCCAAAACCATGGTTAAGGTCAGACTCCAGCCCACCCCCCCCCCCCCCACACACACACACACGCACACATGCAAAATGCCCCACCTCTACACAAAACTCATCGTTAGCCCATTCCTCACAAGGGATAGACTATATACATCCTGAATTCATTAAGAACTTGGTGCAAAATTGGAGGTAAGTAAATGTCAGAAAGTCATGATGAACTGTATGTCTACTCTAGTCAAGTGTGATGCTTTTTCATTAGGTCCACGATGATAGCAGCAATTTAGAAGAGTTTTAATAGGTACTTATTTTATTTACCATCATTCCAGAATGTAGACCATTTGATATCTTCTAATTATGAATAGGAATACAACAAATTCAAAATTGTCATTAAGAAAATGTGTATAACTAAAACACAAGCAAATTAAGTAAGTACACATGCATCATTAAAGGGGTCAGTAATAAAGAGACATTAATTGACCCAGAGACATCTAAACATGTCTCGTAATGACCTTAAAATGCATGGTTAAAGAGTGACATAAACCGTCTAAAGATGATGAGAGGCACGCCCCACTCCTTTCATGGAATTTTAAGAGGGAGAAAGTAGAGCGAAAAAAGTGGATTAGAACATGAATAGATGATGGCGTGACTTCAGCCAAGATCCTATCCACCTAATTTTCATCCACCTAGAAATACTAGTGCACTCTCACCTCCCCCCCCCCCCCCCCGCACAGGGCCAATGTTACACAAATGCTTGTTTCGTTTCTTTATATGAGTTAACTAATTTTATCGTTAAATTCTAGATTCAATTTTATTTTATTTTTATTTTTTTCCTTAACATCCCCAAGTGAAAGGTTCATTTTGTGAAGTTGCAGTCTGATGTCTGGTGTGATAAGTTCTTTTAAAATTCGAAATATTCAAGCTTTACATAGCTCACCTAAACATTTTCCAAAAAAATTGCTTTCATTTTCCTCTTCTTTTGTCAGATGTTTGAGATCCTTTCCATAATTCTGGCGGTATTCTTCTAGCGGATCATGTCTGTGATATATGGCGCGTTATAACCTCATCGCTGATCGGGCTGTACAAATAAACTCTGTCGGCTGCCTGAAACTGTTAGATAAAGGTTATGATGTAAAGGTCAAGATTTAGGTCGCCCAAAAATGGACCCCCTGCCCGCCTACTCCTCTCATTTTTAGCCCTCTTCCCCTCACAGGGCCTGAATTACATCTATGCTTGATATATCCACACTTTTAATTTTTCATATTCCTCTTACCGTCACGCTAGCACGTTTAGGGTCGTCTACTCGCTTCCAACAGACAATATATAAACAATTTGTAGGACTACTTGTAAAAGACAAAAGGGATAAAGAAATATTGACAATATTTATTACCCCATTGTGAGAACTCCTATAATAATAATGTTAGTCACATATTGTTTCTAAGTGAAAATGAACTTGGATGAAAGTACCGTAATCAATCATCGCTGACTTTGAGTTGAGAGATGGAAATCAATAAGATTGGGAAAGAGAGGAATAAAACAAAAACGAATCACAGACAGTCTTCAACCCCGATCTAGTG